AAGTTTTTTATCATTTCAACGTTTGTTATTAGAAAGAAATATGGATGGATACCATTTACGTGTTTCATAATTGGATGTATTTCTATCAAACGGAACTAAGCGCCAATTTGAATTCCTTTTGAGGAATTTAGAATCCCGGATAGCGCGTTCTGTCAAACAGACCTAAGCGCCATGGAAAAGCATTGCGAGTATAGGAAGGAATAAGCCGAACGCCCGATTCCGCCGCCATTTCAAGCCTCCCTCTACCTTCCTCACCCTATGGCGCTTAGGTCGGTTTGAAAGAAATACCTCCAATTGTTTTTCTTTTTTCAGTTATTTTGGGAGAATAATTAGAATTGCATATACCTAATGTAAATTTTTCTTTCAAACATTTGTTTCTTATACATTTTGCCAAAAACTTGAACCGAAATCAGTTTTTTGTGAAAACTGAGCGCGTGAATGACTTTTCCAGTTACGTTCATGATAGTAGTCTTGCTCACTGAAGTGAACTCATGAGCCCCTACTTACCCTGCTTGCCATCATGGAGCTCTGCCTAACCTACCACACTCCACTAGCATGGCCCAGATACTCATCGCATGGCGTGATCTTTTCAATTTTCAATATCTTTGATCATAATCCTAGGAATGCCATCTATAAGTGGAGGTACAAAAAAAGCCCCTAGCATGGAGCATTTTTAAAAATAGCATGTCTACACCTTGAACAAGGTGTCTAGCATCAGGATTTTCCCGATTCTATCAGGATTTGAGGTCAATCAGGATTTAATCCAGATTTCATCAGGATTTGAGGAAAAATCGGTCATAAAATCAGGATTTGAGAAAAGCACTTGTTTTTAATCCTTAGAACTTAATTCTAGAGTTCTGCTTTTGCATCCGCTTATGCAGAAATTTTAATTTTTCTCCGCAAAAAATCAGGATTTAGCAGTCAAAAATCAGGACAAATGAGGATTTCATCAGGATTTCCCAAGAAGAAAAAAACTAGACACCCTGCTGAAGTGTCTTTGGCAATTATTATTATTCAACATTGTCCAATAACAAGCTGNACCAAAGAGAAATTATGGAGGGGGGTACAGTCCCCCTCTTTAGGGGATCATTTATTGGCCTTAGATGGTCCGATTTTGGATTTTTAGGGGTCAATTCCACGTGCAATTTTCCGTGCTTTTCAATTCTGATGCGATCGATCCGCAATTCGGTCGGGAACCGTGACTTTTAGCATCGTGACCCCCCCTTTACCCCCCAAGGGGAGGTGGGGGGGTTTCGGGACCACAAAATTCGGATTCCTTGGGGTCAATTCCCTATTCAACCCCGCAGTCTCCGACTTCGTACGACCTAAACCAACCGAGAAAAAGGCCTGGTACGGGTGGTCTGAAACACCCTGTATATATTGAATAGATTCAGGAAGTTTTGAGTCTTCATCATTAATTAATATTTTAATTTTTCAGGTTTTATTGGAGTTGCTTTCTGGTCTACCCCCATATGATGAGGACAGGGATGGTTGTGACCTGGTAATTATGATATGCATACTTATGACAGTATTAAAGTTTGATTGATTCAATTAATCATTATTAAGAAGAATCGAGAATACATGTCGATGGCTAAATGCAAAAAATGCGTGTCTCAATAGGGCTTTTTTTATTTGTGGAGCGCAATGGATTGGGATCTTTGCAGTTCGGGCCAGTTCAACCAGCCTAACCGCGGCCTCAGCCCACCTTGGGAGAGCGATCCAAGCTTTCCACTAGAACGGATGGAAGGGGCTAGAACGCGCCAGTAGAACGGAATAAAAAAGTTATGTGTTCCGTAGCAATCCTCTGCGGTTTGGATAAAAAAAAGCCCTAACAGATCAGTTACTCCCACTTTCACTGCTTGGTATTTTCCAATGGAAAACTATTTTTTTAATTCCTTTTTTGAAAGTATGGAGTGAACTGAGCTACTAGGAATTTTTCCGGATTTTTTAAATCTTTAATGGCAAAGTAACCTTGTATTCAAAATGCCAAAAGTAGGACCAGTTTCAAATAATATTTTTGGCGTGCTCTGATAACGTAGCCAGGAAGGGGAAAGTGGATTTGCTAATTGACTGAACTTATCTTCAAGCTTCGCCTTGCTATGTCAACTCGACCGTCAGCTTTTGATTAGCTTTTTCATCCCATAGAAGAGTTTTTTGATGAACTTTTTGTTATTTCCACGAAATTTTACGCAGGAAGAATTACACTGTTTCACTGTTACCCTGTAAATATTCCCTGCCCCATCGTAAATTAAAAAATCTCCTGTTATATTGTCCTTTTTAAGGAAAACTAATTAAAATGTCTCCTTGCAATTTTTTGTGGCTTTTTCGGAACAAGTGAAGACAATTTGTAGAAGATTTTAATAGACTGTTACTAGTTAGATTTCCTTTAGGAAAATAAAACGAATTACGATTTTGCAATTTGAGGTAAGCATTTTTCGACTTTAGCCATTAATATGTATGCAACAAGCAATCAAAATGAAAAATAAAAAAAATTTTTTTTGATCTATTTATTTCTGCCACCCAAAGTTAAGTAAGAGCCTTCAAGATTGAGTAAAATTCGTCATATGGGTAAGAATGTTTTCATCAAAATAATTGTAAGAATCATTGTGAAACTTTAAAGATTGCAATAAGAGGAAAGGTTGATTTCTTTATGGTGACTGTCGTCAGCAAGCTGTGCTGATTATTGAAATTGTTAGAAAAGAAGACATAGGAAGTATAGAACAATCCTATCAGTTAAAATGGGTGCTTCCTATAGACACAGGGAGAAAATGATGGACTAACTGTAGGGTCTCTCATCGGTTGCCAATAGTTAGTCTATTACTTACCTCCTTTGTCCATTGCAACCACATACTTTCACCAATAAGATCCCTCCATATCCCTTTTGTCTTCTTTGTCTATGGCTTTGTCTCTCGATTTCAAAAATCAGCCCGCAGTTGGCTGTTTCTCACCCAAAATATAACAAAGCACACGGTGTAAGAAAAAAATGAGATGACATTTAAGAATAGATAACATCAAGGGTGAAACTTCCATCAGAATTGAGTAGCAATCAAGGGTAGCCTGACTTTTTTTTCTTTTATCTAATGACCCTTTTCGTCTCCAGATAACTCATCTCCAAGACTTAGAGGTGGAGGAAATTTTAGACAAAGCTGTCAAGTGGGAGCCTGAACGAGCATCAGCACTGTATGAGCTGGCGCTTAGCTGTTTGGAGAACAAAAAAGCTGCTCGACCAAACATGGCACAAGTCCTCGACCGCCTGAAAAAAATAAGCTGACAGTAGGTAGAACTTACAAATCTGTTTCAAACGAAAATAACACTCTGTTGTAGATATGACAAAGTATTGTCTTATTTTTAATTTTTGAAAGATTTCTAATCTCCTCTGCAACACACACACACACACCCTCCCACACACACACAAAATATATATATATATATAAATAAAGATGTAAATACTAAAAATAAATCACTCTTGAAGGATGAAATTGACAAATAAATGAGTAGCAATAGTGCTCAAAGCAGTGTACGCTTTATCTTTCAACTTTTTGTAAATGCATGGAGGAAGAGAAACTGGAAATTTTGGCCCAAGTTTGACCCTAAAATCTCAAACACAAATTGAAGGAGACATCAGTCTTAAACTTCCATAATAAAAATTCAAGTGTTTGCAAAAATCAAGGAAATTTTTCTTCCGAAATGTAATTTCACAGATCCGGTCATATATTATGTAATGAAACATCATCATTACATTATTGTTTTTGTTTAATTTTCATTCTAACTTTATCATCCACTTTTCCCTGCAATGGGCTTTCAAACATGTTTTCTCCTCAAAATTTCACAGAGGAAAAGAATCACACAATAGGGAGTCTGAAAATAAACTCCCAAATAAGATTAGGTAAGTGTTTACAATGAATATTGGATAAATGGCAGAAATACTAATGATTAGTATCCATTGGTAACTTCCTTTTGATCTGTGTCAATGTATCCTATAATATCTATACTATAAGCTCCAAGACCTCCTAATTTTGCGAAACTGGTAACGCTTAGTTCCAGCGTTCTACCGGGCCGATTTTCATGATTTTTGCGGCTATCGACGGGCAATTGTCTCTAAATAAGCCAACTCTTTTCAGATTTTCAAAATATGGCCCAGGTTTTTTTATATTACGTGGTAAAGTTGCGAATTCTCCCATTTAAACAATGTAAATTTATACTTTTTGTCATAGTTCGTTTGAGCGTTCTACCGGGCCGATTTCCATGATTTTTGCGTAAATCGACAGGTAATAGACCCTAGATGAGCCCGCTTTAATCAGATTTTGGAAAAAGGACCCAGGTTTTTTTAAAATCACGTTATAAAAGTGAGTGAGTTTACAGAATGCTCCGGTGCTGCTACCGCTATGCGCGGGAGGTTGCGCAGTAGCTGTGTAGCCTGCGCATCAGCTCTACACTTATCTCCGTAAGATTCGCGCCACTTATCTTCATTTGAGCGGTGGCCGAGTCGTCTAAGACGTCAGATGCCTTCACTATGATCACGGTGTGGGTTCGATTCCCAACTCCTGACTACTTTAATTATTACCTGATTAACATGGTTCGTTGTTTTACTGCAATATTTCATCAAGCAGTCATTCCAAAACGCGTCATTTTGACTTAAAAAAAAAAAAAAAATTCTTAATCCATCAAAACCAAAAATTATTTAATTCTGAAAGTAAAGTATACCTCAGATCGTAATTTTTTAGGGGAAAAATAAAACTAACACCGATAGAAGGGTAAAAATAGGGCCGCGAAGCGGCCCATTGGTGGCGCGGAGCGCCTTCAGGGGGTTGGGCCGCGTAACGGCCAGGGGGCGTAGTCCCCTAGTATTTTATAATCTTGTTTATATCTGGTTCAATAGTTGATCTCTAAACATCCTGTTGTATGAATTGTTTTATGAGTAAGATTTTGGAAAATAATTTTTTTTCCCCCTGAACAGTTAGAATTTTTTTTTGTACTTTAGACCTTGTTTGAAAGCCCATTCTTAGGAATTTCTGTTGCGTTGCATCTATGCTAGTGTATTTACCTTAGCTAAATTTGCAGATTACTGTTACATTTTTTTTTATTTACTTTATTATATCTTTCTACTTGTATTTTTAAACCATAAGTGATTTTATGCATTTATTTCTACCCCTTTCGAGATTATTACAAAGTGATACAAATAGGGGCTCTTAAAGGTTATATTTGTTATCAATGTTATATTGTGGTGTAATTTAATACATACCCTGAAGGAAGATCACCTACTGATCTGCCTATAATTCTGCAGTTTTGCTAATATCCAGCTGACAATTTTCAATTGAAAATATTGCTTATCTTGGGAGAGAGGTAGGGGTTTAGTGATTGAAGTACACTTTTTCTCTGTGATATTAAAAAGAAACTCAGTGGCAGATGTAAAAAGGTATCAAAGTCTTTACAGTAAATTTTGTAAAAATGCCTTTTTTGTTCGCAAGTGTACGACTGGCTTTTGCCAAAACATTTGACAATCAGTTCATTGTTTTAGAGTTGCACATTGTTTTTTTCTTGATGAGTTTTAAGTTGAGAGTGATTTGATGATCCATGATCCCCTTTTTCTTTTCTTTGAAACTTGAAAAGCATAATTGCAAAATTGAGGATGAATAATTTGATTTTGGAAAGGCGAAAGGTGCCCATCGGAAATTAATTGACAACAACAAACAAAGTGTGTCTAATTTAAATCATCAGCAGTGTCTGGCAAAATTCACACAGGAATTTTATAAATCTTGATGGTTTTTCTTTACTCAATTCAACTATTTGTGCGTCCAATAAAACATTCTTCAATGTAATTTGTGTTAAACATTATTTTTACTGTGCATCTAACGCAGTATCCTGTATTACCTAGGTGTTTAGTGATGTTTGTAATTGTATTCATGCCAATTTTTCGCAATCCTCTTTGTGTTTCTGTGTGTTTCTCTTATCATTCATTTTCTTAATATAATAGAATTCAGTGTATTATAGTGAGTATATTTGTGCCTTCTCATACTGTGATTTTCATGGATCAAATTATTTTATTTTTTGTTGAAGCTCAATTTGTTTTGTTTCAGACGATTAAATTTCTTTTACACTGTATCAATTAGTCTTCCTCTCTGCCTTTCATAAGCTTCTTTCTTTGTATACTTGCCTGGTCAAATTGTCTGTGCTGAACCATTAAAAGTTAAACGTTTGCAGAGAATTCACCAGAAGCTAAATAATTATTTTGGAATTGAAGGTCGTCAAGATTCAGTCTATGGTAAGTTTTTTTCCCCCACGGTAACAATACTAATTCTTAACTATACAGGCTGATTATTGAAATCGATAGATAAAGAAGACATAGGGAGGATGAAGCAATCAAATTGGTTGAAACGGGTGGTTCCTGTATAGACAGAGAGAAAATAATGGACTAACTTTAGGGTTTTTCGTGGGTTGCCGTTAGTCTATTACTTTACCTTCCTTGTCCATTGCAACCACCTACTTCCACCAATAGGATCCCACCATATCCCTTTTGTCTTCTTTGTCAATAGCTTTGTCTATAAATTTCAATTATCAGCTTGCTGAACAGTTTAGTACCTAATCAAAGAGAATAAAAACTCTTTTCCTCACAGAATTCTATTAATAAAACGCAAAGTTCAATAATCAATCCTGATGCTGAGTCACCTAACATACCTATAAAATCGTGTGTTGTTTTATTTCATTGTATATTCGAAAATATTTTTTCATTGAGATTTCGCCCTTCAATTACTACTCAATGCCTAAAAAAGAGATCGGATATTTCTCTCTTATTGTTAAAATCGTTAGCGAAGGGTGTTTTAAGCGAAGCTCGAAATTGCAATTTCACATATCTTTTAACAAATAATCTGAGTTGTCAATACTGTTGCTCTCATCTCAACTTTAATACTTTTATTTCTTCATCTGCTTTAAGCAACATCAATTTATGTGACCAATTTTCGGATTTTTTTTTTCTTTTCTTTTGACTTTTTGAAGCAATTTTGGACGCAGAGGGGGAGGGTTTTTGAGTTCAGTATATCGGTAAGTATAAACTTGAGTACTCCATTTAATAATCAAATGGGTGAATTATTAAAAATATTTATATTAAAATGAATGATATGATATGAATATTAAAAAGTTCAGGGCGGTTATGTGTAGAATTGTTAGTTAAAGTTAGGATCTTTTTGTTACTTTATGAGATGAGGAAGGTACTGATTATCTTGAAGGATAAAAACATTTTTAGAATCCTTGATGGCAGGGTCAAATCGGATGCGTCAATTTGAACACCGCGCGCGTTTTCTGAATTTCCCTCACATTTCGCTCATTGGCAAACGCCAACTTTCAGCCGAAAGTCGCGACCAATGAAACTTGTTGTTGGTTGGTGAGCATGGTAGTGCGACCGTTGATGTGTTTTGTTTACTTTTGCAGGTTATGTTATTCTTGAACTTCGAAAGTTTTGAACATGTGGACTTGAACTTAAGTGAGATTTTTTCAACTGCAACACTCTATACTCCTCTTAATCTTTATGAAAAAGTCACAAAATGGTATGTACTTGTTTTCGGAAGAATTTTTTCGTTGTAAGAAATTAGCTTCAAAAGACTTCACTTGAGAAGACTTCAAAAGACACAATGTACTCATCACGCTCATGCGAAGGAGAGCTTCAAAACCTTGTTGCCCTTATCCCAGTATCCCATTTGATGTAGAAATCCATACAGCCGTTCAATCAATCGTTTGGAATGATTTTAATTCCCTCAAGAATAATCCATCCATTTATTTGAGACGAGGGAAAGTATAACTCTACTGACAACTTTTAGTCAACGGTTGCCACTTCTCTTCTATTTTCTTGGATAGTAGGTGTTAGTGCCTCGTTTCTATGCATAGCTTTATTACAGTGGTATCAGCTGTATATCTGCATATCAGTCACTCAAGTTCTTACCAAAACAACCTTCAACGGGGGCCACTCTCCCAGCCTGCAAATTTGCAATGGTGCCGCAGGGCATGTTTCTGTGGATTAAAATTGAGCAATCAAATCTCTTTATGACTGTAATGGACTCAATTGATTTTATGATAACTTAGAGTCTTATGTTCCTTACACTAAAGTTCTTGTACCTTCAATCTGCTAATAATTCAAGGCCTTAATAGTTAAGTCCCATTGCACCATAGATTTGAGGCCTTATTTTCATCTTTTCCTTGTATTTTTCTCTCGCCATCTCTCTGAAGTTTGGACGGATAACTTGAGTTCGTATCGCAGTTTTTAAGTCTTTATCCAGTCAGTTTTTGAGTCTTGAGTTCTTATGAGTTTTGCTTTGTTTTTGCTTAGGGGAAAACCAAGAAAGCCAAACGTTTTGCTCAGCAAAAATTTGCCGTCATGAAGAAAATGATCAGTACCAGTGACTCACGCATGTAAGTTTTCTCTTCTCCAATTTTTTATGGTAACTCAATGCTTACTTTCAATTCCCCATGTTTTGAAGTATGCCTTTACAGATTGAATATTTGGCTGCCGCTCGGTGAATTACCCTTTTAACACCCGAATGAGTATCTGCAAACCACGTGGACTAAGAAGCACTCTTGTGCAAACCAATGTCCTACTAGTATTTTTCCTGTCCCCTATGTTTGCCGGCTATTCGTCAGTTCAATTCTAATAATTGTGAGAAAAATCAAAATTCATGTATTTTACAGTTCGTTCAAATGAAACATATTCTTCATGAGAGGCGTTCAACTTCTTGCAGCTCACTTCGTGTAGTCAGAAGGTGAACTTAAACAAAGGTTTTTGTCCTCTAATTAGTAATCTACGGTGCTAAGCAAGAACGACATATGAGCCATCAGGTGTTGCCGAATTTCCTGTGACAAATCACGAATTTTCAGGCAAATTTGTGAATATTTCTTCACCGATTATTCAGAAGATTTTCAATATTTCTTCACCGATTATTCAGAAGATTTTGTTTGTAATTGATCTTAAAAGTCTAAAAATTTCAAAGAAGAACACGTTTCACAACAATTTTTTTCAAAAATTAATATTTTCTGATAGAAAATTTGGCAACATTTGAATGCTCATACAGCGATTTTACTTAGCGCAGCAGTAATGCTGTACAACCCAGTTCTCGGGAGACTTTTTGAAAGTTTGTGGTTTTTCATGCTTACTACCACTTCCATTTTTGCAGTATCAAACAATTTTTTTTATCTTTTATTACAGAAAAGAATCTGACCGAGGACCTCCTAAGAAAAAGAGAAGAGAAGATCCAGAGGAAATGAAAGTTCATGAAGCGTAAGTAATCCATGAGTAACCTAAATTACAGAGCTGGCCCCTATTTTATCCATCGCCATGAAAAAGAACATGATCGCAGTTTACAAAAATGATGTTAAAAAGCATCAAACATGAACATTTTGCTGACAAAAGGTAATACTCCATTCTCACATGACTCATGGGAAACACGGAGTTTTACAAATGGCAGGGTTATTTCAACCAGCAAGCCGATCTTTTAAATTTTGTGTTTGTTAGGCGGATATAAGTTCAACGGCGGATTGGTTGGCCAGGGGTGCATCTAAAATGCCTATTCTTGCGATTTGAAAATTAGGTACAGAAAGCGTGAAGCAAAAATTAGGATACGTAAAAAAATTCATAACTTCTTAGTAGAAATCATGAAAATTGTAGAGTTCTTAAGTGTCTAAAGTGAGGCAATTCTAAAATTTTTCAGAAAGGCAGGAATGTCGAATTGCAAGAGATATTTAGCATTGCAACCTTTCGCACCTCATAGCTTTGCTCAGCTATCAAACTACAAATGATTGTAAAAAGATCTAGTCTTCAGCCAGAGTGCAAGAGTCTCGGGAGTGACATTTTTAAGTTAGTATTTTTTTAAATATTTGTCAATAGTAAGCACTCAAACAAGGCAATAATCTGTGTTATTTTTACATTTTATTATAATTCACAATGATGTTTTCTAAAAAGCTCTTAATTCTCGTTGCAGGCCTCAATATTCCTCAGCACTGTTCTTCCAATACAACACACAATTAGGACCTCCGTATCATATACTATTGGATACCAACTTTATCAACTTCTCAATAAAAAACAAACTTGACATCATTCAGAGCATGATGGACTGCCTTTATGCTAAATGTAAGTATGCCTTTATCAGAATATATTTTTTTTTTCAAATTATATAATACTAGGGGGCTGCTCCCCCCTGGCCGCTCCGCGGTCCAACCCCCCAGAGGTGCGAAGCGCCTCTGATGTGCAGATATCGTGAGATCGTTAAAAGATCATCAAGAGTTAGGGAAACCCAGGTTTGGAGACGGCAGGAAGCATGTGAGCGTGCTCGGCAGGAGGGAAGTGGGGAGTGGAGGAGAAACCGGTTTGTGACATGATTAGCGTTACACCCTTAGCATGACACAGCACCCTTATGATTTTATACCATAGAGTAAGATTGTATTCTTTCAGACATTGATACATTTTTTAATTGAGAAAAATCATGGAGACTGGTTTCTGGAGCGAAGTTGAGCAGGAATTTCTAGAGGGGACTGGGTACATAATGGCAGAGTGTATTATGTAGTATCACAGACTGCTGTTGAGCGTGGATACTACAATTAGATCATGGAAGTCGAAAATGACATTGCACTTAACATCATAACCAAACAGTTCCTCCGGTGTGGTAATGTTAGAACAATAACCAAACAGTTATTCCTTTCTGTTAATCATTATTTTTCTAAATTTTTGTCTCCTCCAGGTATACCATACATTACAGACTGTGTTGTTGGCGAGCTGGAGAAATTAGGACGAAAATATCTTGTCGCTTTGAAGATAATCAATGATCCACGGTTTGAAAGAATAACTTGTCTGCACAAAGGGACCTATGCTGATGACTGCTTGGTTCAAAGAGTGACGCAGGTAAGTTTCATTCAAATGAATTGCTGTGGATGTATATAATGAAAAGAGACAGAGGCTTCAATTTTTACGTTCTAATCACTCTACACATCTGATGGCCAACATTTCTGTGCTTTTTTGCCATGTATTTCTTATGTCAGGCATTTCTAGTTTTTTATTCAAAGAGAAAAAATCGGAGAAATAAGGCATGTCTTAACTTAGAAATGTTTCAATTATCTGGGAAACAATCTGAAGGACGTTCTTCACAGATTCATTTCATATGGAAATTTTATCGTCCACTCTCATCTCTATAAAATGAATCTCTTCAGTTTTTATTATTTATTTAATCTAACCCAGAGGTGAATAATTCAAATTTTACTGTTGACTTTCATTAGACCATGCCGGTGATTGGGTGAAATGTTCGAAAAAAATGTCTAAAGACATATATGTCCAGAAATGAGAATGTCCAATTGTCCAAGCATTCAGAATGTCCATAGGGCAGAAAACAACAACAGAAAACAAGAATGACCCAATTTCCTTTCACCCTTGTCATGATAATGTTGTAATTTACTAATTTTGACGAGCTGTGAGTTTCATCAGAATGCTTATATTCTCAGGTTCATCAAATTGATATTTTTTTTTAACACTGTCCAGTTCCTATGGAAAAATTAAGATCTCATAATCTGAACAAATGATGATGTCCTTAGTCTTTAGCCGAGAGTCACTGTAAACGTTTAGCTCATTAGTCCAAATTTTGGACTAAGAAACATAATTAAATACTAATTCTGTCCGTTTTTATTTCCAGCATAAGTGTTACATTGTTGCAACCTGTGATAAAGACTTGAAAAGGAAAATCCGGAAAATTCCTGGAGTTCCAATTATGTATATCTCACAGCATAGGTTTGTATTTTCTTTTACTTCATTTTATTTCTTTATTCATGCAATAAACTTGAACGGTGATTCAGAAATTATTAGTTTGAAGGAAGAAAATGTGCGCAAATGCAGGCACTGTTTTTTATTTTCACCTCCCTTTTAAAAGTATGAAAACATCCATTGCAAGCCTCAGCTAGAGCAAATTGTTTCCTTTGAGAATGGCTCAAAAATGGCGATGCATACACTGGTAGAAAGAGGAGGCATAATTTATAACCCCTTGCAAAACTCAAAATAGGTGTTGTCGAGTAACACAGTTTCTCAACTGTAAACAAACAACATCACAAACGTATCTCATACAACATCTTTACTTTCTTCCTGTCCAAAATTGATTAAATAAGAAATGTTCGTTGTTGCTTCGTTGTGTTGAGAAACTGTGTTACATGACAGCAACCATTTTCAGTATGGTGTAAAATTATGAGGCGAAGATGACTAATCCGTATCAAACTATGTCTCTGATGTCGTCTAATTCTTGAAGCGGGAAGCTAAACAATGTACTCATTGCTTAAGCGTATTATGAGGCTAGGAGTGAATTCAAATTTTGCCAACAAGCTCATTGTCATTTTCAAGCTATTTTTAAAAGAAACGACTCTTTTAGCTCCCCTCTAGTTAAAGTTAAGAACAGATTCCTTACTAAATTTGAATTTTATGGGGAATATGGAATGTCACCTTATGTTATGATCTTGCACTTCTAAAGTGCTCAGCATTTTTCCTACTATCCTCTGTAAAACCTCATGAAAAACAGGACAATCGTACATATGTGTGAAACACGCAACTCGAAGTTCACACAATAATTTTTCTATGATGAGTAATTTTTTTTCCATAAACTTCTTGCCTTTTACTTTGCACATAATTCTGATAAATGTTTGTATATTGCTAAGATATATGCAGGTTAGGGTGTCCCTTATTTTTTAAATTTGCGAATTTCAAGTTGGTCAACCTCTCAAAAGTTTCTATGTGATGTAAAAACACACCCGCTTTTTTTAAAAAAAATTAAAACAAATTTTTACCCGCCGCCCAAGGGGCGAAAAGGGCGCATGTCGAAAATGGGTCATTTCACATTTTTGAAGAGTCATTTCCGACTGAAAATGTCGAATTATGACCCGTAGGGCCGAAATTTCATCCATTTTTCCTGAAAATCAACCGTTTAGTAGATACAGGAGCAAACACCATGCGGGCGCGCGAGTCGCGTGAGCGGGGGCGCGCAACCCCTCGTTGACCCCGCAACGCCGCTGGCGCGCGGCCTCCGCTGCAGCTATAAGGGTCAGTTAACGACGCATGCGCTAATAGATTGCACAAAAATAATAAGCTTAAAACACTCTAGCCTTCAGCAGTTTGATAATTCAAGCTGCAAAAATTAAATAGAAATGATTATGACACTTTATTACATAAGAATAACACAAGGAAACATAATAACATAAACATAAGGAATATATTGAAACATTTCCAATCACATATCATGATTAACGTAATCTTCAGCGCAATGAATAAATTAACCAGCTAAAGATTCAAATGAGTCCTGTTTAGGTTTCTTGGATCTCGCGATCTTCCGTTTAAAATTAGAGGATACTTGTGACAAATCCTGGAAGTCATCCTCCTTTGTTGTTCAAACATCAGGTGCGGCTCAAATCATTGACACGCACCTAAAAAAAAGGTAATCCATTTATTTTTCTATTTAGCTGTTTCTTAATGGATTTGGTTTCTTATGCTTCAGAATTAGAATACTGATTTGTTTCCAAAACTTATTACTCCCTCCCGATGAGCGTCACTCGGAAATGCCGCAACTGATGTTTTCATGAATGTTTAAATCAGTTGTTACTAATCAGAACATTTATTTTCAAAAAGGAGAAGTTTAAATTTTCCGTTTATTCTTCAACCGTCATTCAAAACCAACTCCAGAAAATTGTCAAGCACCGCGGAAAAATAACGTTCTTAAAAACATTAAGGTCCGGCTCAAATCATTGAAACCTGACTGAAAGAAGGTAATTCATTTATTTTTCTTTTTAGCTGTTTCTCCATGGATTTGGTTTCTTATGCTTCAAAAAAAAATGCTGATTCGTGTCCAAAACTTACTACCCCCTCCCGATGAGCGCCCCTCGGAAATGTTCGGTAAAACGCATCTTAGTGTCGAAGAAAAGGGCTCCGCGACGGCCCACCCCTTCCTGAATTATTCACGACAAACGGAATGAAATGTTTTGAAATCTTGGGTATTTCTGCCAATTTCTTAGAGGACGATGTCCAAAATTGGCGCAACAATAGTGAATATTTGAGTGCGAGGGAGACTGTCAAAGCACTGCGGGTAGTCATCGATCACGCCGAATGAGCGGTAAAATTACTTCAAACTTATGATCGAAAGGTAACAACAAAGGAGGATGACTTCCAGGATTTGTCACAAGTATCCTCTAATTTTAAACGGAAGATCGCGAGATCCAAGAAACCTAAACAGGACTCATTTGAATCTTTAGCTGGTTAATTTATTCATTGCGCTGAAGATTACGTTAAGGTGATTCGTCAAGCTCAAAAGAAGTGGTCGAACTAGCATGCGATATATCGCATCTTTTAGGTCAAAAATCTCGGCAGATTATGAATTTTCAGCAAAAATAAAAGGACGATAGCCCTTGCGCATGAGCCAAAAGAATCATTCTAAGCAAAAAAAATCGGCAAAATTTAGAGAAATGAAAGCAGGATAGTGTTTCGAAACACACCTCGCATTCGATACAGAAATTGATAGCTGAATCGAATGCGAAGTTTTCTTCCAAACACTATCCTGCTTTCATTTCTCTGAATTTTTCCGATTTTTGGGTTTAGAATGATTCTTTAGGCTCATGCGCAGGCCGCAGGGGCTATCGTCCTTTTTTTTGCTGAAAATTCAAAATCTGCCGAGATTTTTGACCTAAAAGATGCGATTTATCGCATGCCAGTTCGACCACGTCACTTGAGCTTGACGAATCACCTTAATTATGATATGTGTTTGGAAATTTTTCAATATGTTCCTTACACTGAAAAAAAAAATTGCTAAAATACGGTGACAAATCACCAAATTAGTTAAATCAACCCGGAGTTCTTAATCTATTTTGATGAGTTGTCACCTTTTTTCACTATTTCATGTGTTGATTTTAGCATTTTTTTTTTTTCAGTGTATGTTTATGTTATCATGTTTCCTTATGTTTCCTTGTGTTATTCTTATGTAATAAAGTGTCATAATCATTTCTATTTAATTTTTGCAGCTTGAATTATCAAACTGCTGAAGGCTAGAGTGTTTTAAGCTTATTATTTTTGTGCAATCTATTAGCGCATGCGTCGTTAACTGACCCTTATAGCTGCAGCGGAGGCCGCGCGCCAGCGGCGTTGCGGGGTCAACGAGGGGTTGCGCGCCCCCGCTCACGCGACTCGCGCGCCCGCATGGTGTTTGCTCCTGTATCTACTAAACGGTTGATTTTCAGGCAAAATGGATGAAATTTCGGCCCTATGGGTCATAATTCGACATTTTCAGTCGGAAATGACTCTTCAAAAATGTGAAATGACCCATTTTCGACATGCGCCCTTTTCGCCCCTTGGGCGGCGGGTAAAATTTTTTTTTAATTTTTTTTAAAAAAAGCGGGTGTGTTTTTACATCACATAGAAACTTTTGAGAGGTTGACCAACTTGAAATTCGCAAATTTAAAAAATAAGGGACACCCTAATGCAGGTGTTCAAGCTATGACATTATTCAGTCAGGCAATAAACGATCTTTCATCAACTGACGATTCGAGATCTTTCACATGTAATGTTTCTAATGTATGAACTCTTATATTTCCAGGTATGCCATTGAAAGAATGCCGGATGCATACTCTGCCTAGATCAGTACAGGATCATTCAACGAATCTTCTGAACTTAAAAAAATATTAAAAAGGAATAGTTTGTATCTATTTAATTTTGTACACTGTAAATATCATGTTTTATTTTAATTAAACCAAGCAATTACCTAATTTTCATCCAGTTTTTCCTTAAACAATCCCCACATAGGCCACCCTCTCAATCCGAAATTTTTAACCCCGATTTTGCGCTGTATGAGACCACTTTCGAAAGTGTACCAAAATTCCCATCCAACTGTTATTTTCTTGCCATTATCAAAATCCAATCAAACTAAAATGTACCTATGTTTTTGTATTTCTTGAGGACAAGAAAATTTTGAGGTTTGAATAATCTACTTACTTTGCCAAAATTTGGAATTTGCAAAATTTGTATAAAAGGGGCAGTCCCGGTATCATTTAAGCTACTAAAGAAGGAGATTGGGTTTGGGCTTGTCTGACAGGGCCTTACGATGGAAGGAGAAGAAGGGGTTCAAGCCCAGTTTCACGTAGGTAGTCTCCTACTTATATAAGAAAGTGAAAAGAAATTGAATAAAAGAGATTTTTTCTAGCTACTTTATAGGCTTTTTTTCATTATTTTCTACAAAATGAGGGGGGGGGGGGGAGAGGAGCATTAGGCCACACTATAGAAATCTAAAAAGCGGGGGAGATAGGTTACCTTACAGGTACCTTTCAAAAGGAAAGACAAAAAGTTCATAAAAATGCTTAACGTAATACTTATATGTACACCTTTAAAGCCAGTTTTTCAAAGCTTAAAGACAGGACAAAAAACAAAAATTTCTCAAGGACAATTTTTTTTATTGTTAGAAAATGCACATTCATAAATATAAAACTTTGTAAAGTGTGACTTAAGCTTAAATTAGGAAATTAAATGAGGATAGTAATAAAAGTAACAAAAAAGCGAGATGTGGTTACTGCATTGTGTTGACCTGTAACAAAAAAAACTATGAAATTAGTCACAAGGCATAGACAATATAGAACTAGTAGGAATTGAGCTCATCTCTTCCCTGTTCAACTCTAAACTGAAATAAAATTTTCCATTGAAAAAGATTTTTGATCAGAAAATTTGGGAGAGAAATATTTAATCAAGCTAAACATCAGACAATTTAAGAAATTACACATACTCATGAATAAGTTTCTTGCAAAAATTTTGAGAAACTCATGTAAAAAAACACTCCTAGATTCCACAAAATGTTAAAATAGTTGTGAACTTTCAGCAATCATGTGATCCTGAGTGATTATTCAATCATTCCTAGAAAATAGACAAAATACTTGATTTGGTCAAGACTACAATTACTGGCCGAAGCAAAGTTGTATATAATGACCGGCATTTTATCCATGTGATTTTTCACCCAGTCCAGCATATTCAGTATAAAAACTCTTAATTTCACTTGCTTTAAAACATTAGAGGACAATCATTTTATAGACTTCTCTCAACCAAAATACTTCTCTCCGAGTTTATCATATTGGTCGCAACGAAAGATGACTTTCTAAAAAAAATTCCCGGCGACACTTTTTACAAAATTTACTTTTTACCTCTAGAAATTGACTCTTGACTGGATGAAAAATTTCACCAACAAAATTTTCATGACATACTTGACACGTTTTATTTCTTAGAGGATGACTGAAATTTAATGCCAATACTTACAATATCGTCAATCTTGAGAATACTTCGCACGGTTTCAGAGGCCAAATTGATAGCACTTGTTGAGACTAACAAAGGTTGAACAACATTTTCCTCTAAGATATTGGTGATTTTTCCTTGTCTGACATTGATACCAGCTTCTGTCAGTCCTTGCTCATGCCAGTTACGAAGTTCTGTGACGGTTGCAATTGGATTTAACCCAGCGTTTTCGGCTAAGGTTGATGGAATAACTTCTAAGGCTTGGGCGAACGCTCTGAAAATAATCAGACAAGCTTGGGGATAGAAGATAGACTACTATTTTAAAGGATGTTGAAAGCACAAAATGGAGTGTAGTCAAGAGGTCAGTTGGGTGCATAACTACAGCTTCATTATCCAGAAATTCATGAATTCTATGCTAATATTGAATTATTCAGTCATTACAAGAAAGTTGAAATGCCTGTAAGCGCTTCCAACTTTTCTACATTTGTCACAGAATAAGGGGAAAAAGAGGTCATTTAAACACTAAGAAAGTTTCTGTGAAAAATGCGCAAAAATGACTAAATGATACTTAATACAAGGTGCCCATGATGATGCGTCTATGGATCACATTTTTTACCGATTATTTTAAGACTGAGAAATGCCATTTTCAAGATTAATTAGTCGCAGCAGCATAGAAATGTGCAAAATGATGAAAAATGTCGAGGAAAGATGAGAATCCATCCGAATATCGAGCGGTTGACTTCAAAGAAAACCAGTTTGAACAAGTTGATGTTAAACCTTATTTGCTGCTTGATAGTCTCAAATTGTCAAATTATGATTTTGTGACACTCGCAGCTAAACCATTCTAAAATTCTTTATAATAAAAACGAGGCCACGGATTTTAAGATTCCCCATCGAATATATTATCTACATGTAGCAAATATAGGTTTTAAACTGACCTGAAACAATAGGCATCAACACCAGATACGGTTTGGGCATACTTGGACAATTTCAAACTGAGTTCGATTTCAGGAGCACCACCACCTGCGATCAAAGCCCTGAAACAAAAACAAGATGGAAAATATGTTGAATTCGCAAAATCAGGTTATTTTGGATTAACAGTTGGGTAAATTTACACAGAGATAGATCATATTCGTTAAAGTTAAATCTGAGCAATTTAGGGATGAAAACGGCCGCTACAAAGCCCTGGACCACAAAAGTAGTCTTTAAAAAGACAAACTTTTTCTTATCAGAGACTTCATTGGAAAAACTGTACCATTCTGTGCAGCAGCATGAGCACTGAGGGACGAGATATCAAATTCGAGGAAGTTCTTGCAAATGTATGTTTGTAATTGGTATTTGGTTAAGTCTTTCCTAGTGTGAAAATTTTGTCAAGAAATAATTGCATACACATAGTTTCTTTTTGTGAGGGGGGAGGGGACTTACTTTACCAAAGAGACATTGAAAAATAAAAAGCATAAAGATTGTTGGCCTAGTGGTCAGCGCGTTTGCTCGGTCAATAGGTTACGGGTTCGAATCCCAGTGGTGGCGTCAAATTTTCACAGAACTGACGAGTGGATCTGCTGAAATAGATTCTACTCGGCTTTAATCCCTGAAAATTTAAAAATTCTGGAGCACAGATGTGCCAATCTCTTGATGGCTCTAGGTTCCTGACAAAATATAAGCCAATAAACCAAAAAAAAAAAATAAAGGATACACCTTAGTATAGACTGAATCCAACTGAAGCATTACCTGTTTTTGACAAGACATCTGATAACACAGAGAGCATCATGGAGTGATCGCTCTGCTTCCTCTAGGACTAACTTGTTGCTTCCACGAACGAGAACTGTCACTGTGCGGCCAGGATTGTGAATTCCAGTAATTTTGACAAAACGGCTGTTCCCAGTTGCTACTTCTTCCACCAACTCTGCGGTAGCGAGGTGTTCCGGCAAAAAGTGATCCAAACTGGCAATTGGCCTGCAGTTTAACGTCTGAAAACATCAATAAGCTTATTTAATGACCTTCCCAGGATTCAATAATAAAGAGTAAAACTCGACAGAATTTCATAAGACTGGGCTGCCACACTGTCATGCTGAGGAAAAGCGCAGTGTAAACATTAGAATATTTCCAAATTTACTCTCAGAAAATAATTACGTTTGCGGACAGTTATGCATATTTTTCACTGAAACTTGTAGACACTGCAGATCAAATTACGAACAAAATTCTCTGAAAATTTGGAGCAAAAGTATCTACAAATTTTCTAGAAAATTCAAGATTCATTTAATGAGGTTCGGCAACGTCTGAAGGCTCTCACGGCATTCTCCTTTAGCATGGCAGCATAGGAATAATTGTAGAAGGAAAAAAAAGTATGGGTACAACAGCTGCAGCGTGGTATCATGAGGGAAAAACGCCCCATGTTTTTTGCACTAGGTGATACAGAGGAAACTCCCTTATGCTGTAGTATGGTTATTTCGTTTTGTTTTCCTCAACCTTGAGAGCCTGTCGGTGCCTTGGTTTAGAGAGCTAGTGGGGGAAAAAGCTTCTTTTGTAGCTAACTCACTTTGCAAACGAATTCAATATCTTCACGTTCAACATCTTTGACAACCATGACTTTAATTTTGTCCAAGAAATGTATCGCTAAATCGCTAAGGGCATCTCGCAAGATAGATTTCTGGACAAGGAGAACATTGCATCCACTTTTCTTGATCTGTTTAACGATGTTCAATATGTATGCCCTTTCTTCCTTGAGTACCCTATCCATGGCTGCATAATCTGAGACTATCACGTTGTGGTCCATCTGTGGAACAAATGAGAGAAATGCATCATTAGTTTTACATTGTATTTTGAATGATAAAACTTTTTTCAAAGCTGAATCATTTTATCCGTAAAATTTCTTTGCGTAAACATACAATTAAAAGTATTCGTAACTGACCTGCTCTTTTACAGGAATAGAAAATCTGTCCAATCATGTGATGTGAAGATTGCATGACCATTTAGGAAATTTTTGCTAAAACGGTACCAATAACTATTGGGAAAAAATTCTCACTATTCATCGATAATTACAAATTCTCAGGAAATTTTTCGAGTGTTTTGGATGGCTACTATATGACACTTTTCCTATTATGTAGTCTGAAAAAAATTACCAAGTATCATTTGAGTCTTTGAGAGAAAACATTTTTTTGCTTCGAGGACATTTTTTAAAAAAGGGACGGAAAAGAAAAATGAAATTAACAGGGGGTGATAAAGGATTCAGCCCTAAAAGTGCAATGACCCTTGTTCTTGCCTCATTTTGGCTGTAAACATGTGTAATTCACTGCCACAATATTTCCTCATCATTTTAAAATAAGATGTACGAGCTCAAGATGATGCTGGGTACTTACGTCTGTCTTAGGTGGAGAGATACAGAACTGTATAAGACCAATTTTTGCTTTTTCAACGCGTTTTGGGCCATTGATGTTGGCCGCTTTTTGAGTAAAAACAAGTCCTTCAATAAGTTCTGTGTCTTCAACTGTTCCTCCTAGCTTTGGAATAACTTTGATATCCTGAAAGACATTTAAAGAAAAATATCAGAATACAGGAGCCAGGATCTGAGTTTTCATTTTACGCAAGAGAATCCAGGTCATATATGCCAACCTGTTTCCAGAACAAATGTGAGATACTATGAATTGAAGGTGAGAGGGTTGAATATGGTACTGCTGCCATTTAAGGTTAACATTTTGCGGTCAAGAAGAGATTAGATTTGATTGATTGTATTCTTTTAATTTAGATCAAAATTTGTAGGTATCCCTGTTAATGCAGAAAAAAAGAGCATCGACAGAAATTCAAATTTTTGAAGTCAGCCTTCCTCTTTCATCTCAGTGCTTCATCAGAGAAGCTCTAATATAGCTTTCAGGACCAATTTCTTAAGGAAGAATGACCTTCCGTTCTCAGAAAACTTAAATTTCTGAAAAACATGTGTGTGATGGGAAAACTGAGGTTCTTAAAGGTTTCCACAGCATAAAGTACGTACATATATACATTACTATCATGTCATGTCTAATACACAGAATTCTTTTTTCTCATTTCTTTTAAACAGGAAGGGAACAAATGAGTTCTTCGTGATAACAGATGGTTTTATCTGAAGTCTTATCTCAAGGGGACATGAAAAATTGTGAAAAAATTCTAAGGTATAAGCGAGGGATACCTGCACTTAGAGTTTCAGAAAAATTCAACACTGACTATGGTCCCTAACTATCATGCACCCTTTTCCTCGTTATTTTAGGAAAAAAATAAAAATTGTTTCACAAAGTTTGAGTAAGAACAAACTTGATCAAAGAGAAAATAAAGAGTATTATTTCTTACATTCAGACTGCAAAGTGACAAAAAAAAAAAAAAAACACGGTTAAGTTATTACATTTACCTTTAAATCAACATTGGAATCGCGGGCTGGATCGACAACTTTGAGAACTGCATCTACAGCAAGAGGAGCTAACAGAGAAGACTGCTGGGACACAACCTGGAATTGAGAGGAAACGTAGGGACCGTAAAATATTGAAAATGACAAGTTGTACAGGTAGCATTTTATTTAAATTCGAGTGAAGCTAGCTTGAGAGCTATTTTGCAAGTTGCAGGAGATGTGCCACAGTGCGAGCACCACTTGGAAGACAAAAAATTTTATTCAAGACTTATTTTATAACTTTAAAACTTTCTGGTTAAATTATGGTTTGAAGGTCGAATTTTAATGTTTGAAAGTAACCTCACTGGAGTAATTTTCTAGTTTCTGTAATTTCAGCGTAAGAAGATTGAAATCTTTGAGGTAAATCCATAGCTCTGCGAATTACTAAAATTTCAAGAAACGACTAAATTTGAATTTTATTCAAGTTATGTTAGAAATACATGCCAATTCCATGAGACAGAGACACATGTTTTAAAATATCTCAGAAGCAAAGGTAGAATTTACCTACAAAAAAAAAAAAAAAAAACAAAGGAGGAATTTAGTCATTGTCTGACTTCGTTCAGTTGATTTGGGGTGAAGCTGTTCGATTAGTAATAGGTACATCAAACTAGCCGCAATAAGTGGAACTAAGAGTCCTGAATCCACCTTACGCATTGAAACGATCATTTGAGATAAGAGATGTTCTTACTTTGGAGTTTAGAGAGGTAGATGCGCTCTTGATTAAATTTTCTTTGTCACTAAGGTCAACTTTCTTGGCCATCTCTGCCAAAAATTTGACACACTGCTGCGCAGCCTTTTGAAAAGCATCTGAAATGACGGTGGGGTGAATTCCCTTGGCAAGAAGCTTCTCTGCTGCCTCCAACAAGCTTCCGGCAACGACAACTACACTGGTTGTTCCATCTCCTGCTTCAATATCTTGAGCTTTGGACAGTTCCACTAACTGAAAAAACAAAACCCGAACATTTTAAAATTGAGAAGGCGTTAAGAATACAGAGTGCGGTACACTATTCACAGTGATATAAGTTTCTTGTGCTTTGGAGCAGGGAGAAAATTAAGTTACGACAACTACTGTCCTGCGACCATGAGTTCGAAAGCAATGATTAAAAACAGAGATATTAGTACTCGGTCTAAAATTTTTGAACACTTTTTACAATTTCTATGACTTGAACTCCTTGAACACAAACACTGAAATCCCTTTCCATGAGCGTTTCCCAAGGTGATTACGGGTCCAGAGAATTTCGTACACATCTTAAAGTTTGACAAAAGTTAAAGAGCTATTTCATGCTCTAGGTGCTCTTTTCAGATCAGCATCTATTCCACACCATCATCCAATGAAAGATATGTTTTGATTTTTGAAAAACTTGAATTCAGGGTGTCTAGCAGGCAGATTCCCTGACAGTTTTCTTGATTTCCCAGACATTTCCCGGTAGCTAAACACCCTGGAATTAGACCAAGGAAACAACCAAAGATTAGAGGTAATTTGCTTAAAGTTGTAAGAGAGGGCTACAAGGGTTTACGCACCATTTTCGCGGCAGGGTGCATAAGACTCATCTGCTTCAGAATGGTAGCTCCATCATTTGTAATGGTGACTTCTCCATTGGCAGCTTGGATCTGGGAAATGAATCAAAATTTGAATGAACAGAAAAAGTAATGGGCTAACTTACTGAGACAGAAATGGCAGTTGTACCTCAAAACGAAGTTGTTAAATTTAATTAATAATTCAAAGTTAAATCATTAGGGCAAAATAATATTCAGCTTCAAAGATTAAGCCCTTCAAATGAAAGCTTCTGCTTCCCAAAATTATAGTATCTCATGAGAAATATCCGTATCATCAATTTCTTAAAAAATTTGTGATGAGATATTAGACAAAGAGCTAGGAGCAGTTCCATTCCTTCTGAAGGAAAGAATAACAAAAGCAGTGAAAAATGCAGCATAGAAGATTACCATTTTATCCATTCCTCTTGGACCTAAACTGGTTCTGATAGCATCTGCAACGGCTGCAACATATGAAAAATACATCAATTTTCTAAGAGGGACACAGGAGAATGAAATTTCAAGTATGATGATTTGCCTTGGAATACTTTCTTTGAAATCATGCCTTAAGTATTTCATAATCAGTCAACTTACTGAACAATCTTAATTGTCTTGCAACGGTGCGCACTAGGTATTCCTGTCATGATAGAGTGTCACAAAGTACGAGTGGTAAGCCTCAATAACTTGAAACTTTTAGTGTAACAAGGCATCAGCACCACTGTTGCAATGTTTCCATGTATGACAACAGCTCTGCCATGATGGCGTGGAGAGCAGTAAATGTCAACTTTTCAAAATCCAGTTTTCATCAAAATTCATCTAATCTCTTTTCAATGAAATCACTGAAATAGCTAAACCAGCAAAATCCATCTGATTGTATAAAAAGAGACATGTGAGAAAGCTTCAAGTGCGCAAAAAATGACGTAGTTTCAGGCAAGATAGCTGCGGCTTGATTGTTGAAATTTTGTGTTTGTCGGGTAGACATAGATGACGTAGGTTAAAAAAGGGGGAGCATGATTGGTCGGCTATGTCTTATCGCTGCTTTGTTGTGCCTATATGGAATGGAACTCACAACAAGCTAAAGGTACCTCTTAAGCCTCTGACAGTATGTTGTCCATTCCACCTGACAACGGCATGATAAAGCAGCGATAAGACATAGCCGATCACGCTCCACCTTTTGACCTATGTCATCTATGTCTACCTGACAAACACAAAATTTCAACAATCGGGCTGCAATAAGTGACATTATTCCTCCAGTGAGCCATGAAAACAGTGCTTTCAAGTAAAGTGCCGTCCTCTTCTGCCGATTTCTAACCTGAAAATGTGATTATTGTCTGTCCAAAGCGCAACCGTGAAAGGATGCAGAAGATCGCACTTACAGCTGTCTTGTATGACACCAGCCTAACATGAAAATGAAAAATATCCTTTAAATGTAAAATTATCCATACATTTTCCAAGAGTCTTTCGGATGATCAGTGACAATTTGACAAAGAGCAGAGGCTTCTTTCGATAAAATTTCCCGGTCAGAAGCTTCTGAGCCCATCTTCTTAAAACTTCATTTCTGCACTTGTGACTCTTTTCGCTATCACACAAGCAGTCTGAATGTTCAATCAATGACGTTCACGGGCTAAGTCTGAATGCATGCTATCATGCTGTTCTTACAGCCGGGACTGCTTGTGTGATAGCAGCTTAACGGACAAAATTTCTAAGCAGATTTCAGAAATTTTTATGAGGCTCCTAGCCTCACTTCTTTTGATTACCCTTTTCTTGTGAAAATTAATTCAAGTAATGATAATTTTTTAGTACAAATTACCGCAGTTATCTCAAACAAAAAAATCGATCACAACTTTCGCATAGAAGCAAGATGAGAGCTTCTCTGAGATCTGCTAACTCCCAGACTTGTTCAGCATGGGAGAATGAATCACTCCCATCCACAGATTCAAATCCATTGTCGGTGAGAGCAATTCCATTAACAACAAAAACGGGTGGAAAAGAGAAGAGACAAGGTACAGAATTCTGGTGCGGCAGCGATCTTCCGTGCATGCAAACTGCTAAAAAAGGAACTAGCCTTTGGTTATGTCTAACTGAAATGAAGAGTTTCATCGCCAATCCCAGAAATTAGTGAGAAAGGTCTTAAATCTGAGATAAGTGGAAAACAAAGGGTGCGAGATTACCTTTGGCAGCTGTAATGTTGCTGCTTCGAATATCCTTTGGCTTGCTTTTATCAATGTATGCGCCAGTTTTGGATCGCTTGTTATCACCTGAACTATTTGAAGCCGTCATCTTTGATCGCTAAAGTTAAAAATTACAATAAATAACCGGGTAAAATATCACACGTGATTAGGAGAATGATTGAGAATGGTGAAGGAAGAAGGAAGCCGACATGCGAGAATATGAGTTCAGACTATCAACAAGCACCAAAATCTACAAAACAATGTTGAGTGATGAGGTAAGAAAAACTGCCAAGTGAAAAAAAAAATTTAATTTTTAACAAACACGTGTTAAAATATTTTACTTTACATAAACTTGACAACCTAGCTAAAGTCTCCTGAAATCTCTACCCCTCTCCACTCTACCGGTTGTTACCCCCCTTCTTCCCCCCTCTCTACTCAAACACACTGAATTAGGGTTATCTATTCTCTTAGTCATAGTCGAAGTGAGAGTATCTTTCTTTAATTACATTTTAAGACTTTATCCCATTTTATCCTACCTTCCTCAATATTTTAATTATGGCCGAAATAGCTCGCTCCCTCATGAAGTTTTAAAGATATTCAGTGTTTGTTTTTTTCAAGGTGTGTTTCAAATGCAACAGGAGTGTGCTGTGAGCAAGATCATGAAAAATTGTGCTGGAGATAAATCTTGATGACCTGAATGAAGATTCTCCTTGATTATTGATTGAACTTCTCGCTTAGTAAATCTCCGAAATTTGGGTGAGTAAACTCTGTAAATTGGTCTTTTCATTATTGTCATCCGCGTCCCTGCGTTCTGTCTCCAAACAGAAACACCTGACCAAACGAAAATTTAACAAATCCTTCACCAGAATAGAGGGAATTCTCTGAAATTTCATTCCAGGTTACTCAGCGCATATTCAGACTCCATCAAAATTCAGTGATGAAATAGCTCAATCTTTCAATTTGGAAAACTCCGACTCAGAACTTGACAGGAGCTCTCGGTATTTTGCGTAACCCTGAAACCAACATCATCAGCAAGTTCTTTGCCTCAGCAGAGGTCAGCATGTAAATATTAGTACATGCAACTCTGCCTGTGAGAAAATTTTGACCACAGATACAGTCTATTAACCACTATTATGTACTGGTTTAATAGGGGGATTTGCACCCACTATAGAGCACTGGAACTTTGTCAAAGAGTGATAAAGCTGGAGCAGATTGTATTTACTTAGACACGTTGATATTCTCTTATATCAGTAAGGTGAATTTAAGAAAATAATAGTTCAATCAAAGCTCATTTATTCATGGAGAAAAGTTACTTGAACTCACTATCTACACACTAGAGACAAACCCTCTCTTCTTGAAAATATTGGCCCCTAAGTTTTCCATACACAGCGTTTTTGTACACTCATCTGATTCCTGTTAGAAATTGCAGCCTTGGCGACAGCTTATTAAGGACAAATGATTTATAAACTAATATTATTTTTGAGCGTTGGACAACCTTTTTGGTTACTCTGGTGAATTTTCTTGTAAGAACCAACTTACTGTTGCCAAATTCATCATTTGCACAACAAGTCAATCTAAAGAGCTCTGATCCATTGAAAACGCTGTGAATGTTTGCTCCTGCATAAAATGCCTACTCAAACACTATTCAACTCGACCAAATTGTTCGTTTCATGTAGTATTAATTCATTTTTGTTTTTTCACAGGTTAATTGCTGTAGAAGCTAATATTTGTTGTCTGTGATTTTAGCCGTAAGATTTTCAAAATGGTTTTCAGAAAAGTGAACAAGAAACTACTTCCAATGAAAGCTCATTATTTCCTATTTAATACAGGTTTGTCTTCTCTTGTATTTTAGGCTGATGATCAAGCATCTAACCAAGTATTCATTTACTATTACCATGATGGAGAAATTACAGGGACGGTTTCGTGTCTAATTTGTATTTTTGAAGAGGAGGAGCCTCGAATAGGAGCTCTTTAAGTAGTTCCAAGATTTTAAAAATGCATCAAGATTCAATGAGATGGATTTTTTTCTTTTTCAAGCACATTTTCATTTCCTAGAATAAGGAATGTAACTCCATTCTAAGGTTGCAAAATTGTATAAAATAACTTAACTTTTTAAAAATTTAAAATTTAAAAATTAATTTTTTTTTTTTTTAAGGGCAATGTATTTCCTTTGGGAGCAACCAACATGATGTCACACTGGCTGTGGATGAATGAAGGCCGGGTGGGAGAATTGATTTAGAAAAGATGCACAGTGACCAACCTGTGTGGATTGGTCTTGGTGTAAATAATGTCTCCTCGGGGACTGAATAGCTGTTTGCTAGCCGCCCATCTCTGATTTGCACCACAGCCCAAAAATGCTTCCATGTATGAATTGTAAAATGAATAAATAAGTTTTCAAGTTTTCCTCCTGATGGTATATTTTTTTTTTTTTTTAATACAGGTACTGGTCCAGTTGTTCCTTTCCTCCCGCCACTAGCAAGGCAGTTGGGGTTTTCCACGGCTGTAATTGGTTTCATCTACACAATCTTGCCGATATTTGGCATGATAGCCAAGCCAACGCTCGGTGCAATAGCAGATCGATACCACTGTCAGCGCTCTTTGTTCCTTCTATCAATGCTTATTGCATGTATTGGCTTCTTTTCAATTAGTTTTGTTCCTCCGATCGTCATTCATACTAAAGTTCACCTTCGCTGCGATGGCGAGACCATTTTTGACATCCGTGTAGATGGCCACGGAGGTGCCTGTGAAAAAGAAAAGTTCCTTGAAGAGCTAAAGCAGCGGAACTTCACTCTATCGTGTGATGTAAGGACCTCTTTATTTATTCGAGACTTATTGAATAACCTCTATTGGACTACATTTTGCAATTCAGAACTACATTTTCTAGCCCATATGTAATAACATTCATATGCATAGGGAAACTAATGGTATATATGTTGTTTCTTAACTAAGCTGGATTTTGTAGTTCCAAGTTGCAAAATGCAGTCCAACTAATGTGAAAATTTAAGGTTTCCTACAGACTCTTCTATCAATTGAAGCTTTATTCAGAATAAATATAAACATACATTTTGCATCTATTGCCTTTTAGTTGAATAAACTTTATGGGCATCAAAATTTCAAATGCAATAGCCTCTTTCTAGTTCCTCTTGTTGATTCCTCTTGTCCAGTAGATTACTTATCAGTATCAAATTTTAAGGATCCATCAAATTTCTCCTTTTTTTTAAAAAATTGTTTAAATTTCGCTTGAACCATTCTTAAAGATCAGATTTGTTCAAAAGCAGATTTTTTCCCACTAAAGCACTGTCAAATTTTGGAGGCAAATACCTAAATGTAAAAGCTGAAATAATTTAATGGACTGTTATTAGGTACCAAAAGAAGAAAGCCTTCTTTTTTTCTGTCTTGTCAGCAGAGCATAATGACTTGGAATTCTTCTGTTTTTGAATACTTTACTAATTTTCGAACTACGATTTCTCTAACTTTTTCAAACAACACCAGCTTGAAGTATAGTTATTTTTTTGTACCTTTTGTCTTCATTTCACGAGATTTAATCTTTGTTCTAGATGATTTGTGCTAGTAACAATGGATCATCCTTTGCTGATCAAATTTGCAAGTGGGGCAACACTGACTACTGCCTCAATGACGCACGCACTGTGAATCAAGTCTCTTTTGTCGCTAAACCAGAAAGTTCAGCGAAAAAATCAGACTTATTAGGTAAAACGTCGCAAGTGGCCTCAAAACGGAAAGATGCACTGTACAGAGTCTCCAAAGAGTTTAACAATCCAGAATTCTTTGAGTTCAAAGCAGAAGTTGAGACATATTTTGTTGAATCCGTCGGTGTAAGTCCTTTGGATGTTTTCCCATAACCATATGTTCATTCATAGTGTCAATCACTTCATGTATCTGCAGGACCAGGAGTGCAGAATTTCCAAACTTCCACATTCTCATGCGCCTACCCACTGGTTTCCCACATTTTTCTAATTGGCTTTCCACGCAATCTCTGACCAATTTCAAAAATTATGACCTTTTTTGACTTGAAACTCTTAAACTTGTTTGTGCACCCGCCCTTGTTTCCCTGTGCATGACATGTTTTCTTTTCAGAAATGTCCAAGTTAATTAGTAGCTATTTTTGCATTTTCCTTATTGTTGTTAATCATGTTGCAAAATTAGGTATTGATCCAAGTTATCCTTAACTTTGGAAAGGGTTCATAAAGGTGCGATGTTACTCTCTTCAAAATACAATTCACTCAGCATATGATTTTCAAGACTAGAGGAAGCTTAGCAAAGTTGGGGAGTTCTGAAAAATCTGCTGAAGAGTAAAAGAATGCTCCTTAACAGCACATTTCGCACAAATTAGAGGTGTAGTTATTTATTTCATGCCAAATCTTGAACCCAAAGTCATGAAATAATTTTATCTCATGAACAACAATGTATCACATGTCTACCATAATCTGATTTCAGATTAAAAAAATATATTTTTTGATCTCCAAAAAAGGCAATGGCTCATATGGACAAGTAGTCATGTGATATTTTTAAAAGGAAAAATGACCAATAGTTCCTATTGAAATTTTCTGTTAGTTTACCTCTTTCAGTTTAAAATTTTTTATTAAATCGTAAAAAAAACTTTGATAGGTTTTCCTAAAAGAAAAAATCAAACATAATAGGAAATATTCAAACATTGTAGTTGAGTTGCGTAATTTGAGCATTTAGCCATGGGTACATTAATTTCAAGTAAAGTAATTAGTTAATTATTTCTGTATTGAAAGAAAAAAAAGAGTAGAAATTTTGAAACAATGCAATGGGAATGTGTATCATTCCAGCATCATCTGCTTGTAGTTCTTATCTATCATATTCAGAATACATGACATTACACAGGAAACATTTTTCTCAAGTAGTGAGACATGCTATTCTAAATTATATAATTCTCTTCTTTTTATTTCTGTGTCGCAGGATAAAATGTATTTCCCAATCAAGCGGGCCTTTTTTGCGTTGCCAGGCAAATACTTCCATCCATATTGCTCCGAAAAGCACACCGCAACTTGCCAGTTGAACTGTGATGATGAATGGGTAGAAGACATGGTAGCCAAAGTCACTGCAGACGAAAACGGCCTCAATGACAAAGAAGTGTTGAAGTTCTATGAATTCTGGGTCTTTTTGTTCCTGCTTGTTATTTCGTGGGTCTGTATGGCAGCTGTCGTTAGCATTGGTGATGCAATTTGTTTCGAGCTACTTGGTAAGTTCACAACATGAACTGTTTTACAAAGAAAATACCCAATGATTCTTTTTAGTCGTGCGGCGAAGCCGTATAGACTCTAGGTTTCGCCGGAGGCTAAAAAGTGTCCACACTTTTAGGCTAAGTCCAAGAGGAGAATTTTCGAGGAACCAAGTAACATATGAAGTATTGATATCGGTGCATTTTGGCCCAATGGAGATGTTACATGTGCGAGGCATTTGCAATTTGACTGTTGATTCTTGTATAAAAGTTCACGAGGAANACTTGTTTAATTTGTTTCCTTGCCCATTCAGGTACCCCACGGTTTTACAAATTTTTGTTTCCCTGCAAAATCAAGCGTTATTTCTCTGCAGGGGCAATTTCAAGAAAGATCTTACCGTTGATATCGTTATTCTTGTACCAAAAACTGCAGGAAACAGTGCATTTGCAGGCAAAATTATCCAGTCTCCTTTTAACTAGCTTAACTTAAATAATCGAATTCTCTTGGGTTCAGTCGACTTATTTTTCGATAACTTCCCGGTAATTGATTCCCTTAACTCTAAGTCAAGGTTGCCATAGTCAGGGAAAACCAGGAAATGTCAGGGAATTTTAAAAAGTCAGGGAAAACCTGGAAATGTCAGGGAATTTTAAAAAGTCAGGGAAAATCTGGAAATGTCAGGGAAAAATTGATAAGCACCTTTATCTGTTCTCTAGAATGGGTTTGACGTTACAAAGTTTTAAACAACTAATTTTGCCCTAGAACTATTTCTTATTATGTATTTATATCCATCTGGCATATCTTCAATTGTCAGGGAAATGTCAGGAAATTTAATTTTTTACATTTTGTCAAGGTACACTCTACTACAGCTATGGACAAACGGGGCAGCGCTCAGAATATAGGCCATCGAGTGACGTCGCAAGTCGCACTATCTTTGCTGCGCAGTTCAAAATGACCTTGAGTCAGGTCTGGTAGCTTCAATAAGCTATCAGATGAATTTAAAAAATTGATAAAACTCAAAATAACGAAAAACTTAACTAAGAACACAAATAAATAAAACAAAATTGACGAGACCCACTCTCAGAACAGAAAGTAAACAAGTTTTCAGTATGGCGTTGCAGTCATACCATTGGACGCTGTCAAATCTGCTCATTTCGGCGTCTTTCTAAAATTCCATTTGTCTGCACCTGTAGTAGAGTGTACCTAGAGAGTTTGTGGCAACTCTGTTAAGTTTGTTCACAACCAGAGCTACTTTTTCTAATTCACATTAAATTTCCTCCTCAGGAGATCGACCAGAAGACTATGGGCTGCAACGTGTTTGGGGTGCAATTGGTTGGGGTCTCATCTCTCTCATTGCGGGACCTCTAGTGGATTTGAGAAGCGGCAGTCAACATACCAAAGATTACTCACCCATCTTCTATCTGTGTGCTGTTTTACTTCTCATTGATATGTTGGTTTCGTCAAGAATTAAGGTGAGAATCTTGACAGCTCTTTAAGTATACTTTATTTTACTGGACACCCTCAAGTAAAGTTCCGCTTCCAGAGTTATGCTGGATTAGTCTCTAAAATGACTGTTTTGCCTCCTCTACTAGCCTCGCATCTCACTCAATTGTGTACATGGAGCAACAAAATGTTGTGAAATAAATAAGAGACCGTTTTGCCTATTTTACTAGCCTCGTCTTCCACTCAGTTGTTTACAAGGAGCAACAAAATTTTGAAAAATACACTATCTAGAATAAGAGAAATTAGGAAAATTGTTTTCGGAAAAAAAAAAGCTTTTTTTGAGCCCTGAGGGCTCTCTTGCATCTATCTCCTCAATTTAAAGTATTAATACAGCAATAGTCAGAGCACAAAATACCACTACAACTTAATTTCCTTCGCCAAAATTTCAGGTGAAACATGTTGAACATACTGTAAATGTCTCAAATCAACTCCCAGGTAAAAAATTAGCTTTAATGATTCACATTAGAATCAGCCAATTCAAACTTCACCTTAGCCAACAAAAAAAAGCAAAGTTCGTCAAATTCATTGATATTCTGTCGTATTTCGTTCAACCCTCAATTGTTCAAATCCCGGCCAGTTGTTTTGCATTAAAGCGACTCTCAAAATAACGTTTTTGTAGGAACAACGGTACTTTTAATTCTCCCTTGCAAACGATCTAATGAAGTACGACGTAAGTATTTTACGATGGAATAGGTTGAAATCATTTTTTTTCTTTTTCTTTTTTTTTTCAGTTGAGTCAATCAAAACTCTCCTCAAACATATTAAAAGATGTTGGGAAACTCCTCCGAGATGTTCGTGTTGTCGTCTTCTTGTTCTGGTGTATCTTCATTGGAATGTGTGCAGCATTTGTGTGGCAGTTTCTTTTTATCTTCCTAGAAGAAATGACCAACGGCATGGACTGTAATGCTAAAGCGTGGATGAAAACACTTGAAGGCTTGTCCATGTTTATTCAGTGTTTTGGCGGAGAACTTCCAGTCTTCTTTTGCTCAGGTTAGTGTTCACCATATTTAATTACCAATAGACAATGTCGAAGAAAATGATGTATCATCCGAAACAAATGAGTAATTTACCCGCCTTTGGATCCAAAAAGGCCGGTCATCACAACCTAAGATTTGCTTAATGTTAGCTGCGATCCTAGGATCCTAGAGACCATGTTTTACTGGATTCCTCTTGGTGAAGACAAGACTAAGCTAATTATTGGATGTCATCAGTTAGCTTTGTCAGTTGGTCTCCTGATGACACTCATTTCATTGATTCCAACCGGCATAAACTTGACACAGAAGACAACTAACAAAGCTGACCAATCGCATAGCTCCATTTTACCCCTGTTTTGTCTTGTTCAGCCAACAAGCAGGAAATCCTAATAGAGAATTTATCTAGTACTGCTCGGAAATTCACTGTTGCTCAGCTGCAGAATCGGGCCCAATAAACAAGGTTTCTCTTTCGCTGTAAAAATGAAGTAAAAAAGTTAGACGGTCCTATCACTCCTTGTAAGTTGATATAATACCGAATGTAAATGTTGCCTCTAGTAACTTTTATCACTGTTTCACAATAATTTTTGTATGATTTTACCCTAGGTTGGATCCTCCGTAAACTAGGCCACGTGAACTCAATGTCTCTTGTCTTGTTAGCCTTTGGAGTGAGGTTTCTACTATATTCACTGCTTTCTAACCCGTGGTATTCTTTACCAATTGAGCTACTGAATGGGTTCACGTTTGGACTGTTATTCCCAACAATGGCCTCGTATGCCAGCATCATCGCCCCGCCTGGAACTGAAGCATCCGTTCAAGGATTAGTTGGCGCTGTTTTCGAAGGAGTTGGTCAGTATAAAATTCAATTTCTAGTTTATTAGTTCAAAAATATGTAGGAAGCATGTGGACATTTTTTCATAAAAATTTGTAAGAATGAAAGTGAAAACTTCCCAATCCAAGTAACTCCTGGGCCACTTTCCTGCAAAATTTTGGTATGCAAACAGACGTGTATGCTCCTATTTAACTTCATATTCACCTATTTAAAGAAATAAAATAGGAACTAAGATTTCAAGACACTTCAGGCAAGATGCGTGGTTTGGGTGTTTCACCGTTGATGTGACCCTCTGTTTGAATTTCTAGTAGGGATTATATTAGTTTTTGCACAAAATGTCAATGGACTTGGATGAAGTAATTCTAAAATTGAAATGACTGCTGCTTTACCATAAGGTGAAATTAACTCTTTTAAATTACTCTCTTTCCATCTTCTTAGCTTTTATTTTCTCTCTGTTGATCACACTGCAGGTGTCTCTTGTGGAAGTTTAATCGGTGGATTGCTAGCTGGGTGGTATGGCGGAGCTGCTTTATACAGAGTTGCCGCAATTGGATGTTTTCTTGTCTGCGTTCTTCACGTCATGATTCAAAAACTTATTGATACCAGATACAGGCGAGGAACAGCGAACAAAGGTAAGTAAATCTCTACTGTTTGTGCTAATGTTCTTTTATTACATGTTATTATTTTCTTTACATCAGTTAGTTGAAACTTTTATTCTTTTCTGTCACATTTCATCCAAATTTTAATATTTTGGATAGTCGTGCTGTCCTTGGTGAACCAAAACAAAGTCAGGATTACTATCAACTTTACTAGGGAGCTGCATCTTTATGATGTTTGGTCAGAAAGGCCCTTATATGTACATTTGTATGCATGTACGTTTTCTTAGTGATACATACACTTTTGGAGAAAGTGAAAAAGTGTGTATCTCTGGTTGTAACCTCGCAAATCTCCGATAATTTTTTATTTTTTCCGATTTTTCGAAGAAAGGAACAAACTGTTTTTCTTTCAATTTTCTTCACTCATTCAAGAATATTTACAAACAATTTCAAGATTGTATTTTGGTTATTTTCTAAAAAAATTTATAAAAATATTTCTAAAAAATAAAACCTGATTCCAGATTTTTAACATCGCAATGAATATGCACAATTATGAACCGGAGCTGTTGATTCGCCAATTGTTCTACAGCATAAATACCCTAATTTTACCATTCAATACAACTTGTAAGGAAAAAATCGTGTTTTTTTTATCAACCCAACAGAAAATGTGTTTCTTGGTCATTTGCCGATGTTCCTTGAAAACTCTTGCATCTGTCTAGCTTAGATAACCGAGTTCTCACTGCAAATAATTTATAAACAGCATCTGAAAGCTTGTGTTCACATGTTACCTCTGTTTCTCCATTTATTTCAGATGTAGCAACAAACGCAATCTATACCTCTCCAACAGAAGCTATCCATATGCTGGAAAATGAAGCAGGAGACACGATTTCATGATTTTTAGCTGGAGCTCCTCACTCCTCTAGAGTTTCTGTTTTCTGTATTCTGTTACACCCCAGAAGATTTTCCTGACGCTTTTGAATTTATCTCTCAGTGATGATGCACTTCGAAGGTAGAGTTTTTTTCTCATGTCTTGTTGATTTGCAGCTTCTGTTTGCATATTTTTGTCAGTTTTAAGTGGCTAAAACCACAGAGATTCGACGGCCGAGGGTCTTCCTTTCTCATTTTTCACCACGAAAAATTCATAGATTCGCAGTTTTTATTCTCATCCTGCAGGAGCTCTTTTGCATTTATAACCATTCGATTTCTCCGTCATACAGAAATGAATTCTCCTTCACAATACAACAGCGATTGACTAACGACAACTTAACTAGCAACATTCTAACAGATGCAGTGCAATGTTGTTCATTGGCTTGTCTTTGACTGAAGATCTTCTCATTCCTGTCACCTGTGTTAGTGATCATTGACCATTGCTGTATTTTTCATCACTCCGTTTGTTTGTAGCTAACAGAAGAATGTAGAAAGTTTTTGGGCCATTGCTTAATTATCACACACATTTATTTACTGAATTCAACTACATCTGTCGCCCTAATGGTTTTGCTAGTTCAAGGACAGTTTAAGAACAAAGTCTTTAGCAAGGCATTGAGCAATTTTTTTTTGAGAATCATTTTTAATACTATCGATACCATTATTTCTACAACTACAACACATAACAAATAGAATACAGGGTGTAAATACAGTAAATCGTCACCTTCCAGGCAAAGTATCACAAGCGCCATGCGACGTTTAAAAATTTCCGCCGCCATTTTATTTTTTTACTGAGAAATTGTTGGTTGAATCTGTTCGAAAATTTCACTAAATTTTAACAGCAGCACAAAGAAAATTCGGTGTAATTTTCGGACAGGTTCGTTGAACAATTTCTCTGTAAAAAAATGTAATGGCGGCGGAAATCTTTAAACGTCGCATGGCGCTCGTGATACTTTGCCTGGAAGGTGACGAAATGTTGTTATATATTATATTCGGCTGATTACTTTTATTATGTCCACTGTCCATCTATACTATCATAATCAAAATATATCATCGTAAAAATTTATTTGAGCTTCAACTTTGTTTCTGTATTCAATGCCAAAGAATCATTATTAACAAATCAAGTCATTACACAGTTTTTAAACTTGCAACGAGGATTCTGTGTGTGTAAAAAATTTAGTCATGCCAGCAAACACCAGTATGGAAATAATTAAGTCTACAAGATGCGAATCCTGTCTGTAGCAACAGTGTATAGAAGTGGTCTCCTTACTCCATGTAATGGACAAAAATTTGCTGTCTCTCACGGGAAGGAATGTATCTTAATTGCGCTATTTGAGTATTTCTTACTTATATTTAATTTTTTATGGGAGAACCATCGTATGAATTTGCCTGAAATTTTTAATATTTCTATACAGTCATGAGATTAAATACTTAAATTTACATATAATATCATGCAATGGCTCTCTTATAAACAAAAATAAATGTTTGTAGGAGTACTGAAAAAGCATAGACAAACTACGTTCCTTCCTGTGAGAGAATACAAATTGCAGTTACAATTCTTTAGTTTTAAGTTGTGTACAATTTATCTCTTTGATTCTAAAACATTCCTGATCATTTTTGCTTTTAATTTTATAATTATTGTGGATGTTGGACCAGAGAATGCTGCCTACATTTTGGTATAGGCTGTGGTAATGGTTTACTGGTATACGATTAAGGGTTTATACTGTGATGCGGGTAACATCCTCTCGTTCTCCGATGTTGAACTGACGTGAAGAAAGGAAGGTGTTCGAAAAGACTCTCCTCCTCTAAACGGTGGATCGAAAAAAGATCATAGCTGTCTCAACTCAAGATCAAGTGGTGAACTGAAAAAATTAGTTTATTTTCCATTTATATAATCAAAGAGTGCATTTACTTATGGTCATAAATGAGGGGCTTGGCGGACAAGGCGCATAAGTGCAGTTTTTGAAAAAATAGAGATATTACTGATTTGAGGTGAAACTAGTCTTACTTAATGTATATTCTGAGCGAAATTCGCTTCTATATTCCAATTTTTAAGCATCAAAAAGTCAGTTTGAACCTTCTATCTGTCATAAGTATCCATGTAACTGCAAAACTTCGAACACATATTTCTCAAAATAACAAAAACTGCACTAATACGCCTTGTCCTTCAAGCCCCTCAAATATGAAACACCTTTTCCTGCCTTAATTTAATGGGCCTGTTGCAAACTTTTGCTAGAGCAAAACTAAGAGTTGTTTCCTGCAGATAATGCCTCAAAAATCACGATGAGCGCATCGGCAAAGTCTGAAATGCACTCATAACTTCACAATCTGCGTAAGATATTTGCGTTTTTTTGAGCCTCCCGCTTCGAAAACGATACTACGGTACAGGTGAACATTTTGTTAGAGGAGTCGTTCCATTGGCGACAATACTCATCATGGCCGACGCCAGTCCGCCAAAACACGTGTGATGGGACGAGATAACACCTGAACAGGGTTAAACCATATAACAATCGGCGTGTTTACGTTCATATTTTCCTCGCCCGCCTTAATTGACCGTGAACTCTCCTCGAATTACGCGAGGAACTGCGCAAGCGTCGGCCATGATGAATATTGCCGACGATGGAGCGACTCCTCTAACAAAATGTTCACCTATGCAGTAGTATCGTTTTTGAAGCGGGAAGCTCAAAATAACGCAAATTTCTTACGCAGATTGTGAATTTATAAGTGCATTTCAGACTTTGCCGATGCGCTCATCGTGATTTTTGAGGCATTATCTATAGGAAACAACTCTTCATTCTGCTCTAGCAAAAGTTTGCAACAGGCCCATTGTTAACCTTTAGCTGTGTGTAAGAAGAGGAACGTGCGTATCCTCTTTCAGATGGTTGGCAAAAATACTTAAGCTGTCAAAAGAGCAGTATCGATAAGGGCCGTTTTTGGGCCCACTCTGAATTTCCTCAACTCTTCGTTTCTTTGTCCATTGAAGGTCTATTTACGGAATGCATCATGATTCGCTCATGGGGTATATTTGGTTCTAATTCTAACACTGGCGTAAATGGGGGCATTAAGGCCAATTTTGGCGAAGAATGCGGATTTTTCGCCAATATTGGCCCGCATATACATGTTTAGGCTATTATTAGACTTATAAAGAAACTGGAAACGACTGACTCATGGACTGGTGTATTTCATAAAATATAAACCTATAGTGCGTAAAAACTTGTAGAGTTAAGGAAATTCAGCTAGGGTAGGCCCAAAAATGGCCTTTATCAATGCCCCTCCTTTCATAATTTTTCTTAGAGGTACCTATATGCTCGACACGCTTTCTTCATACTTAAAGAAATATTTCAGTGAGACGATAATTCGGGCAATATTTGTCACTATTCCTTTTCAAAAATACAATATCGAAGGGAATGCCACAAAGTTTTTTTCTTTATGCTTAGATGCGTCCATTTTGACAAGTGAAAACTTTAGATGCGTTCTAGTATTCTATGCATTCTGCTTTGAGTTTTCAAAGTTGCAGCTTGGTTGGTTCCAGATAAAAAAATTTGATGGCCCCTACGATCGAATAGACGCAACCCTCTCTGTGTAATTGTAACAAGGGGAGAGATTATTGATGCGGAAGGAGGAGATTCTGTTCTCCATTTTCTTTGTGTTTTCGTTCACACAATCCCTAGTTTTGTTGCAAAATGATTTAAATGTTTTTTTTCTTTTCTTTGAAAAAAGTCGTTTCTTTTGTAAGTGGGCAAGAAGGAGATAACAGCGCAACAGACTTTTTGTACCAAAGTCTGGTCAAAATATAAAAAATGTTTTGTTAAATTTAGTAAGGGTGTTTGGAAAATAATGAATATTTACCTTTTTTCTTGTCTTCGCAGGAGTATCATTGTTGAAATTTTTATGGATTTTTTCCCTTAACACTAACTGGAGCAACTTTTTCTTTATTCTTATTTTTAAATGTCGAAGCTTTTGAATCAGTGTCTTAAAGACTCTTGTTAAATAATATCAGGGAATAGACTTTTGTATATAATAAGTAGCTTTAAGTAGTGCAGGTGATTTAAAAAAAGCTTTAAGCTATCTCTGGCTATTCTAAGTGTACAGTTGCCTCATGTTGAATCCAGCTCCTTTTTTTCTTGTTGTCGAAACAACCTGAACCTCTTTTCCCCCTTCTTTTTTCTTTGTTCCATCAAATGAGGAGGTACATAAAAAATGTCAGTGTTTTTCTGGAGAACTTCTTTATAAAGTCAACGTACCCTCAATGTTATCACACAAAATTTCGAGTCCATATCTTAATTTTTGAGCAAGATATTGGATTTTCTTGCAAAAAAGTAGCCTATTTTGACAAATGATTGTCTTATGAGCCAGTTTTAATGGTGGCAAACTAAATTCTGTTGTACAGGCATTGAGTGGGATTATGAATGAGAAAGTGCCTCCAACGATTTCCTCACAGAAGAGGCTGAGTGTGATTGAATCTGCCAAATTTTTTTAGCACTCCAACCACTTTCTTGAGTCTTAGAAAATATAATTTTTTTCGGTTACTGATTTGCGTTTTTTTCTTTTTAAAACAGACTTTCCCGGCTCCTCATCTCTATTAAAAGTAGTTTCCCAGAAAATTGTCGCTCCTTTACTGAAATGAATTGCTCTTTTCAGTAGGATAATGTGTTTCCATAAAACAAACTCTACTTAATTAAAGGGTAAAGAAATGTCTCACTATGATGAAGAATTAGAACTTTAAGTCTAATAAACTTCATTGAAAACATTCTGAAACTTTGAAAACGGTCATCTTAGAAGCCGTTTTTCGAATCACACTATTTTTTCAAGTGCCTCCTCAAACTTTATCTTCATCATAGTAAGTTCTCTGATTTCTTAACAACGCTGGACTTGAGATGAAAAGAAATCTTTAAAATATTTCGGCTTAGTTAGAAATGTATATGTACATCTTTGAGCTTTAAGGGATTTTTTTTCCTCTATAACTAAGAATTATGATCGGAAAGGAAAACTTACCTTGTGACCATCCCTCTTAATTTTAGCGAGAAGATAATTTCTATGATGGTGAATTATAATACTGCTGAAGCTTGACTTACCATCCTTTTGAATGGGCCTTGATGTAAGTTAAAAATTAAATATCAGACTTAGAGAGAACTTTCCTTTGGAATTTCCAGGTTTAATAATTTGAGGAAGGAAGAATTTCTATTTTCGTTGAAGAGGGTAAATTTAAATAAGATTGTGATATCTTCTATAAATTTGAAGACATCCTTTTTTTACTATTGTTATTCTAATGTTATATTGTAAATTGTAAAGATGTTGGACTTCCTAATTTTTCATGTTCGTTGATGTAACAGTCTTTTCTTCTGTGTATGTGTGTGCGCGTGCGTGTGTGTGTATGGTTACTCCAACCTTGATCAGATTCAAAGACATTTTCAAGTTCCAAATATTACCATAAATTGTGCATTTCCTCATGAATCCTAATGGTAATGTATCTTGTCCGCTTGCTCACACAGTTACTTAATTTGCGATATAAATCCCCATTTGGTGCTCCATTCTCCCGATCTTGCAATCAGGACTTTTTCTGATGTCTCTCAACTTTTTTTTAACTGAAGTTAGGTTTGACCTGTAGTTTGTTCAAATCATTGTATGGCAATACTTTTGGAGGCCATTAGATTTTGAAACGGATCCTTGCACCAACCATGCACAAAAATAGCTCTCAGTACTCTAAACTTTTGCTGCTCCTAAATATCCAACCATTTTGCTGGTCTATCTGAAAGATAAAGGGCCCCATCAAAAAATGCTGCCATCAGCCTTTAAAAACACATCATTAATTTACTTCCGATTCGTTCTCGAATTTCATTCTGCTTTCGAGAATAGTAACTGTGTGAGCAAAAGAATAGAGGTTTAAAATTGTTGATTGATACGTAAAGCAATTTATGGATGGTCTTTATGATTGCCTCTCCAATTGAACCTACTTATTTTGTTTTTCTCGTTTCCCCTGTTTACTCTCAGTATGCTATCCTGTAACTCGCCTCCCCTTGGTGGTCCTGAATTTTCTTAATTATTAAATAGGTGTTAGATTTTTCGCTTATTTTAACTGTCAGGTTTTTTGGGGGTGGTTGTTCAAAACGGTTAATTAATGGCGACCGACTAAACTTTAAAATATTGTAGCTGCAAGCATTTATGAAGGGTACTCTTTTTTAACCTCAGAATAAAGACATGTAAGAAACAATTTCAGTTTTCCTCAGAATTTTTTACACATTTCTAAGTTACTAAGAGCTTGATCAGTTTGTTGGTCGAACTCTTATATTTTTTTGTGATTGTTAAAGAGCCTGTATTGGCAGTATTAAAGTGTATTTTTGATATTAGTTGGTTGAAAATAATTTCCGTGGTTGAGCATTATAGGGTTGGGAAAGATTTGAGGTTAGGCTTTCGAAATTGGTGCTTGTTGGATGCCACCATCCTCATCGGGTCATTCCAAATCCAACTTTTTTCAGGATTTACTTTTGGCTCAAACGTTTGCAAGAATTCCACTGTCCATCCGTCCGGTGAGTCCCGAAAAATTATAATTGCGTCTAAGAAAATACAAAATCTTATGATCCACCCATTTTGGCTCGACCGGTCAGCAATGAAAATACGCTTTCAAACAGTTAACTTAATTTTCTAAAAGCAGGATTTTTTGCATTTGACACCTACAACATTTGTTTTATCACCAAGTCATTACTGGAATGCTTTGTTGATACTGAGGGAACTCAAAATCATGAAATTGTACATTCTTGTTAAAAATTAGTCATCATTTTTCCTCAAATATATCACAAATGAAATAATTGGTGTAAACCATTCCTTGGGATACTTACGAGGCTCTCAATGAAGGTGTTTCTTCCAAGAACTGTCGTTCTCCTGCAACTATTTCCCTCTGCGACCGGTCAAATTTTTAAATGTAGTTCGGTCAAATTTTTAAATGTAGTTCAAGCTCAACTTCTCAACTAAAATGAGTACAAAATTTAGCAGAGAACTTTCTTTGCAATATTCTATTATTTGATTTTTAGATTGCAGGAATATTTCAATTTTTTGCAGTCGCCCCATCTTAGGATGAGTAGCAAGAAATGTGTAGAAGAATTGAAAATTAAACTACACCTTAACTAGATCAGCTCCAAATCATATTTTTTACCAAGTCAGTTGAACTTCAAGATCTTCACCCTTTTTAATTACCGAAAATGAGGTCAAAAGGCTTTTTTATGCACTTTTACTTTGTTATTGATTTTGATGGAAAGTAGAGAAAAACGTTCCTTCAGACATAATTTTGTACACTTCAATTCAGGATACTTAAAGAGGTACTTGTCTGTATCCAGATTCCAGCTTTGATTAGTTGACTTTTCTCAACAACTATCCAATCATATCATCAAATAGACTTAATTACCGAGGAAAAAATTACTTGATTTTTGGATAAAATTTTTATAAGTTTATATTGTAATATGTTTTTTAATTAAAAAGAAATAATGAAAGAATGATACGTGCATTTATTTCATGATTTATCAATATTGTGTCTACCTTGGAAACTGAAGTTACACCTAACAAGCTTCATTTGCAAACGAGAAAAATAAGGTTGCTGTTGCACCAACGTGGTAATAATAATGGTTAAGAGGAAAGGAATTAGAAGTCAAATTAATAAATAACTCAACATATTTTATTGAACAATGGAATTACTTAGTAAATAAATAAATAAATCATTCATCTACAGAGAAGATAAAAAAAGTATGATATATGTTTAAGACTATTCATCACTCAATTAGAGAAAGTAACGATTATCACAAGCCTTGCGAGGACTAAAAAATGGAGAGCAGATTTAAGGAACTTGTTGATGAGATAATAATTACCGATCACAGCTCATATTCGTTCAGCGGCACTTTCAATCGTGACATTTTAATTGGGTTTCTGGACCGGTACAAAAAGTACACACTGAGCTGCGCTACACCCAGGACTAATCCGATTGCATTAGGTAACTGAAATTAATGACACAAAAAAAGCACATTAATTTAGAAAAACACTACTACACAGGAAAATGTAACAGAGCCCTAGCCAATGAGATTACCGACTTTTCGACTGCAACAGAAGATCCATCATCTGGATTCTTGCATTTATTTTCAATGCTGAACTGACGTCACAAGATCTATTATCGCCGTCTAACAGTGTGTGAACTTATTTGGTGTGGACGCCAAGAAAACTAACGAAAGGACGTGATGAGATCTTAATCAAATTTCCATATTAATAGAAATACAATCTTTAGGGCAAATTATGTCACCCATTCCTCAAATTTTTGACCCCTCCCTCTCCCTTTGTCAGCTACATGTCATTCACCTGCAGACCAGACCCCTCTCCCCCTGGGTGGGTGACGTGATTTATGGACATCCCCTTAGAACAACGGCAACTCACACAATGTGGCAATAATAATCACCATTATCTAAATCTGTTATAAATAATTTATCAAACATAGGTGAAGCAGCCTACCTAGTGATGCCAATTCTCCAGATTTTCCACTACTTGAGAAAAACATAATGGCACTTTTTGCTGGATTAAACTACAACATGGTTTCCCTTGTCTTCATATCACTGTATAATTTACAAGAGACAACAATGGCAAACTGGCATTACCAAGAGGAAAACTAAATATGCAAATATTTGCGTAAAAAGGGTAAAATACCCCTTTTTGGGCTAAAAATAACCAAATAATCAGAATTTTTTCTAGGCCGGAAATTTTTGACTTTTAAGATGCTTATTTTGCCAACGATTTATTTTGTTTTTCTTAGGAGATATTTGAGCAGCCATAATAAGCTCTTACATTCAATTTTTTTTTTTTTTGATTTTGGGGAATTTTCCCCTAAAAACCCAAAATGAAAAACAGAATAGAAATTATACTTTATTCTTATCCTTTCAGGTTTACACCTAAAGTTACAGAGATTATATTTTGCATGTAAAATGTATCCATATCATTTTTAGGAACATAAAAACTCAAAATGTTGAGATTGTAAGAACTTCTTAAGGGGTGGAATTTCATGTATATTGTTTTCCAAACTCAGGACTACAGGATACGAAGGACTCAAATTCTCTCTAGAAACAGACAAGATCCATTTGCAGACCTTTGTGCTTTCCAGAAAAGATAATAATATGAGTCCACGTTGTAAAAGCAGTATTAAATACTAACTTTTGTTATTGAGACTTTAAAAGAGAAAAAACAGTACCTGAACATAAATGTCATCAACAACGAGTCCATAAAGGAACCATAAAAATGTTGCCACAAGTGTCATGCTTATGAAAGGCAGAGGTAGAGAACTCACGTTCCCAGTTTTGATAACTGTCACCTGCAACAAAATTATTAAAAATAATAATGACATTACATGAAAATGTATGGAAATGAATTACTGTAAATTATTGAGAGTGAAGTATTCAAAAGAAAAGTATTCAAAGCTATCGCTTAAAGTTAATGCTTAAGTTAATGCATTCATGTACTCATTAAAAAATTTTGCAGAAAAATATGGAGTGATTTGTAGGTACATATCATGCATTTTTAATGTACTATTTCTGAAATTATTATTTTTTCTTTTAAAATTGAGTATTACCATGTTGGTGAGAGGAGCTGCAAAAAATAATACTGTTATGAAACTGGCCAAGTTTCCGATGTGATACTGTAGAATTTCTCTCCGAATACCCGTTAAAATGTAAATATTCATAAGTCCGATTAAAACTATACAGATGAGGAAGTCACGAATAACTAAATTCTGTAAAAAGAAAAACAGCCATTAATATAAAATAACAAGAATGTTTCATAATGTACGTTTCACTTAAAAATTAACTATTCAGAAGCCGATAAATTATCATGTAGAATTCGATATCAGAAACCCCTCAAGTAAATGAATATTCTGATACCCTCCGCAGATGAGTGAATGACTTACAAGGGAATAGTTACTGTCATTGTGAACATCCAAAAGTGCACGTTTCGACTATGGGATATTTCGTCAACGATTTTCTTATCCGCACACCTGTTTTTTCTTGTAGTTTACGTCCACGTAAGAGGAGTTTTGGTCCACTTACCAATTGAGACCCTAAGATAATTGGTCCATAAGTAAACACAAACATAAATGCTCACGATGTTTTTGGATGAAAATGTATAATGTCTTGGAAGAATGCCGGTTTGCTTGTTTGATCCAACGGAGAAAAATATATAATTAAGCTTTTTGGTCAGAATGGGGGAGCGTCAATCCCATGAGGGAAAATTCACTAAAACTCTCTTTACCTCTTTGGTGCAACAGAACTTAATTATCTTTCAAGAAAATCCCACCTCCTTATACCTGAACCGGATAAACCTTTTGATTTACCGCTGCTGAAGGCTCTTAGATTTTTCCTGTGAACGATAAATTCGCGACGGCGCCGGCAAGCCGCGGCGCTTCAAGCCACTATTTCGCCACGGAGGTGTTGTACAGTATCATACGAGATTGAAGGCACCCCAACGTCCAACGTATCATGATTGATGGCATTTTTAAAAGCACGAAGTTCCCTAGCAAATTTAATCGAGTGACAACGACAAAAAGAGAGCGGTAGTCAAAAAACTCACCAGGTCCTAGTATCAGTATTCAATAACATTTAGTATGATTTTTGAACTTCATTACAGGAAAAAAAGACTTCATTCAAGCAGAAAAATGCTCAAATTTACGGCCAAGAAGATTTCTTTGTGAATCAATAAAGAAAATAATGTTTGTTTGAAGGAAAAAAGATGCTTACATAAAAAGAAAAGTCACTTACATCAAGCAGAAACCCGCTTTCATTCAGCTGTTATATTCTTGATTCAAGATAAAATCTTCTTGACAAGCGCCGCGCCGCAGCGGGCGAGGGCGACCAGCGCAGCGAGACACGCGCATTGGCGCCTACAAACCTAACAGGGATACTTCACGCATTGCGCAATGCGTGAAGTATCCCTGTTAGGTTTGTAGGCGCCAATGCGCGTGTCGCTCCGCTCTGTTTGGCTCTAATATTTAAACTCGTGGAGTCAGCGTTTTTCAACTCACGATTTCGAAATGTTTGCACACTCTGCATGGTTTATTCTCATTTGAATTGATGGAAAAAAAATATGTTTTACAGGAAAATATAATAAATAAATTACTGTGCACATCCAAACGCTCAAAATTGAACGTATTCAACTCCATAAGATCGATGTACAAATGGGTTAAAACAAAAGATTGCATGCTTCTTGGTTTTTTTTCCTCTTTTATTCATTTTTGTATAGTTTCTTTCAGCAAAACTAAGGCTCAGTGAGATTCATATGGATGCCATTGCTTGGAAAAAGTTTTACAAATATTTGTCACATTTTAAAAATGAAAATCTTTTTAAAATGAAGTAAAAAAAAAAAAGGTATTTACCCAGTATATTTAATAAAGAAAATAAGGATAGAAGTAAAATCAAATATTCACCAATGACAATTTGAAAAGATGAATCAAAAGAAGAGAGTAACATTTCATTTAGAAAATGAGTTACGATAACAACATCTCCTTCTCCCTTCATTTTCTCATTTCGATTTGTCAATACAATTTTACATACGGACTAAAACATAACGTTTGCACCAAGTTACTGTTGCTTATTTTCTGCGTGGACGTATACTATTGGGCAAAACAGGTGTGCACCCAAAAAATCGTTGATGGAATGTCCTGAAACCTGCGTTTCGTTGAAATAAAAAGAAATTAACTGTGCACGAGGCACTGAAACTATCACTCCAAATGAATGACAGTGAAATTTGTGACTAACAGCCTTTTTGAGATCGCACTGATGCAGGGTTTTCGGCAGTTTGGAAAACCTGGAAAAATCATGGAATTTACAGCAACCTGGAAAAGTCAGGGAATTGTGTGTGAACTTAGTAGTGATGATTGTAGTTCCGAGAAGGGCTGTGTGAGATCCTAATTTGTCCTCCATTTGAGGTAAAAACTTGCCGGACTAAAATATGACTTTAAGCCTTCTATTCGCACAAACATAAACTTAACCTCTGGCAACGTTTTCTTCAGGACACTAAAAAAAAGTTTTTCGTTGAGTTGTGCAAATCCGATTTTTTCACCTAAGGAGACAAAAAACCCTCTGCTGAGAATTTCTTCTCTGTGGGCTGGGGTCCTTTACCCTGTGATGTGGTCACAAAGAGATGCAAAAAGATAGTACTCAGGAAAAATTTCTTACTCGTTGAATAGAATAGATATAGTGGGTGGTTGCATAGCTGAAGAACAAAACGAGACCAACTGCATTTACAAAAATGATTGTGAACTCTTGAGAGACCATTCCATAAGACAGCCAAATCGAACAACTGGAAAAAAAAACATTCAATGTTAAAAATAAAGAATAGTTGCACAAAGAGTATTGCGAATAGGGATAAACACCTCAAACATTTGAAACTTGATGCCAGGGGTGCAGAAAGTTCCAAAATGCTGACCGTTTCCTGTGAGCCAACATTTCTGCCTCTCGGTCATGTTTTCAATTTTCCTCACAGCCAAATGTCCAATTTTGTGGCATAATGCCTGACTACACAATAATAAAGGCACTTAGCTCCACTTTTTTTCAAGTATCGGAAGAAGAAAAAAAAATTGTTTGGGAAATTGCCCTTGGATTTGCCTTATATTTGCTGAAATCCTAAGATTGTAGGATTCCGCATTTTCTGCAAATCATGGTTAATGCAACTAGCTGTTTTCTGGTATGTCTGTTCAAAGCAACAAGTAAAATGCATTTCTTTTCTTTGAGCCCTGATCTTTGACTTTATAATTTTTATGTTTTTTCCTTTTCTTTTTTGTTTCGATTTCCGTAATATTATGCATGCATAATGCATTTTGACACATGCGACAGACCAATGTGTCTTGAATCCTGACAAGACAGGGGTTCATTGTCATTGTATTCGAGCCAAAAATTTGTTTTTCTTTGCGCCTCCCTCATAGAGAATACTTTATGTTTTCAACAAGTCTTAAACTTCACAATCAGAAGTTTTCAAAAAAGTCGTCAAGGGTGCAATTGTTCTCGACAGCGCAATCGTGACCAAATTGTGGACTTGCCCTAAAAATTGTGGAGGCTGAGAGATTTCTTTTTCAGTTTTCAGATTTTCAACTCTCATGGAATAATGCAAATTTGGCACACATTCTAAAATTAACGAAAAATTCAACAAAACTTTGGTGAGCAAGTTGTGTTGACCTCTTTGCGAAAACCGTATGCGTTGCAGAAAATTGAGGAGGCTTAAAACAATTTGCATATCTGAAATTTGTGCAGGACTGAAAAGAAAAATGAAAATTAGTACCTTGTTCCATAAACAAAATACTAATTCTGATTTTCGCATCAGCTCTCTTTTTGAAGCAGCTCTGTGTACTCAGTCGATAGCTAATCAAGTTTGGGTTTACTCCATTATTTCAAATTAAATGAAAATATCAGCAGTATTAAGATCAACAAAATATAAAAAGAATTTTCTGAGCGAGAAAGAGTCTACTCACTTCAAAAAGCCAGCTATGAATGGGAGGTGGGAGTCCTCCCCAACATCTTTCTGTCTCACATACTGACGGCATATCAAACTGAAAAAAAATTGACAAGCTGAGTTTTAATGCTTTCAAATGTTTAGAAATAGTCAATATACTGTGGAACAGTTATACTCTGTTTTTTATTATTTTAGTACCTTACGGCAGCAATGTGTTAATATGTTTCTATTCTATATTGACTCTGTGCCATGCAAGATCAGAACTCACTGAGAGCCAAATGCCGCAAGGAAACACTTAATTGATTGATTTGATTTTCATTTGTTTCGTTTATCAATACTACCTAGTGATTTTAATGATCAGTTCCACGACTAATTTCTAATTTTATCTCTGTAATGTTCAATAGTTTTCTGATCAGTTATATTCATACTGACAATTAACTTAAAGAAAGAAGGCCCCTTCTAGATGAACAACATCATGTAAATTTACATGTTTTTCTTCAATCAAAAGAATACGCAACAAGAAAGATTCCACTGTCGAAGTAAACACATCCAATTTGGTTTATTTCTCCTGTTTACTGAAAATTACTCAATGGAACTTCTTGAGACCGCTCATATTCGCAGTATTCGGGCGAAATGTTGGGCATTCACATTCAGAAGTAATTGGGTAATTGGAACAGAGTCTAACCACTCGACCACTTGGCATCGGGTAATTCCATTTTCAAACGATCCCAAATAGTTTCCTTCCACATTGCACTCGAAATAATTTTCAAAATTTAAAACCTCTCAGGCATAAGAAATTACTTGTAAAGCGACATGTCAATGGCCAAAGTACGAAACCTTGTCTTTCCTTTTGCGACATAGGAGACTTTTTGTCATACTTTATTTTTTCTGCGGAAAACTAGTCAGCATAATTTCTTGAAAATTTCCTGGATTTTTCTTCTCTGTTAGCAGAATTATCAGCACAAATTTTAAGATATAAAGTTTGCCTCTTCCTTGTTGAAAAAATAAAGTAGGAGTGGAGATTTTGAAACACAGCAACAGAGATAGTTATTTTGTACTTTGGCCATCCATATAACTGTCTCAAGAAAGTACTTCGAAATATCAAAAATAGAATTGCAATATTTTCAGTTGATTGCGCACTGTTAAACATACTACTAGCTGACATGCCTAGATTGAGGTTACATGATTAAAAGTTAATCTTGCCTACTCTCCACAAATGAATGATGTTCCATCAATGAATAAAGGCTAAATAATAATCCATTGAACAACAATAGTCTCACCCTCCTGAAAGGAACTGCAGCAAAGTGCAGAATGATGCAGCTACAGCCAGCAACTCTTTTACATTCGACATGATTCATTCGATGTGAAAAAATGATCTAGAACAAAAGAGGTAGGTATGATTATTGTAGTGCTTTGGATTCCTCTTAAAATTAGTTTCACAAATGTGCAAGGAACTGGATGAAGTAAAAACAAACACAGACATTATCGTCTTGTAAGTGGTTAGCAGTGGTTGTAACCAATTCTTTCACTGAATCTTGAAAAAGGAGATTGAACATTTTTGCATCTTCTGTGGGCCAATTTATGAAAATCTGTGTTAGTCGGGGGGACATAGGTTAAACAGCGCAGCAGGATTGGTCAGCTAGATCTTGTTGCTATTTTGGGGTGCCTTTGTTAGGTGGAATTCATGACATACTGTGGGAAACTCAAGAGGTGCCTTTAGCTTGTCATGAATTTCACCTAACAAACGCACAACAAAGCAGCTTTGAGACATAGCCGACCAATCACACTCCGCCATTTAACCTGTGTTACCTATGTCCCCCCAAGAAACACAAAATTTTAATGATCAGCCCGCAGTACGCGTCATGTTAAAGTTTGAAGCAAAATTCAAAAGACCAATCGAGAGAGTAAGTTGAGTGCGTTTGTCACTTGCAAAACTGTGGCAGCATGAGTATGGGGCGACTACCCTCCCCCAAAGTTTTCAAGGAGTTTTCATTTGAATGAAATATTTTACCGAGAAAACGACCGAAAATCGCAATTTAGGCGTAAGTACCTAATTTGTAAAATTTTTTGGGGGAAGAGTGGTGGAAAATTGAGGGGGAAAATTCCCAAAATCTAAAAGGAGGAAAGTTCAAATGAAAATTATTATGTTTGCTCTGGATGCAAATTAAATAAATGGAAGTGTACCTGTCATTTTAAACATTATACTTTCACTTGGAGAGTTGATAGATCGACACTTTTTTGGAAATCGGGCAAATTCAGTGACGTGACAATTGTCTCTGCGTGACAAGTGATCACAATTGACATAAAACGCAAGCAAATTTCTCTGACTCAGATTTTGATTTCGAGTAAACGAAACGAGGTTATGTTGACTAACAAAAACTAGATCTCGCCAATCAGAGGTCTATCCGGATAAATTCCTTCTCTGATTGGTAGATACATCTTGTCTGCAACTTCGGCGGGAAAAGCTAAATTGAGCTAAATATCAATGATGAAAATAATACAGGAATGCTTATCTAGGAATGCGCGCGGCAATGCGGCGTTGCAGATGACCTGTCTAACTTTATTCTCTACTCGGAAAACTAATGAAAGTCACATCATAGAAGCCTTTTAAGCTCTATTATTCGATGCTGCAATTATTCTAACGCGAGTTTGAATAATCGTGTCAAACACAGTGCGGCCGGCGTTAAACGTGCATTAGCGCCTGCAAGACTTGAGAAATACTTCACGCATTGCGCCAAGCAGTGTGGTTGGCGCGTAGCCCATATCAGCGCCTACAAGACTGCGTGAATACTTCTAGCATTGCGCCAAACGCAGTGCAGTCGGTCAATTGGCGCGAAACGCATATTAGCGCTTACAAGACTGTAAGAATGCTGTAGAACTTCGTGTAAACATTCTTGACTTTTTGCTCCAGTTTTACGACTATTTTGGGAAAATATGTATCCTCATTGTTACGATGCAGGAACTCTGATGATATTTAATTTTTTTTTTGGTTACATTAAAAGAAAAAAGAACAAACGTAAATATCGCGTAAAAATTTTGATAATTTTATTTGAGATCATTTAGGTATAAATTCACGGAAACTTTCCAGAAAAACTGTATGGAGCTTTTTAAAAATAAAACATAAAAGTGGTGCATAACGTTGCAATCCGAGATAAATATACGCTTGCTTTCGGGTGCACCGTCGGGTTTTGAATCCGCTCTCATCTCTTATAAAATTTGAATATAGTGGTTCTACGATTTCCTACGTGTTGTTTTTTCCGGTGGTTGGTGGCCGTGTAGCGGCCACAGGCCCCTAGTTCACTTTTTGAATATACATGAAAGTTCTCTGGGTCATTCCTGCTGAGAGGGCTGTCCATCGAAGAGAGACATGCCCGTAAGTGAGGAGGGAATAAACAGTCTTCTGCGATGTATGTAGTTATCTCGCCTCCTCGTTGAATATTGAATATTCGCGCAACATATGTGAGGTTCCGGTACCAAAAAAAGTTCGCGCAATCCTATGCAACTCCAAAAAGGAAAAAAGGGGCATTTGCGCGATCCTATCGCATCCACTACGAGACGATACAACGTAGGTGCAGTATGTTCCCATTGAAGCCATCGAAATGATCTCTCGGGTTAAAATTTGTGAATTCCATCGAAATGTCCGAGACCGATGTAGGAACAAGAGAAACACCAGTTCAAAGGTAGAGACGTCCTTATTCTCTTTATCTCGATGATTCCCTCGCCCAAAAGTAGCTCAGGTTGCAATATATCTCAATCGCATAACAAAGCTATTAATATTGCATCGAAGTGTGGTATAATATGTTGCCTATCTACCAATTGAAGGGACTCCTCTTACAATGAGATTTGTTGCAATAAAATTGAAATAATTTGCACTTTTTTTTGCATATAAATTGAATACTTCTCTCACACATGGAGCCCATTTTTTGATCATTTATAAATTTGCACTAACTGACCAAATGATATAAAAATATTGCAATTTTATCTGAAAACAATTTCAATATTTTCTTTGCATCGTGCTCCTTGGGTCAGACCACGAGGCATCAGTAAAGTTTATCGCACTTCGATGGCCACAGTACGAAACCACGTTTCTCTGATTGAGACGTTGCGGATTTCCTGCGTCTTTATTCTCCGTGTATATCTAGTTAGGCAGCAGTCACCTATCGTCTTCAACTTTTTAGGAGGAGTTTTTCATAATTGGGTCGGGATGGCTACCACCACCTAGAATTGTTTCTTTGTAAGACCAGTCAACTTAATTTCTTAAAACTCAGGTGATATTTCGTCTCTGTCAGCAGAATATTCGATCTGTGCTGCCGGGATAAACGCCGTATGAGAATTCCGACGTTGCCAGACTTCCTTCAGTGAAAACCGCATCTACTGGGATAATTTTGAATTTTTTTTTCTCCAAATCGTTCAGGTAATTCTGTTCGCATTTTGATCTAAAATATCCGAAAATTTCAACCGAAAATATGAAATACTTTCCTCAAAAATACATACTTTATCCGGGGAAATTTGGTAGCTCTCGAGTGTTTATGGCGGTTTTCCTTAGCATGGCAGTGTACGATCTTGAAGCTAAAGGTAAAGTTGGCTTTTTTTCTTTTAAAAAAAATTAATTGGAGCGGAAATTTTGAAACATCGCCATGGAATATACGCACTTTGGATATCGACTAACTTACCTACGTGTGAGGAAATTAATGTGCTCCAGAAATTGCTACGGGGGCACACAGCACCGAGTAAAATCTCCGCAGAAAGTAAATTCAATGAAATGAGAAAATGTCACGCCATCTCACTAAGTCTGCACCTAGACTGCCGTCACTATTACTTCGTTACAGAGGGTCGAGGAAAATTCCGACGAGAAGGTGGAAAAACAGAATCTCGAGGAAGAAGCCGAAAAATCACCAAAGCCCCCATCGAACGGGTGAAATTTGACATACTCGAGACTGAATCTCTCCGAAAAATGCAAAATCCTAATCAGTAGAGTGACACCAGATTACAGAATAGGCTCCTCCCAAAACGAGAGAGACCCATTATTTCCCTGTCCGCGAAACTCGAACGATGATTTTCCCGGCGGAAAAATAATACCCGATGAAACGAGCGCTGAAAGCTGCGCGGTCTTCCAAGCGTGACAGCCAGCGTTAGACACGTATTGAATGGGACAATCCTTCGGGATCGGCGGAAGGGGGAAAATGGAGCAGTAATAGCGACATTAAACACAAAGTTTACACGTCAAAATTGTTTATCTTCTTTACGTACTAAGAGCGGCGATGCCGAGTGGAAGGAGAAATTTGAACTTCGGAGGTATCTTCCAGGTTGACGCACTGCCGTGCTAAGGAAAAACGCCGTATGAGCCTTCAGACGTTGCCAAGTTTCCTCCGATAAAATACTAATTCACTAGGAAAATTGCGAATATTATTTTCCAAAAATTTCAGACATTTTTCTACGCAATTTAGTCTAAAATATCTGAGAAGTTCGAGGAAATATATGCATGAATGTTGGCCGAAATACATATTTTATCGAGGGAAATATGGCAACTCTCGAATGTTCATACGGCGTTCTTCCTTATAGCACGGCAGTGTGAGCCTTCAGAAGTTGCCATATTTTCTATGACAAAAACGTTACTGGAAAAATTGTGAATTTTCCTCTTCAAAATTCTCAGATAATTTTGTTCGCAAGTAAATCTAAAATCTCTGAAAATCTCAAGGAAAAATAAATATCTTTGACTTTCCTTAGAAATACGTGTTTTATCTACCTTTGGCAACTCTCGCAAATATTCACACGGCGTTCCTCCTTAGCATGGCAGCATCAATTTCTAAAGCGAATCGAAATAGGCAAAGACGGAGGGTGCTTCATGCAATTTCATTTCCATCGTTCATTTCGTGAGCACAATTGAGAAGAAGAGAAACCAAATTTTTGCGACAATTTCGCAAGTGGGTAAAATGAAGCGTATGCATCGCACAGAGGTGTATGCACTGATAATGAGCCCAGGTTGTCTGAGAAACGAAGGAACCACCCAGCGTACAATTTTAAGATAACACGCATCCTCTATTACGGATGATGTTGTCAAGATGTCAACGTTCGAGGAACATTATGCCTCCCCACCCCAAGTAAGACTTAAATGTTGAAATTATTGCCACTGCATCGGAGTAGGCTATGTTGCTTATCTGCTGATTGAAGGAACACTTCTTGCCGAAATCCATCGCAATAAAATTGAAATAAGTTGCAATGCAATTATTCCTTATTGCCTTTAAAACAGCAAATCGACCATGAACCACCCAAACCACGTATCTCGTTTGTGGCTTTTAAAAATCTCAGCTCCTTTTTTTTTATTTTTTGACAACTCAACATTATTCCTTCAAGTTTTCTAAGAATTTTCTTCGCACGTAGGAGACGAATCATGGAGGTTTTCAACAGTTGCCGTTGAGTAGTTTTCCATGGGAAAAATAAAGTATAGGAGGTCTGCACCGTCGCAAACCGAGGTAGGTACTTGAATAGAGAGTTTGGATGTAGCTATGATGATCCTTTTTTTCTCGGAACTCATCATATTGACCTTTTAAACTCGGCATTTGCTGACCAAATACACCATGTAAAAATATTGCAGCTTCATGGTAAAAAAAATCGCTATTTTATTGCAATGAATCAAAATTTTATTTCAATTTTCCATCGCATACAGTACGACTAGGGCCTCACGCCCAAGTAGAACAGTGTATCAAAAATATTGCAATAATTTTGCATTAAGATGCAGTAAAATTGCAATTTTTTCCATATGGAATTAAAATAGTTTTACATCATGTTGTCAATGAATGCCGATTGTGAGACCAATTAATTACAATTAATTTAGCTCCATATGTCAGAAAAGTAGGCAAGTGCTATGCGAAAAAAGCTAATACAATAAATTTCAGTGCCAAAGAATAAGCCTCTTCAATAATAATTAGTGAATAATCAACATACGGTACAAAATATGCAGCAATAACTTTACCGCTTGATTCCGATTAATTTCAACCTTTGCTGCGTGAATAGCAGAGATTTCAGGAAAAAGCTAGTAAAACATAAAGATACCCAACTAAAAAGTATAGCGGCATTGACGTGTTGCTGTTGATGTAAAGGGTCGGCTGTCAATGCCAGGATAGTCAAAACGCCTTCACTTCTGTGCGTATGCAACATGGACATCCATCGGGCCCGAATAGTTGCATCCAGGCTTGATCCAGGCGCGCATACGGCGATCAACAGCCAACAGCAACAAGAGTGAAAAGAGGTTAGGAAACGCGGCTTTGACATACTTTGTTCTTGTTGTGAGAGTGCCCGAACATTGTACATCTCTAATAGCATTGTGCAAATGCGGAGAAGAAATAAAAGACTAATCCCAAGTTAGTCAATTGATTTTCAGCTGTTGTCGCAATAAATAATTCTGCCTGTAAGTTTTAACTTTTAAGAATCATTATTATCAAGCACAATTATTTCCATTGTATCCGTTCGTAATTCATCATTTTTTTGCTGGGCTTTTTTCTACGTAATAAAATAAGTCATGGCACATACCTCAGTAGGTTTACAAACAACGTATGCGATGAATTTACACTATCATTTTCTCATTCATTTAAGTTCTATTCCTGGAGCCTATAATGGGACGAGCATATGGAGGAACCTTCCGACTGCTTTGTGGGCCAAGTCAACTGCCATTGAGGGAAGATTATTTCTCTAAACAATCGTAGAACTTTTTAGTTCAGGGTTGTCACTCTTATTAAGTAATTCTCCTTAACATTATCGAAAATCATCGCTCTCGACCAGCACTCAACTCTGCTGTCAGACTGGCCAGAGGTTTGTTTATCTGGAGTCGTAGATCCTAGTGTAGCATATTTTAATCTAACGAAGTTGTAAGAGTAACTTTCGAGTGTCCATCCTAATTTGTAAGCTGAGATAATTTACAATTAATCTTATGGAATTGAGTATCGTGTAATAATCATTATTAGGTATAGAAAAAATCATAGAAAGAAAAGAAAAATGGCTTCATTCTTTCGTTTGTATTTCAGATAACTTCTAGTTCTTGCCTGCATTCAGCGAAAATGACAAGCATGCCTGAGGAGAGCTTAACAGTTGACACCAAACCGTCTAGAAGGAAAAAAATCATAAATTATGTAATTTCTGATTCGGAGTCTGATTTAGAAAATGATGTAGAAATGCAGACAAATCTACTGCAAGAGGAGTCTAATACCATCTCTGTAAAACCCACAAGGAAAAGGAAAGTGGTTAAAGAAGAATCTGATGTAGAACGACTGTCAGATGAGGACCCAACTTTTGAACCTTCCCCGAAAAAGTTCAAAACAGCAGTGAAAAATGCAAGTAAGTATGATCTTTAAGTATTTTTTTCGTTGAAATAAAGCTCAGAACCAAGCCACGGAATTTTTTTCAAGCTGTTTAAAATTTTCTAAATATTATCCAAATATCCAAAACTTTGTGTTGGGACCCGTCACAGCTGTTGACTGCCTGGCCATCACCAGCAGCTGATGGAGTTGCTTCATCCCGCCGTTTCTAGTAGGAAAGTGAAGTGACTATTTACCCATTTATTCCCATATTAACTGTATCCGGAGGTTTCACAACAAAGAGAGAATGTTGATCATTTCGATGGTGTAAGTCAGCAATCACATAACTCGGTTTGCGATGTCGCAGACTTCCTGTCATACTTCATTTTTTAAACGGAAAACTACTCAACAGCAATTCTTTTAAACTGCTGTGATTTTTCTTCTCTGTGCCAAGAAAATTCTGCAAAAACTTCAAGGAATCATGTCAATTTGTTCTCCCTTAAAAAAATAACATAGAGGCGGAGATTGTCAGACACCGCAAACGAGATATGTGATTGCAGACTTAGACCATCGATTTGCATTTTGGTGTCAGAAGTCATATTAATTACCCTTTTTTGCTGCTGAAGCTGAAAATTACTTTACTTTCTCCCTTCTATCACATATCTACCAATTTCTTGGAAAGTCGATTTTTTTCAAAAAGATGTGCTATTTTAGCTGGAAATGCAAATTAAAAGCACCCATATACGTAGAGGCATGGGTTAATATCAACCGATGTGGCAGAAATTTGACAACGGATATTTTTGGTCAAATAGATCTAGTCCTAGGGGTAAGCCCAAAGTGAATTCTACTAAAACATCTTCCCATGTTCAATAGAGTCTTCCGAGTCACTCGATGTGGGTTGAAAAAACTTGCGGCCTCCTCACAAAGCCTGGGGACATTTAAGGCCTCCTGTCTAAATTTTGTCTTAGCCATTGATCAAGGTTTTTACTAATCATCGGAGCCTTGAATTCTATTTGCATTATATTTTAATAGTTCTGTTTTGGTTAATAGTACACCATGAATATTCTGTCTTATCAAAATTTGATTTCTGAGCAGACAAAATTAAAAAAGAAGCCAAGTCCTCATGTTCAGGAGCGACTGCCAGTGAACAAAATCAAAAGTCAAAAGTAAAAAAGAAAGGAGAAAATGCAGAAGAAAAGCAACTCAAGTCAGTTACTGTGAAAAAGTTAGCCGATTCGCAGAAAAAGAAGGCAGCATCAAAGTCCGCACACCAGGTAGTCACATTTCTGTCATCTTCCATCTCTAGTTTTCGAATGAAAGAATTAAGTCTAAGGCCTGGCAAGTCGACAGACATCACAAGATGTTTTTCTAATGCGCATCAGCAAGACCATTGGGGGGGGGGGGGGTGTTAAAGTGATACGAGGAGCTGTAAGTTTAATTGGGCGTATTTCTGTCAAACGGAACTACGTGCATTAAGACTTGTGACCTGAGACCCATTAGAATATATGCATAACAGGGCTCACGTCATATTACACATAGTTCTATCTGACAGAAATACGTCCAATTATAGGTTGCAAGACATTCTTTACCTCTAAGGTAAAAAAGAAAGTTCCCTTAAATGTGGGATTTAAATCCTACTTTTACGAGATATCCATCAGGTAACTGTTATCTTCATCAGATATCGTTATTGGACATCCACTATCAGAAGACCTTTGATTGTCCCAAATTTTTGAAGGGAGTAGAGTCTTAAACTCCACCTCCGGCCTGAGATATCATAGACTTCCAGTATTATGTCTGGGATTCCAGTCTCCCTTTCTTTGCTTGAACGTGTTTCAAGGGTCTCAAAAATTTGAAACCTTGTCCCTGCAGTTTCTAGGCCCAGTTAACAGTAAATCGAAACACTGATTATTTATCTACCTCCATTCTAACTTTAATTGATGAATTGATTGTATGGCCTCCTTTTATAATTTGATACCAAAGAAGCGTTAAGGTGGTTCTTTATCATAATTGCTTTTGCCCCTCTGTTATCACTGATGGATGATTTACAAAAGAAAGTGAGAAGGTAAGGTAGGTTTTGAAAAACAAGGTGCGTAATATATGTGTCAGAGTAGCCAAATATTACTGAGATAAAAATCTATTGAATTTGATGACTTAAATTGCTTTTTAGACACATAACCTTTGTTCGAGTCTTGTGCATCGAGTCTAGTTGTTCTAAAACTGTGCTTTTTTAAGGGTTTGAATCAACAAATACTAGAATGTTATCTTTACCTAAATTTTTATGTGGATCTCTTGTGAAGTTTATAGGTGATGGTCGAGGTTTCTATTTTTTCACCTTCCTATGTACTATTGCTTCGAAGGACACTCCCCAGGTACTCACCTTAGATGAATGGATTTCAAAACTTTTTTTGATCCTGCACGTAGCTCTTGTAAAATCGCATTGTCCAAAGGAAATCCTGTTTTTGCGGGTAAATTTCTATTCTTGAAAATCCTTATGAAATTGGAAAAAATAGATGGCATTTGCAACTTCAGCGTTAAAAATCCAATGGGACCCAACCTCTCCGATCCTAGCTAATGAAATTCAATTATTTAATTATTTGTTTTGCAGGACTCTGCTTCTTTGTGGCATCCTGCAACAGAAATTGCCTCCCAATTGAATCTTGATTTAGACGTGTCTTTTACCATTACTCGCTTGTTCGAGGAAGGGAACACAATTCCGTTCCTAGCTAGATATCGGCGAAATTTGATTGGAGACTGCGATGCTGAAAAATTGAGATCTGTGAAAGCCATGCATGATTATTTAAAGTATGAAGTATTTATTTATGAGGTTTTTTTTTTAAAAGTTGGTAATTAAAGCTAGTAAATGGTGAATTCAATTGTAATGAAGGATATCTATCAGGAGAGAGATGAGACATTATCTATAATTTTAAAGTGATAAGAAAAAAATAGTAATCTGGGAGTTCTTTGACTGGAAGGTGAACTATTTAAATTTTAAATGTAAGAAAAATGCGTTTCTCAACGTTTTGATTCAAGTGTTTATATAATTGGACGGAGTTAAACAGAAAGGAACCAAGCCACATTTGGATCGAACCGAGAAAAAGAGGTTTAAAGTTTGGCTCCTGCATAAGACTCAATGTAAAAGATAAAATTCAAGTTCAATTTCTGCAAACTTTGCTCCAACAAAAACTTTGAATTTTTGGCGATAGATAGTAAAGCAGTGGTTGAGTTCAAAACCATTCATAACTCAATTTTTCCCAAAATGTGGGTTGGTTCCTTTCTGCTTAACTCAGTCCAATTAGTGTTTCTTTTTGCAATTTATCACCTTGCCTTGCTAGGGGGTTTCAGAATGTATCAATTTTTAAAAATTGTTGCTCCAAGAGCCACAATCATATCTATGAATTTAAAAAAAAAAGTTGTTTACAAAATTTCATTAGAATTGGTTTTTTCGTGTGTGTTTTGATTCTGTTTAAATGGCTAGCCCCTCATATTGTCTGTGCCAATCTTTTCATTCTTTTTTACCTAGAATTTAGTAACACACAAATAACTAAAAACAATCCACAACCACTGAAAAGGCCTAGCCCTGCAAGAACAGAAAATAACGCTAATTCATCATCATCATCATTTGACTTAATAATTTTCTGTGAAAGGTAATTTTGTAAGCAACTTCTTTCTTTTTTCAGACAAGTACAAGTTAGAGCTGCAGCTGTTGTCAAACTGATTGAAAAAAAGAATAAACTCCCTCCGGAAACAAGAAATGTTATTTTAAATGCTCGCAGTCTGGAAGAAGTAGAGTTTCTTGTAAGTATTTCTGAACAATCCTATTTAGTCTTGTGATGTGTAAAGCATTACCATACACTATTTGGCAAGCATCACAATTAGCCGTTGCTCACATGCACTGCTCTAAATATGTGCTGAACTCACAAGGACATCCACCAGTCTCAGGTTGGACCAGCTCATATTTAAGACCACTGCATCTGATCGACAGGGCGACTCCTTCCTACAACTCCGCCGATCTGTGAGATCAACAAAACCAAGTTTAGCGTCTTGCACCCCTAAATTTGTCCGCGCCGAGGTGATTCTACATGTACATCACACCTATACCACGCGTTTATTCATTTTTAGCATTGCTGTTCCTATTCCCAGGGCCTGCATCACAAGTCTGAAGATGTAGTTTACTTGTGCCTTTTAGGAGTTTTGGCGTTCTTCCTAGTTGATTTCTGACATTGGGATGATTGATTGTCTATCGTCAGTCATTTAGTGTTCATTTCATTGTACTTTCTGACATCATAATTGTTGCCCGTCATGGGTTTTTTCCAGTATTCACCATACAAAGCTGATGGAAGAGTCACAAAAGCTCAAAAAGCAAGGAAACTTGGTTTGGAGCCATTTGCTGTTGCTGTTCTAGAAGGCGCACCGAATGCAACTTTTGAGCATCTCACCAACTTCATCAGACCTGAATTACCCTCCAAGAAGGAGGTTCTTGAAGGTGTTCAACACATTATTGCAGATGTCATCAGTAAGAATAAGGAGATAATTGATGAACTAAGGGAATTGTAAGTTTTTTGTGGGTCTTTGATTCGTACAATGTATTTACTAAACTGGAAGAATGGACAACCATATTTAAAAAAAAAACAGTGTAATCTGTAGGTATTTAAAGTTGTTCCTTTTGTGTCTATCTTAGTAGCTCTGACAAAAAGGTGATCATTGCAGCTTTTTTTAAAAATTCTCACGAACTTTCAAGCATCTTTTTTGCACATGTACCTATGATTACATTGTATTTGAGGTTTGGCGGTGCAAAAATTGATGTTAAGTGGGTCCTGAAAAACATATTATCTTGTCTTGGATTAATTTGATCAATGTAAAGTCCTAAGAAAATCATGTTGAACACATTAGAAAAGACTGAACTCTATACTTTTTTTGGAATTTACGGAGTCTGCAACCAGTTTTCCTTAGTTACCAGTATTAAAGTTTGCCCCAAGAGAGATGCAAGAAAAACCACTGCACATTCCATGCTTTGAATCTGGCAGATCGACATTTTAAGTAGTTTTTTCTTCAAACTTCGCTTTTTGAATCTTAAACTTCAACGGTTCTAGCAACAGGTTGGTTTTAAATTGTTGGACGGTTTGTCCCAGACGTTCGTAAAAGCTGATGTACACTATAAAACATGCCTTCATGCTCTAGATAACTCAACTTTGACTTTTTATAGGCTAAGATCTTTTTCTGGAGGGACATGTGTCTTGTCTAAATTAGGTTTGAGGCTGCTTGTGCCAAAAGAATTTACTAATTATTTTATTGCAAAGTTTGTACCAATTTTAACCTAACCTAAGTGATGTACGTATAGTAATGTTTCCTGTTCTTTTCCTTTTCAGACAAGGTCGTTCCAGAATTTTTATTCAATGCTCCGAAACAAAAAAGACTAAGGACAGTGACAAAAAAGGAAAAGGAAACGTAGATGACCGGGAACGTATTAAATATCAGAATTTTTTCAACTTTAATCGCGATGTTCAGCATGTTCAACCTCATCAGGTATTTAATTTTTGAACAAGTAAAACAGCATTTACCTGTAATATCCTGAGAAAATGATCAATTATTGAGAATGAAGTGTCAGAGGGTTAAATTAATATAAGTGAAACAGAGTCTGCAACCTAAGCATCAATGTCTCTGTCCAAGAGCAGTAATACAAATAATAATGACGATGAAACTACCAGACCACATATTTTTTTTGCGGTGTTCAAAAATCACTGCTCCCATTCTACTGTTTTTTACAGGAGAACAAATCAATATTATTCCCTGAAGTTGTCACAGAGTTTTCCTTGCTCAGAGAAGGAAAATTCCAGAAGTGTTCAAAAATTGACTTTGAGTTGTTTTCCATTTAAAAATAAAGTATGACAAGAAGTCTGCAACGTTTCAAACTGAGATACGTTGTCTGGTAGTTTCACCATTGGTTTACAAAATCTTCACTTATATATGCAGGAGACATAAATAGGTGAGCAGCAGTCTGATTGCTAAATCTAAATCTGGCTCTGTCGGCAAGATAAGACAAAACCCTATCTGTGCTGTGTAATGCATTGATCCTCAATGTCTTGTCGTGCTGAAATAAATTTCAGCAATGAATTCGCTGAGCTCTGAATACATTTCTTAAACACCAGCCACCAGGGATTAAGTATTTCAGTGAAACTTGTAGGTTTTTTCAAACTTTAAATCTCCAAGAGCTTTTGAAGAGAGTTGCAAAAAAACAGGTGTGTAGCACTTGTAGTAAAATTCTCATTTTTCCAAACCTTAGTTTATGCATGCTGTGTCTCTAATTTGAAATCAGATAATTTTTTAAACAATAATCTGTTGATTGTCTCTCTTTTTTTTCTTCAATTTCAGATACTAGCAATCAATAGAGCTGAAAATTTGAAATTTCTGTCGGTCAAGATTGTTCTACCCGATGACTTTTTATGCAATAGGTTGTTCAGGGTTTGTGAAAACATTTGGTTGCGGAATAATACCAGTAATCACCTAAGGAAAAGTCTCATTAATGACAGTTTCACAGACGCTTATAATCGATTAAGTAAGTTACTTTTAAAGTTACTCGTGAATTTTTCAGGAGTAAATGTACACTTTAATCGACGTCGAGTAGTTTTGGAAAGATTTGAGATGTTGTTTGATTTGTTCTGCACATGTTTTTGATTAAAAGAAATAGGGGATGTTGAAGAAAGCCCTTTCTCTCTAGTATCATTAGGAGTATTCTATTTTTTGTCCTAACAGCAGTCTTGTATTCACAAACTTCATTTGTCTTGAGTCCAGGCTTGGATAAAGAGTACTGAGATAACCAAGGTCCTAAAATCCTGACACGCAGTCAACATTTTGATAAAAATCCTCTCTATAATCTATGAAATTCAATCAGTAACAATTCAGTTGTCTGTGGCGCCTTATTCTATAGTTCTAATGCTTTAATTTTAAAAATGTTCAGCTTAATTTTAAAATTCATTCATCTGTTATCAATCCATTTTTTGAAAATTTGAACATTGTGATTCGAAACGCTTGTCCACATGTATCTTTATGCGTTCTTGTGTATACTTCACTTCTCATTTTATGGGCTTTGTAGGAAGCAATCTGTACTCTTAACTAAAATGCCCTATTTTATTTACAGTGGCACCTTATCTGAAGAGGAATGTGAGGTCGAAGTTAAATTTAAAAGCACAGCAAGAAGCCATTGTTGTATTTGCTACCAATTTGAAGAACTTACTCCTCTCACCTCCATTGAGAGGAAAAAAGATTTTAGCGGTTGATCCAGGTAAGGAAATCAGTAGTTGATGTCTTTCAGACTGATACAAAATGCGAATTTAGGTAGCCATAAGTATATCAACGCCTTAGAATTGGCCAACGATCACCAAGAATTTAGTTCTGTGATTATAGAAGATTGCGGCACTTTCTAGGTGATTAATCTTTGCAAGCGGTTTGAAGGAGCTAATCTTCTCAATCATTTTTTCATAACTGGGGACCATAAAATTTACCTTTAAAATTAAAATTAATTTAAACTTAGGACCAACATGTCAGATCTTCATACGAATGAAAATGCATCATTTTGGGAATCAGTCCAGTCCGTAAAAATGAGTCGTACATAGTTTGTAATTTTTCAGCATCTTAGGAACTAAAACATGAGCTCAAAAACCTTGTAACTTGATGAAACCCTATCATATGACACTATTTGATACCTCTCATCATGCTAAAAACACTCTTACAGAATGCATCTGTACTCTTTGATGGGATTTTTTATTTCTAAGTAATAAATTCATTTCACCTATGAGCCACTTTGCATTCTCATAATATCGCTCTGAAGTTTTTTTGGAGGACTTGCAACATAAGGAGTTGATAGGACATCATTGTTTGATCGACTGGTTTAAGTACCAGGGACATCTGCTCCAAGAGGATTGAGACCCATCATGCACAGACTTTTCTCTCCACAAATTTAAAAGAGATTTTTTTATTGTCATCCCAAGAAACCGCAGAAATAAAGCTAATTATATGTAGCAGCTGGCATGAAACAATCAAAGCCCTCAATCATAAATCATATAAATATAGGTTGTATAAAATTTGATAAGTCTTTAGTTGTACCCGATTGATTTCTTTTGGCTTTGTATCCAGAAATAATGCCCAGCTTTATCTTCAAGTGTTGATTAACAAAATCCTAAATGTGTTGTTTTCCTCGCAGGTTTTACTCATGGTTGCAAATTTGCATTTATTGATGCGACTGGAGCAGTTCTGCATTTGGAAACATTGTATCTTAATAATCGTAATGGGAAACAAGCATTAAATGATAGTGATGTTAGGAAATTAAGAAAATTAATGGTAGAGTTCAAGTAAGTAAAAAAATCCTAATTATATATTCATGCGCATAAAACCCCAACCTCCTCCCTCTTTCTTTCATGAGAAAGTGAGCTGTATCTTAAGTTCACGTGTGGAAATGTTCTCCAATTCGAGGGAGACATGTCTTCTCATTTTTAGAAATTCTTTACTAATTTGAAGATTATTTTTTCCCTCCCTAACGCATTTGAGATTGCGATAGAAGGCTTCTCTTAATCAACGATTTATTTTGGCCTGTTTTACGATATGGATTCAATACTAATTTGTTGTGTCCGGAGAGGTACTATTTAGTAGTTACCGACAGTGAAGCTATGAAAATGCTTGTCTCCGGTGGAGTGTTTCAATATCTTCTTTCCTTTTTTTATTTTTTGAAAGGAGACCGAACCAACTTCATGGCATTCATGGCTTGAAATTTTCACAGAATATTCTTCACATAGAGGAGAAAAATCACGGAAGTTTCCAAGAAATATGCTCAGTAGTGCTCTATGTTGAAAATAAAAAATGGCAGGAAGTCTGAAATGACGTAAACCGAGACAATATATTTCTGCAGTTTCACTATCATTTTGCACCACCGAATTTGATGTCGTTAGGCACTAAATTTCAGGCATGACATGTTTTAAGTTATTTTAACACATGCATTAAGACTTTTCATTAATAAATCTTATCATTAGTTTCGATGGTAATCATTTTTGCAAGATACTTTCCTAGTTTCCTCTTCTCCTTACTACTTCTTCAAATAATGATATGTATTTTTCAACAGCTGTGATACTGTAGGAATAGGTAATGGTAAAGGATGTAGGGAAATTGAAGCTCATCTGGGCAAGCTTATCAAAGAAGGTTTCTTCGCACCAGAGCTAGATGTAAGCTATACCATAGTCAACGAGCAAGGTGCCTCAATTTACAGCGTTAGTGAAGAAGCAAAACAAGAATTTCCAGACACGGATCCAAATTTAGTCAGTGCAGGTTTGTTATCAGTTTTTTTCAAGCTCTGTTTTTGATGTGGTCAGTACGTACGTCCATTTTTATTCTACGAACTTCAGAAGTCTGTGGTTTTAATTACAATTTGCTCTTCTACAAAAATTACCGTTAAGTCCAATTCACACGGTTTAGCTTTTTAATTAACTTTTCTCCTGCTACTGTTGAAAACTTGGTTTGTGTGATACTGGCTAAAGAACACAACAAGTTGAAATGAAATCTTCCGATCGACATTAGCCAAAACTGTATCTTCAACTAAAAGCTGACGGAGAAACCCAAACTCCATTTGACGATATCACTTGACAACAGCAATTGAATGAAATTTTGTTGCACTCAGTTTTTCATTTTGTGGATGAAAAGTTAAACCATGTAAATCAGGCTTTAGTCGCTCACAAAGTCTTTTTTTGTACCATTGTATTCCATGAATGTTCTCCCCAATATTTTTCAATTTTAAAATTCTTTTTTCTTTATTTTTTTTTTCATTTTTTTCAACTTGGCTGCCGACCTGTTAGCAAAATTTCACCGATTCTGGTTGGCCCAAATTTGAAAAGAGCAATTAAGTCAATGAAGTGTTATTAATACACTTACTGAGCATTCTCTTCAGAAATATTACCGCTGAATAATGATATAAATGCTTCAAGCTTCTCGCTGTCAGAAAAACTGAAACTACATAGACTTACATGGTTGTCGATGAACTTACCTTTCTTCATTTTTAAATTCTGTTAAAAATTCTCTAACAGATCCCTAGATCCTAAGATTCCACTTTTGTTTTCTTCCAGTTTCAATTGGTAGAAGACTACAGGATCCGTTAAGTGAGCTGGTCAAAATTGAGCCGAAACATCTCGGTGTAGGCATGTACCAGTTGGATGTGAATGACAAACTTTTGGAATCGACCCTGAATGAAATTGTTATTGAGTGTGTCAGTTTTGTAGGTGTGGATATCAACACTGCATCAATAGCTGTCCTTAGGTAAGATTAAATGTCTAAATTTGGTGAACTATGTTCAGTCCAAATGAATGGGCTTGTAATCAAAGTTCTAGCAAGGACAAAGGAAATCTTTGTTCAGATATCATGTTTTGAAGAGCACTCCACTAATCTCATCTTTAGTGGAACTTTACTCGCAGCCAAACTTTTTCATATGTATGAGAAACGATACACCCCAAATAATTAAATCCAAATTATTACTCAAGCGTTGAGGCACCCGTATGACAGAATTGCTTCATAATTTCAGCTTAATTGTTCAAATGCAAGCACAAAAAGGGTGTCTCCAAAAATAATTTGAGTGGAAAAGATTAAATTTTACAAGAATATGTTCTCTTCTAGTTCTTCATCATAATTTCCTTTGGTGTACTGAAAAATCCTTTGTTTTCAGCTCAGCTGTTAATTTAGAATGTCTAATAAAAACATTGATTTTTTGCAGGAAATTATCAGGTCTAAATCAGGCGAGAGCTAGTGAAATTATCGAATGGCGGAAAAAGAATGGAACATTTTTAAATCGCTGCATGTTGAAGGAGGTCAAAGGTATTGGCGACAAAACTTTTGAACAGTGCGCAGGCTTTATTCGGATTGTTCCACAAACAGCAAAATCAGATGGGTAGGTTACCATACATTTTTCGAGAAGAGTACCTTTATTTCTAATGCAACTTTTTTAAGTTTTCAAAAAAGTATGTTGAGCCATGAGTTTTCACCCAAAAGAAGAAATTCACGGAAAATTCTCAAAATAATATGTCAGGCATATTTTCAGATTTTAAATAAGCTCCAGGTTTTAAGGACTGACCCACCTTTTCTTGGATACATAGTGTAGCAAACCCTTTTAATGTCATTATTTTGGAATTATTAGAAGGTAATCGCACTCAGTTGTATCGCATCTAGCAGAAAGGAACCAGCGCAGTCACAGTATTTTCAAAATCATGCAACTTTCTTTTTTCTTTTAAAAATACTCAATACATGTGCAGTATTGAAATTTAAACAATTATTTCCCTTTTAAATTAACAATTTTTTGGTGGGAGGAAAAAGCTATTTACTATTCTGTGAGATTTTTTTAGAAAATTATGAAGAAGCAACATTTTTACAACACTGTAATCAAGCTGGTTTCTTTTTGCTAATTGCGATCCAGCTAATCTGCATGACAAAATCTAGGGGTGTAGAAAATGTCGGATCTTGCAATCATAGGATAAAGAAAAGGGCAAATTTTGGGTCATGAAGCATTTTTAAAGAATGTCTTTTCCCTTTTTTTTGATCCTAGTACTTAGGGAAATTGAACATTTTTCCGAAAGCTGGCATTTTGCCGTAAAATCAAACTTTTGGACGTGAAGTAAATCAGAACTAAGGCTGTAAGGCAAAAATGCCAGTTTGCAGCAGATAGTAAGCATTTCGTAACTTTATAGTTCAGATTCCAATTTGGGTTGAACTCTCTACAGTTCTACCAGTTAGACTACATTCTGCGATTAGGAACTACAGCTTTTGGCTTGTCTGTAAAAGCACTTATGTGCATAGGGGAAACTAATGGCACATATCGACGGCGTAAGTCCGCAATCACATATCTCGTTTGCGGTGTCTGAAAATCTCCGTCTCTATGTTATGTTTTTAAAGGAGAACAAATTGACATCATTCCTTGAAGTTAAAGCAGAATTTTTTTCGCATGGAGAAGAAAAATCACGGCAGTTTTAAAGAATTGCTGTTGAGTAGTTTTTCGTCTAAAAAATAAAGTATGACAGGAAGTCTGCAATGTCACAAACTAAGTAATCTGATTGCTGACCTACATCGTCGACATGTTGTTTCCATACTGAATCAGAAAGTGTAGTCCCTAACTGCTGTTCAGTTGTTCTTCCAAAGTCCTCTTGCTGCTTCCTTTGCCCCTTGCTTTATCTTGTAGCTTTCAAAACTTATTGCTGTTAAATATACAGTATTCTCTCGCTATAACAACACTTATTATAACAAAAATCTTGCTTTTGCTAAGGAATCCCCCGGTCCCTTGCTGATTCATTATAGCAAGAGAATAATGTACTGTTTAAGTTAATCCTATTATTTTTTTTTCAGGCCTAAAGGAGGAAAATTAGCTAAGAGTGATCAAAAATTAAACCCATTGGACCAAACGCTAATCCACCCTGAGTCGTATCCAGTAGCTCATAAATTTTGCAAGCAGTTAAGTCTAAATCTTGAGGATCTTGGTACAGACAGATTTATCCAGGAAGTTAAAAATGCTGTATCAAAGATAAATATAAAAGACACCGCGGAAAAGTTGGGTGCAGATGTGAAAAACGTCGAACTCATCATCACAGGGCTGACAAAACCATTAGATCACGATCTTCGGGCTGAATTTGCCACGCCATTATTCAAGAAAGGACTCATGTCCATGGAAGATTTAACTGCAGGCACCATTTTGACTGGTAAGTTCCACCTGATATTTTACAACTGAAGCATCAAGAAAAAAGAGAAATGAAGTGGTCATACCCAGAAAATGAACATCTCAATTGCAGTGATCAAAAATTGTATTTTTCAAGGAAAGATGAACCGTGTCAGTATTGGAATTTTCAAAGAATATTTTTCATGCACAAAATAAAGAACTAAGAGTTTCTAACAAGTAACATTGATGAGTTTTCTAATGATTGGATTTTTAAATAAGAAAGGCTACTGTGGCTAAGTCTCCTTTCTCTTGCTCCTTCTGTTCCCAATGGTAAATGAACGGTGAGCAGGGATAAGAAAAGTTCTCAGCTTCCCCACTTTGAAAACTCCTCTCCCTAAATTGTTCAAAGTCATAATCTTTTTTTGCTCGTAATGTACGAATGACTACAAATTTTTGAAAAACTTATGATTTTTACTGCAATTTTGCACCAAAAACTTGATATTCATGCTGATTTTGGCTCTCTCATTTTTAAAACCTAATATAGGGAGTTCCCATTTTTGCTCCTGACCATATACGACCCACAAGTAGTGGGGTTGAGGATTTTTGTAGTCATGACAGTAAGAAAATTACAGCAAATCATTTGATTCTATAAAGTTTAAATTCACAATGCTACTTTTTTAAAAAAGAAATTGAAAAATTGAAACAATACACATTATAAATTAATTGTCTGATAATCAGGGTTCTACCATATATTTTTTTTTTATTTTTAAAGTTTTTTGTTTTTTGTTTTTCCTCCTATTAGGCCGGATTACCAATGTGACCAGTTTTGGTTCATTTGTCGATATCGGAGTCAATCAAGATGGTCTAATTCACATCAGTAAATACTCTGGTTTTTCACCTCAACTGGGCAACCGTGTCGAAGTTAAAGTTGAAAATGTTGACGTGGCAAGGAAAAGAATTTCTCTCCTTCTAGTGCGGATTTTGTGAGTTCAGTGACAGTACTTTTTTCCCCATTTCTTTTCACTGATACTCATAATGTGTCTCACTGCTGACTGATTAAGTGTCAATTCCTTTTCAAAATGGACTGACGATGTTAATGATTTAAAAGTTAGTCTAATATATACCCTATCATTATTTTGTTAAAAGTTATCTAGCCTAAAGAAATTTAGCTAGTAAAAATAAAAGCAACCAAGCCTTAAATGTTGAAAAGTTGACTTATTGGCTCTTTATCGTTCAATTTATTTTTATTAGCACGTCTTATTTAAATTGTCCGATGTGATATTCCAAATTTGTTTATTGGATTCTCTGTGTCCCTATTTATTGTAAAATGTATTTATGCCACCAAGTTCCTTGCATTAAGTTATTATAATGACTTTAACTAGTCTTTGATTAAAGACTACCTATCTCTTCTTCTATTGTTCTTCATGTACCACGAAATTTCCTAGAACTCCAAGTATTTTTTTTCTTTCTTTCATAAATATTGGATAAAAATACAGAGTTCATACATTAGGTTTTTTTTATATTCTTGTAGTTACAAAGGAATTAAAAGTTCTGTCCATCCTTAATTCCATTCACATCAGAGAATAGAGGAGAGCATTTTTCTGTGATTTTATGAAACAATATTAAGCTATCAATTTTGTATCATATGTTTAAAATATTCGAGCCCCTTATCTTGTATTCCAGAATAGTTTAAGTACCTGAGCAACAAAAATGTTTCATTAACTTTGTTCAATATTTGATGTGATTCTTGTTCAAGGTACCTGTCAGTGTATCTTTGTAATTCCGTTGATTGTAGAGACAAGTATTTTTGGCCCAAAAAGGATTTAAGTATTTGCATTTTGCCTTGTAGAAGAATTTTTAAAGAGAAGGAGACTATTTTTGAAAAATATTCATGTACTGACTTGTTTTGTTGTTTGGGAGTATTCAGAAAAGGAAATTGTTAGTAGAAAGTTTTGCAGAAGGAAATAAATTGCAAATAAAAGTCTCAACAATTAATTGGCTGTATTTTGCTGACAAAAAGCCTACTTATTTTTCATACCTAGTCCTAATTTTCTTCTTTTTTTGTAAAGTTACCTCTGTATTCAACTTTCCTTCATTGAAAGGAAAATTAAAATAAAGACGTATTTCATTAATTTTCATCGCATTTATTTTTCCTCCAATTTTTATATTGGAATCCCAGGAGTAGATCCTATCCCATGTAGCTCGATGCAACATTGCAACAAATATATTCAGATAAAATTGCGATTGAATTCTGCAAAATTGCAATATTTTTACATCATTTGGTTAATAAATGCCAATTTTAAACAATCACCCAAGACGAGTTTCATGTATGAGGAAGATAGGAAATTTGCATCGCAAAAAAAAAAAAAAAAAAAAAAAAAAAATGACTGGAGCTGATCTCAATAAAGTTCAACATGAGGTGCCCCTTCAATCAGCAGAGAGGCAACATATCCTACTTCGATGCAGTAGCATTAAACTATGTAGCTGCAATTAATTCGACTTGGAGTGCTCCATGTGAGCAAATTTTAAACTCTTACACACACGTGTACCTAAAAGAAATTATATTTTCTTCTATTTGAACCTTTTTTTTTCAGGAGGGCTTATTAAAATCATACGAGCGATGAACTAAGGACGATTAGTCAACATTGCTCTGTAGTTGAATGACATTCTCATTCTGTCGTGCTGAGGAAAAACGCCGTATGAACATTCGAGAGTTGCCAAATTTCCTTTGATGACATTTTTATTTTTGCGTTCAATTATAAATATTTTTCCTTAAAATTTTCAGGAACTTAAGATCAAAATACGTACGAAATCCTCTAAAAAATTGGTAGAAAAATATTCTCAATTTTACCAGGGAATCCGTGTTTATCAAAGAAAATTTGGCAACGCCGGGAGGTTCATACGTTGTTTTTCCTCAGCACGACAGCAGTGGAGGGAGTGTGTGTCATTTTCGACGTTTGACGCATGACGTGTGAAATAATTTGACAGGTCTTGACATGACATGACAACATTGCACTCATCGAGTCATCGGCGTTGTTGTGGAGCGCTGGAATGCGTATTTGCGCGTCTGTGTTAGTGCGATTTCGGGAAACGCAGCGTTATTCGTACGGCTTCTTCCCCTGCAATTTTAATTGAAAATTTCATCGTGTTCTAAGCAATTTGTGACGAAAGTGCTCTATTTCCGCAGAGGCTAAGGCTCCAAATATTCGCACTCATTATCGTGGGATAGAAGAACGCCTCACGGAATTTTTTTTTTTAGCATTAGCGTATCACGGCACCGAGTCCCTCATGGGTGTCCTTTCCGTGTTCTTTTGTGTTTTTCCCTCATGAGAGGTGTGATTAAAAGCTAGTTTATTATTCTATTAGATTATCTATTGGTTTTTTTGCGGCATAAGTGCATCATCTAGCCTCGTATCTCGCCTGCGGGAACCTCTAACTGGCATCGCTTGTTTATGACACTCGCTATGGACCAGACGAATTTAATCAATATTTTGTTATGATCATCTTTTTTCTGGCCCGCCTGCCCTGTCATGGTACCGCATCTCCCCTGCTGAAATGTACGTGACACCACTGATTTGTCGCATGCCATTTCTCTTCTTCGTTGTTATCTCCGTTTAATGAATGCGTTTATGTGTTGTTCATCATAGTATCAGAACTTTTTATCAGTTCCAAGTTTTTCACTGTAATTGCTCTGCATATTTCATGTGGATAACCTCACTTACTCATGCAGTTTTCCAGAAATTTTTGCCCGTTTTTCCCTCTGAGACTTTTCTTCTCTCGTTGGAAATTTTTCACCAATACCCTAACACTCAGTTATTTGATCCTTGTCCTCTTCGAATTTGATGCAGTATGGAGCCGTTACAGCAGGAGGGTTTGCCCGAGCAACATTATTCCGGGGCCGATCAATTCCAAGCCCTAGGATTTTTCCATTCCAATAATTATCGTCGAGTGCCAGAACGTTTACCTGCACTCTTCAACTTTACCTTTACTTGTTCAGAATAGTTTCACTGGTGGTATTTACAATGAATCGCGTCAACGGGAGGGAGTGATTGACTGTCAAATTCAAGCTAGATATCTTCACTGAAACTTACTTACCAAACACATTTTAATAAGTTACTTAGTTTTTCTTTTTTCTCCGGTTCTTTGTATGGGTGGTAATACTTTTTCTGGAAGACCCTCAACTGCATGGAATATCTTGTCAAATCTTAATTGTTCATAGAATTCTGCAATATCTGATAGAGTAGCATGGAACACTCACATCAGCAATTTTTTATGGAAATTTAATAGAAAATTTACTCCCTGTCATGTAACCTTTAGTATTACTGATTTTTTGTGTCATTTCAGGTGTTAGTGCTTCCAAATGAAAGCAATGGTTTCCTACCCGGAGAACATTGGCAGCGGACAAACTGCGGTGGACAACAACAATGCTATTCCTCAGGATCAAGCCGTATTTGAAGCGGACAAACGAGCAGTTTACAAGTAAGTTATCAACAAAGTCTCTGTGTCTTTGTTCAGAACTGAACAATGGGTTAGCTGCACAGCTCCCAGAATTATGTTTTGATGGATAATCGATTGACACAGTTGTAAACTATCCCAACTGTCTAGATGCCATGTTTTCCATGGAGAATATTAGTAGTCAAATCGCTCTTTGGAAAGCAGTATGGATGACACCAACCACGAAAGCACTGGGTACCATGGTAAACGTTCTATTAGCTGTAACTGTATAGTTTGAAGTTTACATAGAACATAAGATAGACTAGTTTTCCGAATAAAAAATAAAGTAAGTATGACAAGAAGTCCGAGACAGATAGATTGATTACGTTTATTGTAAAAAAAAAAAAAAATTACAATTAATAAAGATTTTTTTGACAAAGTCACTGATGCAACTGCCTAGAAAACAAAAAAAAAGTTAACAAGAACTCAACAATATATATCATCCAATAATTTATTAAGTTTATCTAAGGAAACATATCTTTGTAAAATTCATTAAGACTATAATAAGCCCTGCCCCTCACTCCCTCAGAAGGTATTCTGTGGCATGTTCGAATAAAATAGGGTCGTCTATACCTACTTTTGATTTTTACTTTTTGATTTTACTCTCAGTTTTTTCAAAGCCATTTTTATTGAATATTTGTTTGATTTACAGGCATCCCTTGTTCCCGTTGCTAGCACTGCTTTTTGAACGTTGCGAACAAGCGACTCAGTCAGCTGAAACCCCAAATTCTGAGAGTTTTAACATGGACATACAAGCCTTTGTTCAACATCAAGAACGAGATAGGAAACCCTTTTTAATCAACGATGCAGAAGTAGATGGTTTAGTGAGTATTGTCTCTTTTTCTTGAACCTCTTAAAAACTTAAATAAGTCATTTCGGTTGTGTTACTAAATAATAAGGTCAATAAACAGGGCTTGTGGAGCTTTGGTAAGGTCGCACATATTTGTGAATTTTTTCAAGAATTTTCAAGTCCCTGAACAACTTTGAATTTTAAGACTTAGCCTACCTACTTAAGGTGAATCTACAGTGGTGCGCAGTAAGAAATTTTTCCGCGCAGGGAGCGCCACTGCTGCGTTTCGATTTTTTGAGTCTGTACAGCCCAATGTGAGTCCTTGAGCTTTCATGAAAGTTAAAGGAATTTCTGTTTGAATCGAAGAGTCATAAGTTCTAGCCATAATATTCTTCTTCCTATTGACCTTAAAAAAGACGTGAAAAGTCATTTCTGAAGCTCTGAAACTTGATCTCAGAAAAAAGTAGGGTTAAGCATGATGACCTTGATGCAACCAATCGCGATTGATCGCTCTCAGCAGTCGCAGATATCTCTCTCGCACTCACAGATATCCTGTAAGAGAAACTGGGATCAAGTTATAGTTTTTATTATTAAACTTTCAAAGTAGCCTTCCTGTTTTGAAAACCCCTTTTTTTCTAAAATTTTCTAAGCTCTGACCTATTTTATTCTTCTTTCACAAATTGCTGAGGTTTTGCCAAATGCAGAATAATTTCTTTGCTATTTTACTCAAAACATGCAAAATTCCTTGCAATGTTTTAAAAGTCACATGATTTGCAAGAAACACCTAGGCTCATTTTACCACCATGGCGAGTATATCACAAAGCTTTGTGTTGGATTACAGTCAAACTATCGAAACTGCAATGTAAAACTATGGCGCAGCCCCTTAATCGATCCATTTTTTATTAAACACAAAGCAACATTCCGATGCAACGCAAGCAACGTTTCCAAAGCAACACAATATTAATAGAAAATTTCAATGTGTTTAGGAGGTTGTTCAGTTCTCTTCAAAAAGAATAAACAACATGAGATTAACTTATTCCTAAATTAGATTAAATTAATTAATTGAATGAAATGAATGCTGTCGGGTTGATTCTAGTTTAATCAGACCAATTTGACAGCATCTGTTTACAATTTTCTGGTGCTAATATTTCTATTTAGCCCTAGAGATTTGATTTTGATGGCAACTGTTGTTTCATATGCCTAATGACCTTGTTTTATGTTTCAGATGATCAAAGCAATTCAAGTCCTTCGAATTCATTTACTCGAATTAGAAAAAGTTCAAGAGCTCTGTAAAGACTTTTGTAACAGGTACATAACGTGTTTAAAAGGAAAAATGCAGAGTGAGAACCTACTTAGGTCTGATTACGCAACCGGTTATGTTGAAAACAATAACAACAACAGTAGTGGTCATTCAAGTGATAGCAGTAGCCCTTTAGCGCATTCTCCCCACCATTTACAGGTATGACTCAGAATCTTCTTGTACTCTTCCTCTTACAGGATAAAATATTACTCAATGACTTACGTATATTTAAGTAACATACTTAAATATCAATTGTGAAACTACCAAATGACGTACCTCGATTTTTTATGGCTTTGAATCAGAGCTGGTTATGAATGGTGTGAGTTATAAATGAGCAAAACTGTAGGCAAGACTTTCTTTTACCTGTCATCATAAGGTTTTAAGAAAAATTTTATATAGTATCATGCCAGAAGAAAACTTTGAAAGAAAAAAACACCAAGAAACATTGTCGTTTACCTAAATTTAAGTAGATAAAATTTAAGAGAAGACCGAAATGTAAGTGGTAAGGCCCACAGATTTGAAGATGAAGAAAAGACCTCGAAAATAGGCAGCACACTTTTATGTAGCCTTGCTGACATCACTGATAGTGAGATAACAAGTTCACCCGTGATTGGCTGGCTATAATCCATGTAGCTATCAGCTGCAAGTCTGGTAATCAGAATAAGGGTCAATGAATAAGATGGTAGGAGGATAACGAAAGATGAAAGAAAAATGAAATTTTGAAGAAAAAGTGATGAATCCAGCCATTCTTATGAGCTAACAGAGAACTTTATAAAAAGGGTTAAATGAATGTGGGAAAGTCCTGACACAAACTTGTACAATACTGCCGAACTTCAAAGTTTGGGTTCCTGAAATGCGTTGCATGTGCAGCAGCTTCAAGTCTGGACTTGGAAAATTTACGAAAAAAGTAATTTTTGCCGTTAAAAATCACGGATGGCCTCTAAAAATTAGGTTTGCTAGTGATGATGGCTCCAACAATAGCACCCTGAAGTTGAAACAATGAATAAAAGTAGGATCTGTTTTACGGAGTGTTTTGGGGAATATAAATTTTTCTACCTTTAAAAACAGGGGAAATAGGAAATTATTTTAGTTTATTTGGCAGGCACCCTGATTAGCATCAGTCGTGTCGGGAGCTTGGCATGTTTTATGTATGTGAGAGGAGCCAAAGAGCTATTGTTTGACAGGTGCTGTCCTCCACAGGAGCTGTTGGGGGAGTATGCGAAGACTACGTTCTGAGTAACCCTGCAATGCCGCCGCTTTCTCCTGCCCCTACACCAGTCCTCGCTCCAGCACCGCCTGTCCTCGGAAGTACGCCTCTCTCGCAAATTGGTGCCAACCCGTTTCCTTCACCATGTGAATCGACACTTCTTCAAGGTAGGCAAATAGAGACAATTCTTACCCTGGAGTCTCTTTCTGTTTTTTTTTAATCAGTGGTTTGTCTTCGATGGAAACATCAAAACACACAACAAATGTGGCCCAAACTGTAAGTACCAGGATCTGCATGTACCTGCATGTACCTGAGCTGAACATTCTCTCCCCTAGTCTTGCACTGACACTCATTAGAGTTCAAATTATTGACTGCTATTTTTTGGATTTTTCCCCCAATTTTTTTTCGCCTTGATTTCCCTGCTGAAAAGTGTAAACCCAGCACTATTCTACCATACTCCTTTATGAGAAACTTTACATTCGTAAAGTTTTGTGGCATTTTTATAAAGAAGTTTCAAAACTGGCATTCAATTTCCGATCAGTTAAATATCTCATGGTTGCAAAAAGTTTCTAGACATTTTCCATTGACTGTAAGCCAGCATTTTTTTCTCATAACCGTGTCTTGATTGTTAATCAACATTGGTAGACATCGATAAAAGATGGCATTTTTCATGAAAGAGATTTATTAATTTAGATTATTAAATATTTAACATTTCAACCATTTTTCCACTATTTTTTTAAGTTCCTCAAAATTTCCGCCCAAGTGTTCCAATTTTCTTTTAACATTGGCCCAAAATTCCCTATTTTTCTCCCTCCGAATTTTTGAAAAGTACAAACATCAATTTTTTAAAATTTTCTGCAATTGTCGCACATATTGCAAGACTGGGGATTAATCTTCCCCTGATTTCTTTGACTTTAAAATATTCAGCAATCTCAATACTATGTGATGTTTACATTTAACATTTTAGATGCGCATTTTTAGGGACTCCAAAATTCAAAAATTTCTGAATGCTTGCGTAATGATTGCACCGTTTATACACGTATAAGTTATCTCTCAAGGATTTAAGTGTGGGTAGATCTGAGTGGGCCTCCAGAAATGAAGGAATGTCTCGTAGATATCTCCATTCCTTTAAAGTGAAAAAAAAATGCATTCGAAGAATTAATGTCCCCTTTTTCAAACCAATCGGCCTTTTATTCGTGATATTTTTCTCCCTTTCATTTTGTGCTCTGATTTTCTCTAATTTTTACAACTGCTCTAAAGGTTCACTGTCCGCAACCAGCGGAGGCTCCGGTGATGAAGATGATGATTATTTTGGATCAAAGAAGAAGCAAAAAAGGGGAGTGTTACCCAAACATGCTACAAGTATTATGCGTGCCTGGTTGTTTGCTCATTTGGTGGTAAGTTCTTATTTTTTCTTATTGTATCTAGTATCTTTATTTACTCAATGCTTATCAAAGAATAGATACGCAAAGCCTAAAAGGATCTATATAGTTGCAATGTAACCTACAGTCAATTTATTATAGCACAGCTGTTCCTGTGAAGGATTCAGCAGTAGTCATTAATTTTCCATCTGCTAATGACAGTGTTCTTCCCAGGGATCTAAATATTTCCTGTACTAAAACATCAAACTTCTCCAGTATAGGAACCTCGTTTTTTTTATGCTGCTGTGAAGTATAGAAACTTGCAGTTTTTTTCAAGAACAAGCAAGAGACTCTTAAGATAGTCTTTCCAGCCTGAGACACATGGGAAAATTACTGACAGACTTTGTACTACACTGTTAATAAAGGTTTCCGGCGGTCTAGAAAACCTGGAAAGTCGGGGATATCATAGGGAAATTTCTGAGCAGCGTGTCAGCTCAGTATCTTTAGCCAGTGGGATTTGAAAGAAAGCAATTAGCCTGCAAGTGCCCTCTGCCACAATTTGAATTCCTGGAAGAGGAAATTTTTTCCAAAGTTTGGCAGATGTCATCGTAGGTGAAAGCAAAAAAAGCAAGTAGAATTTTTGTTCGAAGACCACGAAATTTTGATGTCAGGAATAAGTAAGATACTGTCAAGGGAGGTCAGGAAATTGTAAAATTAGGAAATCAAGGAATACTGGTGCTAATCACCACGAGTGCAGCCGAGGGCCAAAAGTATGACCTAATTAGATGTATAACTGTTACTGTCCATATCAGTGTAACTGTAAAGTTGTCAGAAAATTGTTTTCCTGTGCAATTTTCTTGAAAAAGAAAAAAAATTGCAAGTTTTTTGTTCAAGGAACACCATATGTTACTTTACTGAAGTGAAAAGAAGTTCTTAGTAATGGTTGAGTACCTTGTTGTGGGTGAATTTCAAGGAATTTTGTGTTTTATACCCATTAATAATTTTTTCATGATTTGTTTTTATTTCCAGCATCCTTACCCTACCGAAGATGAGAAAAGACAAATTGCTGCTCAAACTAATCTCACCCTATTGCAAGTTAACAATTGGTTTATCAATGCAAGACGTCGTATTTTGCAACCCATGTTAGATGCATCAACTCCTTCTGATAATTCAGGTGAGTATCTTTGTACGCTATGTACAGATTGCAGTTAAATGCACGATTTGTTCATACAATACGCGGGTAATTTTTCCAACATGCATTTTAGTTCATTGTAAAACTGAAATTGTCATTACAAAGGGTAAATGCTTATTCAGGCACAGTTTTCTCTTTAAGAAGTAGCTTCAGATAACTTTTTTCTTTCTGTAGTGAGAATTTCTGCTTTACACTGAATTGAGACGCATGTTAGCAAAACCTCAAGTGTTCTGTCTAAATATTTGTAAGTATTCTTAAGGATTCAGAAATGAAAGAAACCATTAATAGATGAAATAATAAAGGAAACCGGATCAGGCTTGTTGGGATTAGTTATATGTCTGTTGTTCACTCTTAAACAGAATTGAAGGTTAAAGAATAAATTCTTCGGATTGTTGCATCTAGGAGTTAATTTAAGACATTAAATCTTAGATTGTGCATTTTCCTTTCTTGCCCAGCTTGTCGATTAACTTTGTAAGGCTCTCCAAGATAGGTTTTGCGGAATGGGAATAGTTTGTGGTGATTTAGGGTCAGAGGATGTAGGTTTTTCACAAATATCACTTAAGTAGCCAATTCCAGTGAGAAGCATCTGGCAACCTTTTATGAAGCACATTTGATTTCTTCTTAAATGGTACAAAAATATAAATATACCTATTGAAACAATGCCTTGCCACCAAAAAAATTCAATTTAAAGAAAGTGGCAGGAAGAAATCTATGCACTAGTGACCACTTAAGGTGAAAGAGTATATAGATTATTTTTAAGAAACTATCTCCTAAGCAGTGAACTGCAGGTACAATGTAAGGGTCTTCTCTAAGAAACACATATTTTTTATCAGTTTTTTACCCAAAATACTCCCAAAAAACATCTACACATAATTTTGAAGATGCGATTTGAAAAAAGAGCCGCAGCTATAAATCTGTAGACCCATGTCTTTTATTTAATTGAACCTTTCAAGCTGGGAATTTTGGAGGCCAATGTCAAGAAACTTCTTTTAAAGAACGTGAAATTTGTATTAACACTGGCAAATCATTGAATTTAAAAAAAAACATTCAGCTCCTGTAGAAAACGCTGTTCACGAAAGAAGACCATGCTCAAAAGAGCTCTGCCTAGTTTGCTTACTTTGTCATGACAAGATAGCTTTTTAATGCTACAGGCTCAAAATTTAGATAGTTAATAGAATAAAAAAAATTAAAACAGCTGTTTATGAGATTTATTTTCCACATTTTCAGTCTTTTGTGACTTTCTGTAAGTTTTAAAAATTTTACTTATAATCATCAATTTATCGTACCATTTGTTAATAATTTATCTTCTTTGTATGCTTACAGCAAGTGAACAAAGTGGTAGCGGTAAGAAAAGTAAAAGCAATGGATCTGGAAATGCAAGTAGTAAACAGTTCTCACAAAAATTCTGGTCAGAAAATATTGGGGCTCTTCAACAGTTCGCTTTAGAAAATACTCAGGGTATGTATCAGTTGTCTGATAATTCAATGAGACACCTTCAATCAAACTACTTAAATCCAAAATCATAGATTTTATAAATAGCCGAGTTACGTGGCAACAGACTCCAATATTTGATTACTCATCCATGTATATCTCATCTAAGAACCAACTATTTGTACTGAATTAAAAGGAGGTGCAGTCTCTAAAACGGCTGATAAATCGGAATTGCCCCTCAGAATATCATATTTTTTACTGTTTTACGTTTGTTTTGAGAAAACCATTGATACTTATCATCTGCACACTGTTCAGGGTGTCTACCAGTCTGTAAAGTCCGGAAAAAGTACGCATTTTTTAAGGTCGGTCTGTAAGTACCATAAAAGTACATAAATTTCGCGAAAGGTCCGTAATTTTTCGCATTTTGTGGTGCGCGTTCAGTTCGATCGCCTGATAGTTATGCAACCCTCTGTCATAGATTTGACGGAAACAGCCAAAAAGGCCACGGGAATAGCCAAAGTAAAGCGCGCGGCAGTGCCAAAATCGAAGAATTGCGATACGTATCGAAAAGGTACGTAAAAAGTACTTAATTTTTCCCCAAGGCGAGGTACTTAAATTTTTCCTTAAGTACCTAAAAAGTACTGAAAAAGTACTTATTTTATTTTTGTGGACCTCAGTAGACACCCTGTCTGTATTAGTGATGTATTAGAGACATTGTCTTAAATAGAAGTATACGAGGGAGGATTCAAAAGTAATTAGACGATTTTTGCCCCGGTCGCTAGTTTTTAAGTCATGACTGCTCCTCTAGCAATGATGTAAGAAACTTTCAATAGTGCACTACGCAACACTGCAATGCACAAAATCTAAAACCTATCCATAATTTAATGCAGCTGCTTTATCAAAGAGTGTATTTTCTCTGCATTGTTTTTCTAATGCATTTTTTCATTAAGCGTGTTTCATACTGCACGAGTCTTTTAGTGCGAAGCACACCGACGAACAGTAGGTGGCCGTGAAGTTCCGTTTTTTTTTATGAAACCGTACCTTAAATTGTAGAAATGATTACCAAAGCTTGTAAAGGAAAGGCGATTAAGTAACATTCTCTCTTTTTGATTAGGGCCTATTTGTTTAGCGTCCACAGAGGCGGATCCAGCAGGTTGGTAACAATGACATTCCTCCATTTGAACCTATGTGGATAATCAATTCTTGTCAGAGTACCTAGATTTTCTGAAAACGACTTATTTCCATAGACTGGAAATATAGATTGTATTCGATACATCGTACGGGTGAGATTGTATCGATATCGATTGGTTCAAAACATAAACATAGCCTCAAATGTAAATTCAGAAATCTGAGAGAACGGATCTTTTGAAACAGATTTTTTATTCTCTTGAGTACCAAATGCCAATGCAAAGTGAAATTTTCAGGAAATTTCTCATTTTCAGCTTTTCCAATTAAAATCCTTAAAGTTTGGTTTGAGGTTATGTTCTATTGTTTTGAACCAAACGATACATCAAACCGTTATCGAATACGGTCTATAGGTAATGTTACCAATTTGCCGGATCTGCCCATGAACATCTACTCTATAGAGTTAATTATCCTCTGGAGGTAAAAACTTTCCAATTTTTCTCTTGAAATTAATGTATGGACATCAGCCATCAAAATATGATGCTCTAATGTGCGCAATAGATCCTGCAAAATTTGTAACATCTTTCTATTTTTTTATTTTAATTTTTTCTTTTATGATGTGGTTTAGACTCAAGTACGGTCAGCTCGGACGAATCAGATGCGGATAATTGTGAGGTTGGCAGTGGTGTCGAGGGGACAGAAACCGGCGAAGACCGAAAACCAGAATCTCTTCATTCGTTGAAAAATTCGTAGTCATTTCTCAACTCTTATTAGCGTAAGTCTTAGCTTTCTTGGCTCCCACTGAAAGCATTCCCAGTCATTATAGTTTATCGTGTTTTCTATTTTAATTTTTTTATTTGATTTTATTTTTATTAATTAACCATCGGTCATTTGTTTAAATGCTAATTCAAGGTCTTGTTATTTTTTGAAGTGAGAGCAGTTCATTTTCATGTTTAATTCAAGGTCTTGTTATCTTTTGAAGTGAGGACAGTTCATTTTCATGTTTAATTCATTCCGACCTGTTTGGAGTTACTTGAGAATCAAAGCAAAACAGGCTCATTTTATTGTAGCGTTTGTTATTCCTCTCTAGTGTGTCCTCTGAGGGAATTCAGTCCCAAAGTCTCTGCCGATTTTTTTCGGATTAATCTTTGCAAATCTTCCCGTTTGTTTTGACTTTTTCTGCTTGAAAATGCCCCTAGACTTGAACCAAATCCTTGTAGACTTATGTTAGAGGTATTAGCATTTTTCATTGTCTCCACACATTTTTCTATCCATAATTTTCCTTTCATTCTCTTTTTTTCTCTTTTACCCTCCGCTCTATGCCCCCCTCCCTCCGTGGGAGGTTTAATTATAAATTTAAATTACAAATGAACCTTTCAGAAGAATTGGTTAAGTCAATGCGCTTTGAGATGGAGCCTGCTTATGATTTGGTATATTTTTTTTCCAAAGCTCTCTGAAAAAATTCAGTTAGGCCTGACATCAATTTCGTTCTCAGCATTGTTTCAACCGCACTAATTTCTCCCTGTGAGTCCTCTTGTTTTTCTATCTTTTTTTCTTGACACTGGCTTACCCTTAATCAGAGAAAGAAATAACTAATACTGTCTTCCATCTCTGCACTTGTTTTGAGAGCAAGGAGAAAAATATTAAAACTTTTGTAATTAAGGGAATGGCCAGTGTATTTTTTCATGTTGTATTTGAAGAAATTTACTTTTTAGAATAGATGGAATCTAGCCATGATTTCTCCATTTTTGTGCACAAATCTTTTCGTATCATATTTTTTTTTCCGACTCTGAGATAAAACGATGCTACGTAATGAATTAATGGTGAACTCTCTCTTTGTCACATCTCCTTAACATGAATTTAACTTTTTTTTTTTTTTCATTTTAAAGAACCCTTCACTCTCCCCTAAAAATAAGTTTCAAAATACCTCTCTGCAACTGCTTCCTATGTTTGTAGAAAAAAAAATCGAAAGGAAAATTTTTAAATTTGTTGATAACTTTTAGGCCAAGAATTTGGAAGGTTTACTTTTAGCGTCAATAGATACATCGGTACCAAACCCTGATCAATGGCCCAGATATCTTAGACTTTTCTCTAACTATACTGTTAAAGTAATTGATGCTATTAAGTAATACACAGCACTTAATTTTCCTCATAGTTTTGATTCTAAGACTTTAATTAAATTACCTGTGTCCTCTCTCATTAACAGGGAAATTAATCTGAAATAATTTTGCACATTGTTAGTCCTGCAAAAAGTTTAGTAAATAGTGCTATATTAGCTCATCGTTTTTGCTCATACTTATTTACTACTCTGCAAGTGTGCTTTGCCCTTGTCGATCAAATTTTAGTCAACAAATTTGATTACCTGTTCCAAAATAGGTATGAATTATTCTCAATCTTTAATTAATAACTTTAATGTTAACTCTTCAAGGACTTTGCTGGAAAATTAGCCATCAAGAATATTCATGAAATTATAGAGGGGAAGTAGCTTAATTCTGTCGAATATTGCAATGTGTTCTGTTTTCCCTGGATGCCATGCGTTAAATGCATGGCAGAACTCTGATGGGAAGATTAGTTCTTATTGCATGAAATTTAGTTCTGTCATCGGCAAGACTTAGAAGTGATATCAAACATTTATATGATGTCAAGCGCATTCTGCTCTCATTTTCAACATGTACTAGTATTATATCAACTACAGTAAGACCATATGTTATCAACAATTAGCTTTAGCATCAGATGTCGAGTGATTGCCCATCTATGCGTTTCAAAGCTATTTCTTTTTGTTGAGCCATTTGTTTCCTCATTGAAATGTTCTTGTATACGAGTGTCTTTATTCAAAAGTTTTTATTTTTTATCTTGAATACAATACTCTCCTTTATTATAAGGTGTATATTTAAATCTGGATTAGGCAAAAATGTCAGTCAGTGCTTAATCAGTTAAGTGAATATATTGTAAATAATCCAGTGCTGTTCGCGGATATTTTTAGTGTTCAAACAAAACATTCCAGGAGGTAATCATAAGTGATGTGGAACAAGGTATCTCTACTCAACGATGTTCCAAGTTATTTACCCCACCTCCCATCTATTTCTATTTTTCAAATCCTTTTGAGATTCCATCGCTAGCATTACATGAAAGGATACATTTTTATCTTTAGTATCAGTATAGACATTTACTGAACGGATGTTTTACAAGATAAACATTCCACTAAACTCTAGCTTAGAATATTGCTTTCAAATTTGCTGTCAGAGCTTTGAAAATCGCTCTTATATCAAACGAGAGAAAAAAACTTGAAAGCAAGATATCCACTGATATCTAGCAAGAGATTAAAGATGTTCTCGTATTAATTCATTGCACCTCCTAGTCAGAGGGAGGTATTGAAAGTGGCTCCTAATTTAAACCATCAATACATGCGTAGTACACATTGATGTCTTTTTGTGTAAAATTTTAATGCTATAAATTTTTCATATTCTATTTTCTCTCGCAAATTGTGAGATTTCTGCTTGTAGCTAGGATTATGAAACGTGAAGATATAATCGGTAACTTCAGCTCAAAAATTCTAGACAATGATGATGGTCAAGTACAGAAAATGCGTAGATAGCTCATTACAGTCAAAATTTACTTTCTTAAGATAGTTAAAACTAATGTCCATCATAAGGTGTCACCTACTGAAAAAGGATGAGCAATTTATGGCAAATTATCAGATTTCAGCAGCCAATTTGAAACCAATAATGAATGTATCGGCCATTGAAAGAAAGTTGTTTAAATGATTGCCTTCTTATTCTAAGAAGCATTCGCATATGCCAGTGGTAACCGTACGTATTTTGTGATTTACCTCTTATTCAATACTAGAAATAGACTGGTAGGTTTCTCTTCCATGTGTTAAAGTCTGTATTATATATGTATCTACATAGATGTATGTTTAATTAACTATTGAAATACCGAGTGTATACCATTTGCAGCTTCAGACATTCAAATATGCTGAGAGGATTCAAGCAAAAACCATTTTGCATTCCTTTGTCATTGTTGTTTTAAATTTTCCTCCTCCTTTGACTTCCAAATGCTCACAATTCTCATGTTTTTATATGAACTAATTAATTGCTTTTCTTTACTTATTAGACTGAAAATTTTATCTTTGTTTTATCCAAAATTTCGAACTTATTGCACAATTTTATTTGGCTCAAATTTTTTTGAAAATTGATTTTGCGGAGGTCAGATAACATTCCCTCATCCGTGTTCTTTTTTAATTATAGTTTACTTACCAGAAATTTTCAGTTCTTTTCTCTAAAGAACTAAGGATATTAAAGTAAAGTGATGAGGCGTAGCTTTACTGATCTTATATCCTAGCTTTAATGCTTTGAAAATCAATCAAGCTTGTTCGTAAATTTTCAAGTCCTGTCTAGGCTCAGCTCTGTCTACCTTGTGTATGTAGTGCCTTTTCGATCAGCTGTGGGCAGTGATTAAGTAAAAAATATGAGTCTATATATTTGGATGGTCTATTTTGCAGCAATGTTGTCAGATGAGGTTGGGAAATTTCTTGATTGTAGTGGTAGCTCAATGTAATGAGAAGCAGCATTCCTCAAAAACTGACATAAATGTTGTAAAAAAGTGAGAAAAATAATTAAAATTTTGACTGCATCTGTCAATTCAAAGTCTCTCGTACGAAACGCATCTTGATTGCATTGTTTCTGTATCTCTTATTGACATCTTATTTTTCACTGCAAAACTTTCTCATAAATTTGTCTTACTTCTCTAGTAAATTTTCCACACTCTAGGAAGAAAATGTTTCAAAATTTTCAGACAAACTCATGTAACAGTTTCCTCGTGAAAAAACAAAATGTTTGTGGTCTTGTCTTACTGAAACAGTTCAGTCACGATACATTTCTTCATGAGTGATACAACGAATTGACGTCTTTAACACAATAAATTTCTTTACACAGGCTCTTCTCGAATACCATTTGTTGATTATTGCTGCCTCAATTTTTAAGCCACTAATATTAGTTTTACTGCTCTTAAAAATGTGAACACCCAGTATTTTCATCTTTGGTTTTTATTTTTCTCGAGCAAGTTAGAATTTTGCTTATCATTATATTGCCCTGATCTCTCCAATCCTGTTACCCTTGATTGTAAAAATGGGTAATTTTCGGCTCTGGCTGGTAACCATGCCCCAAAGTCTAAGTTTGTTATTTTGAGCTAGTCTTATAATGTAAACAAATGTGCTCTCTTTTTTAGTTTTCGTTTTTTAATTTATATTTCAATGTTTATTTTTTCAGTATTTTTTCAAAGGCTGAAATGTGTCATAATGTTTTATTTTGTTTTCTTCAATTCTGTACCACGTTATGGTGCTTCATTTTTTCTCACAAAAAGTGTATAAAACCATGTTAGTATAACGCCAAGCCTGGTATTAGATATTCGAAATAGAGTAAAATTTGCAGGTTTTTGTGATGCGTTGAGTTTTCAATGTAATGTGAGTGCGTGAAGTGCGGACCGAGAAACTCAGAAGTATTAATTTCTTTCATTCCATTTAAATTTTATTTTGTATTCATGATTCGTTCTTTTGAGGTAGAAAAATCCCCTTTGAATGCAAGTAAAATTTATACAACTTTTGCTCAGACATTTTCCTCTTTTTTTCCGTTCCTTGGACCATTATAAGGGCAGTCCCTCTTCCAGTTTATGAAAAGACTTAAAGATTTTATTTTATTTTACTTTTTGGATAAAGAATCCCTCAAAATGAAATTTTTCCCTTCTCTCTTATTCTTTCTTTCTTCTATTAAAGGCAAATAATAGAATCCTCCTAAGGATTAACATTTGAGGAAAGACAATTTTGGCTGTTGAAATGGTTATGATAAATCAAGTAACGAGGCTGAACTCAAAGGACGGAAGTCAACGGCATTAGTGCTAAAAATTCATGAGCCGTTGACTTAATTTGGGAGTCCTATAGCTAAGTTCTTCTCTTTACTTGTATCACCATGTACTGCAAATTTCAAATTAAAAAATATGTTGAATGTACGTTTTTTAAGTAAGATTTTCCAAATTTGTGTTTTGACCCTTTAGTTTCATTAAACTTTACACCCAATTCAGCAGATTTAAAGACTGCTCAGTACTGCTTCCTTAATTGAGTTAAATTTTTCAGTGTATATTTATTGAATTTTTTCACGCATGGTGCCAAGTCCTTATTACTATTAATTGCTAAATTATGTATTTTGTAAGTTACTCTATTTTTTACAATTTGTTTCATAGCTTTGAAAAAATAAACAAATTTATCTCTGAAGTGAAGTTTTATCAGTCATCTCACCCCAAGTCTCTTATAATTTATTCTTGGATAATTGGCTGATGATTTGGGGTTTTTTTTACCGTTAAAGTATTTGCTAGTTAAAACTCAGGTGTACTCCTGTACTCATCTGCCATGAAAATTTTTCTCTCACCAAAAATTGATCTTGTGCGGAGAATAATTATTTTGCAAATAGTGTGTAAATGTTCAAATAGCAGCATTTCAAAGGGCACTACAGATTGAAGAAATGAAAAGGAAAAGAAGGAGAAGAGCAGTCGTTTTGTGAGCTTGAGAAACCTTCAAGCAAAAGGCACAACAATTTATTTACAAATATGTAGAACAAAAATAAATTACATACCTTTTAAGCACAGACATTTTTGACTTTCGATAATGAGTAAATCGATTCAGGAACTTTCAGTTTTTGTATTTTATCTCTTGAGTTCATGCTTTTAATATTTTTTCTCGTTTTCTAGCCTGAAAACTCCTACCTGAAGGTACCTACAAGTATTTTGTAGTACATACTATTGAGGTTTGAGTTCCTAATAGAACTTGGAACAAATTTTAGCAATATTATTCAATTGAAAGAGTTTTTATTCAGACTGTCGCAAACAATTCACCTCATTACTTAGTTTGCTTGTTTGCTTGTGTTTTTTTTTTTTTTTTTTTTTTTATCTCTAAAGTTTGTTGATCCAAGAGATAAACCTGATGTATAGGACCAATGACTATATCTACATCCTGTACTACTAATCTCATCAAACAATGGGTAAAACTAGATTCACGTCGTGAAAAAGGTCTAAAAACTAAGTAGGTACATATCATGAATAAATAACAAAATGCAAAAAATGAACACTAAATATATCACAGTAGTATACGATAGAAAACAAGCCATGAATGTGTCACCATGACTTTCGGAGCTAAGAAGGACAAAAGTTCTTTATCTAGAATTATTACAACTTGAGGGAAGCAGAACCTTGGAGTGTGCTTTCTCGTCCATAAGAATAATTTCTATGGATGCAGAGACGTCATAAGTAAACAGTTTAGCTCTCCTCAAGTGTAGAATTGACACAATCAAGATTTGTAAAATTCAGCCTCAATCAATGACTCCACAAGTAACACAAAGCAATGAAAATATTGAAATAAAATTGAAATTTGTTTACCATGAATTTGCTGTGTTTTACATCCGTTGGCCACTAAATACCGATTTTAAACCATCGACAAAATGATATCCAGCTCGAGAGATAGACAGTCGATGATCAACAATATGGAACTAATTTCAATTTTATTGCAGTACAAATCAACCGGTGTTCCATCAAGCAATACCTAGATAGGCAACATACACAACACTCCGATGCAGTAGCAATAATTTTACCACAATGCTAAACATTTTGGGGTGAAATTCGGTGCCAGAGTCTATACATAGCGCCTAAAGAACACGAGTGATATGAGTACGGAGTAATATCAGAATAATTCACACTTTTACGGAGGGGAATCTACCCTTTCTAGGTAGTGCCGTGCGCTATTCTCCCGTGCTAAGGAGAAACGCCGTATGAACCTTCATACATTTCCGAATTTCCTTTGATAAAAAGTGGATTTCCCTCTAAACTTATGAATATTTTTCCGCTATTTTTTCAGATACTTTAGTTTGCAATTTCGGCTAAAGTTCCTGAAAATTTCGAGGCCCTGGTAAAAATTGGCGATAAGAGCTGCGTTTCAAAATACCATAGGAATTCTTATAGCCGGCTAAAGACGGCTAACGAAAATCATATAGCCGGCTGTAGAATGCGGAGAAAATCATACGGCCGGGCTATACGAAGCGATAAAAAATTATGCAGCCGGGCTATAATTCCTATCGCCGGGCTTTACACTTTATCGCCTGGCTGTTGCTTTTTCACCATCGATTATAAAAGGCTATAAGAAATTGTGTAGAAATTTGTGTGCTTTGGAAATCATTAAGTTTGATACGGAACCACCTTAATTTTCACAAAACACACGTTGTATTTGCCTTTATTACATATTTTTTTTTCATCAATTAAAACGAGAATAATCCATACAGGATGTGCAAACATTTCAAAATCATGAGTTGAATAACGCTGACTCCGCCAGATTAAATATTAGAACCTAACACAAAGCGGAGCGGCGACGCACTGGCGCCTACAAACCTAACAGGGATACTTTACGCATTGCGCAACGCGTGAAGTATCCCTGTTAGGTTTGTAGGCGCCAATGCGCGTTCTGCGCTGGCTGCCCGCGCCCGCCTGCCGCACCACAGCGTGCCACGGCGCTTGAAGCAACTATTTCACACCAGAGGTATTGCACAGTATCATACTAAACTGAAGGCGCTCTAATATATTAGGAATGACAGGCATCCATCAAAAGTACGGAGCTTTCCTCGCAAAATAAATCAAGATACTACGGCCCAAAAAGAGAGCAGTGGTCCAAAAACTCACTAAGTCCTAGCATCCGTAATTAGTGACGTTTAGCATACACTTTATCGCCTGGCTGTGAGTTGCTTAATCGCCATCGGCTATAAAAGGCTATGAGAAATTGTGTAGCCGGCTGTAGAAGCTATTGGAAATCTTACAGCCGGCCATAGGTCTATGGTATTTTGGAACATAGATTCTACCGCCAATTTTTACTAGGGGGAAGAACATTTTTACCTTTCCTTACAAATAAACATTTGATTGAAGGAAATTTGGCAACTCTCGAATGTTCTTACGGCGTTCTTCCTAAGCACGGCAGTATCATGGAGCGAATTTAACTTCGCATTCTAATCGCTCGAGTTCTTTGGGCTTTGTATAGACTCCAGAGTGAGTCACACCCCGAATTTCACCCTTCGGTTTTTAAGATTGCATGTCTGCTATCTGTGCCACTTGGGATCAAAGCATGGCCGGCGCACGAGATATCTAATCGACCACGATGAGATCTTCATACTCGGGTCCCTCGATCGCCGACTCCATGACAGAGCGCGGCGTTACCTTGGTGGTTTGTCCTCCGACGAAGAGTTTGAACAGGTTCTTGGAGAACCCGGACACCAAAGCGACCCCCGGTTGCTTCGAGGGCACCGGGGTGGCCTTGGACGACCGCAAGTTCCAGAACACTATCTGCGGCACTTTCTCGAACCCACGCTCCGCGAACTTCCGCACGATGGCTTCGTAATCCGTCTCCCAAGGGTTCTCCGAAGCCGCATCGAACTCCATATCGCTGAACACGAAGAGCGTCTCCGGCATTTGTTCTTGTCCGAGATTGAGCATGGCGGCCACATTCAGGATACAATCGAACACCCGCTGGAAGTTGGTGTTCATGCCCCACGGCATACACGCCAAGCAGTGGATCTTCTCCCTCAGGTTGTCACCTTTGACGACGTGGAACGAGGGGTTGGAATGGAACGTCAAGAGTTTTCCTCTCCACGGGGGCGACGTGCACTCGGCGAGGAGTATCCCCAAGGCTATGCAGACGTCCATCGGGGTACCAGACATACTGCCGGACACATCGCACACAGCCAGGGATCTGCCGAGTGTCCCCGCCTTGCGCGTGTCGGCCACGATTCGCTCCCACTGGAGTTCCAACACTCTCGTGGACTCGTCATCGTCATTCAGACTGGCCTTACGCACAGCGACCACGATCTCATGCGGGAGCAAGGCTCCGGCCGCGATCTTCTTCTCTCCTTTGCTGACCTTATCAAGGAACTCTTTGAAGCGTTCCACGTCGCGCTTCAGGAAGAGCTCCTTGTAGGTCTTCATAGCTACCGAGGGGACTCGCTCGTACGGCAGGTCGTTCCAGCGTCTCGCGCTGATGTAGATCTCCGGGATTTGGAGAGCGCTACGCAATGGCACAAGCACGCGTTTGCGAAGAGCGTCTCGTGCGCGGAAGGCGTGTTGAACGTCATCGATTTCGTCTCCGTTGCTCAGCGCCTCCGCCGGGAACATCCTTTTGGCTATCCCTTCGCACAAGCATGTTGTCAGGTCGTAGGAAGCGTCGGGGGACGGACACCACTTCGCTGCGAGAGTAAGACGTTTCCGCTCCGTCTCCAGTGCCTTGAGGTCCGCAGCAAGTGTGATAGCGAAGTACTCGGCTATGACGTCGTATAATCTCCGGTAACGTTCGTCCTTCTCGTACGTGACGACGGCGGTGACGGCCTCTTGGAGTCGTCTTTCGGCGCGCGACTTCTGGGACGTCTTGCGTGGGGTTGGGAACGTCACGTCGCCGGAGACGACACGTCGGAGGAGCTCCGGCATGTCTTTGATGCAGCCGAAGTGCGCGGCGGCTTTGGGCAGGTTCCGGAGTAGCGTTTCCGGGTGGTGCTTGTACAGCCAGAGCAAAGCGATGTGGAAGTTGGTCTTGTCGGATTTGCCCTTGCCGCGGATGTCGCGCAGGTTGCAGATGAGCTTGAGGGTTGTGAGGGGTTCGCTTCTCCAGGATGTAGCCAGGAGGGATAGGACTTCCTCGACTGGGGTTTTGGGCACGACGTGGAAGAAGAAGTCCACGCAAGGGTCGCCGGTGTTGGCATATGTTGGGGATTCGTTTTCTGTTAGGATCTTTTGTGGGGTGGTGGCTTGTGCCTCCGGCAGTGCGTGGTCGCGTGCGAATAATGCGAGGGGGTCGTCGAGGGGTTCGTCATGGCTGGGGGTGTGGTTCGCGATTGCTTCGGCGATCTCCGGGGGTCCGAGCAGCTTCATTGCTGCAACAATCAAAGAAGGATACGTGTCGGTCGAAAGTCCATGAAAACTACAAAAATTGAAGATTGCAAAATGAAAATTGAAAAGAATGGAAAAGGATTCCTTACTTTCTGCTTTATGATACGGAGAAACACCCTATGAGCTACTGAGAGCTGATGAGAGGTTTCTGCCGATAGAATCGGACCGTGTTAAGCAGGAATAAGGAACCGAGCGACATCAGCTATCGCCAAATTTAGTGGGGTGATTTAATTTTTTACATGAAAATGGTCCAGCGGATTTTTTTTCAAATTCCTGTGAATTTTCTGCACAGTACGAGGCAAATTCCTGAAAATTTTCAAAAAAATCTGCTCAAACGTTCTCTTGTAGAAAATTAAATTACTCGGTTAAATTTGGCAATATCTGATGTGGCTTGGTTCCTCCATGCTGAACGCGGTCTAATTATTATTTTTATTGAGTAAAGCTATGATTATTTTCCTTGAAAGTTATATATCCTAGGATAAATCACCAAGAGAATTCTCTTAAAGTTTTCAGAAAAAAAATAGACACAAGTTTTTAAGAAAATTTGTAGTTTCACGGCCCGAGTAAGGTCATTATGCTCTACCGAATAATGCTGACCAAAAATTGAACTCAGCGGGTTATTCTCAGGGGGATAAGAAGGTGAATAGCCTTTTCTTGCCCTTACATTGTTTCTCTCACGAAAGAAACAGCATTGCGCCACCAAAAGCCATAGAGAAAAAAAAAGGGTCAGGGTCGGACTGGCTCGCATCTGAGGGCGTAGACCCTTGGCTGATTAAAGGGGCGTATTGTGACATTTCCTGGTAGGGCATTCCCTACGTCGAGAGGGGTTCAGAAAATTTTGGCAAATCAGTACAAGTTTACGCTATTTTCAGGTTCTAAGTTTGTTGATCGCACGGAGTAAAAATTGCAAAATTGGACGTGAAGCACAACATTGAGAGCTCACGCTTTGCGTCATCGCGCCTTAAATTTTTCAGATGCAGCACGGACGTCCATCAAGTACGAATAGTTGTATCTCTGCGCCGTCGTAAACACGCATCCTTTCCCTCCCTCTTCTTCCAAATTGTGTTTGTTTTCGTTTGTCTTATTCGTAATGATGCTTCAAGCACTACGTGAGTAATACAGCCGAAGGTAGGAGAGATTCTTCAGGCCTTTTTTTAACTTTTCTCCCGAATCAGAGCGACGCTTCATTGACAGCATAAATCAGAGAATTGAGAGCGCGCGCTTCGCGTCATCGCGCCTTCAATTTTTCAGATGCAGCACGGACGTCAATCAAGTACGAATAGTTGTATCTCTGCGCCGTCGTAAACGCGCATCCTTTCCCAAGCTTTATTTCCATATTGTGTTTGCGTTTGTCTTATTTGTAATGTTGCTTCAAACTAGAGCAGAGAATTGCGAGTTCACGACTCACGGCATCGCGTCTTACATTTTTCATATGCAATGTGGACACCCATCTTGCGCGAATAGTTGTATCGCGTTTACATTTTAGATGTCTCTTATTTTTGAGTTTCGAGATAAATTAAGGTTAAGTTTGCCCGAGCTATGCTATGGTATGCCCAAATCAATAGTCATTTGAAAAGGAGGAAATATGTTTAAAGGTCTCTTAAGAGATTTATAAAGGATGCGTATGTCTAAAAATCGAACCGACCATCGATCGCTTCTATGGGAGTTACACATAGCGAATGAAGGAGGGGGCACGGTGCGTTTTAAACAATTTTAATGCGGTCAACATACCACCCGCGATTTTTTTGCGGAAATGTCAACTAGAAGGCCTACTGATTGAGGAACAACAAACCGTGAAATCTGTGATGGGGCCATTTTTGAGAAAATGCGATTTTTCGCTTTTTTGGCGGGAATTTCGGGTCAAGGCGCTGAAAAAGTCAAGTTAGGCTGTTTTTGAAGTTCGTAAATGCATATCCTATACATTTTGAGTCAATCAAGTGCCAGTAGATAGCTATTCGTGCATATTGCCCAAAATTCATATCCTTAAATCCACGACTTTTGGGTTTTTGGGGGGTTAGTCAAGGAGAAATCCGAAAAAAAGAGGGTTAACCCGGAACAAATTGCTTAACAAACTTTTCCTACGTAAACTTCTTCAGTAGGTCCTATTGAACAACATACCAAAAGTTTACCACGGTTCGCTCCCGGAACACCCCCCCAAATTGCCTAAATTTCAAAATGGCGGCCATAATAAGGCCTCTGGGAGTTCGATTTTTTTAAAAATACGCATACAGTGTCATGTGAGGTGTCAATTCCTATGTAATTTTGGTCGTAGATTTCAAATATGAAGTAAAAAAAGTCCCTTGATCAAAAGGGGGTACCCCAAATCCAAGATGGCAGCCAATTTTGAAAGTCAAGAGGGTGGATTTTTAAAAAGTTCGCGTGATAAGGCAAGTGAGGTATCATTTCTTATGTAATTTTGGTCGTAGATTTCATTTATGAAGTCATAAAAGCCCTCAAGTCAAAGGGATTGCTCCAAATGCAAAGATGGCGGCCAGCTTTGAAAGGCAGGAGGGTGAATTTTTGAAATGTTTACGTGACATCCCTAGTAAAATAGAATCAACCTGACGTCAGGGTATGTTTCATAAACTACCCTGAGTCAGATTGATATCAGCCTGAATTAGTCTGACTCAGGGTAGTTTATGAAACGTCAGGTTGATTCTATTTTACTAGGGATGTCACGTAAACATTTCAAAAATTCACCCTCCTGCCTTTCAAAGCTGGCCGCCATCTTTGCATTTGGAGCAATCCCTTTGACTTGAGGGCTTTTATGACTTCATAAATGAAATCTACGACCAAAATTACATAAGAAATGATACCTCACTTGCCTTATCACGCGAACTTTTTAAAAATCCACCCTCTTGACTTTCAAAATTGGCTGCCATCTTGGATTTGGGGTACCCCCTTTTGATCAAGGGACTTTTTTTACTTCATATTTGAAATCTACGACCAAAATTACATAGGAATTGACACCTCACATGACACTGTATGCGTATTTTTAAAAAAATCGAACTCCCAGAGGCCTTATTATGGCCGCCATTTTGAAATTTAGGCAATTTGGGGGGGTGTTCCGGGAGCGAACCGTGGTAAACTTTTGGTATGTTGTTCAATAGGACCTACTGAAGAAGTTTACGTAGGAAAAGTTTGTTAAGCAATTTGTTCCGGGTTAACCCTCTTTTTTTCGGATTTCTCCTTGACTAACCCCCCAAAAACCCAAAAGTCGTGGATTTAAGGATATGAATTTTGGGCAATATGCACGAATAGCTATCTACTGGCACTTGATTGACTCAAAATGTATAGGATATGCATTTACGAACTTCAAAAACAGCCTAACTTGACTTTTTCAGCGCCTTGACCCGAAATTCCCGCCAAAAAAGCGAAAAATCGCATTTTCTCAAAAATGGCCCCATCACAGATTTCACGGTTTGTTGTTCCTCAATCAGTAGGCCTTCTAGTTGACATTTCCGCAAAAAAATCGCGGGTGGTATGTTGACCGCATTAAAATTGTTTAAAACGCACCGTGGGGGATGATGAAGCGCCTGTATGTCAAGAAGAAGGTGAAAATTTCACAGAAAATTGTTTACGCTGCAGAAAGTCGTTCTTGGACTGCTGTTTACCACTATCATGTGTTAAAGCATCTTTCTTTACTTCTAACTCTCTCTTTTTCCGTTCATTTAAGAAATTTTTCTCACATATTCTCGGTCGTAATTTTTTTCTTCTTCTAATTTCACTATCTGTAAGAGGGGCGCGTTTTCGGCGCGCAAAGGGGGCGTATCTGCCAATGGCCAGTCCGAGCCTGAAGGAGGTGTTTGCATTTCGGCAATCTTGGATTTCTTTTGATGACGTAGGTCGGGCGGACGAGTTTTATCATCGATTTTCTTGGAAATGGTGTAGTTTATGGAAAAAATTCATTCTATGTAAAGTGTTTGAAATTATATCATGAGTTGGTTTAAGCAAGAAAAAATCGGACGTTTTAGTCCGTTTTTCATACTTCGAATTCCAGATTTTGCTGGCCAGGTTGTACCGACCTACGTCACGGGGTTAACAATCCTCAAGATGCAAACACCTCCTTTATTTCTCCATGGCCAAAAGCTACAATAGGAATGACCACTTTGATTGCGCAGCACCGTCATGTAACTATTCATGTTCCGGAGCAGCATAAGTTGCCTACGCAAAAACTGAAGGCGTTTTGCCTTTTATTGCGCTTACAGCGTTACATTCGCGAACCAAAACAAGACTATGCCATCAGTGACTACAATATCAAGCACCACTTTGACTGCAGCGCTTTAATGCAACTATTTTAGTTCCAGAGCTACATCGACGGCGAAACTGCAAAAATACGCAACTCGATTGTGGTTTTTTTCAAATCTCCACTCCTGCACTGGAAAAAAACACATTAGATCTAGAGTCCAGACTCTTGAAAACATTGACAAGAAAAAATACTCCTAATTCAATCGGATTTTTGCTTGAATCAAAACAAAATCCGCTTAAATTAAGAGGTTTGGTTCTTGATTTAAGCTAGATTCTGATTGAATCATGAGTACTTTTTCTTGTCGATGTTTTAAGAGTCTGGACTCTAGATCCAATGTGTTTTTTTTTCCAGTGTATTTTATTTATTTTTCAAAAGAAAACCAAACCATTATCACGGCTTGACATTTTCGCAGAATATTCTTTACCTACGTGCATGATCCCAGTGATTGTATTGCCAAAAAATCTTGAAAATTCGCAACTTAATTCCAAAATATCGCGATTTTCCGTCGAAAAATGCTATATGGGCGTAGTTTCTAACTTTACATGTAGACTTGCGTAAGGGGGAAGGGGGGGGGGTTAGTAAAAAAATCCTACTTTTGAGGTTTCATAAATCACTGCTTCGCTCCCAGGAGCATATTATTGCTAATAAAATAACAACGTGGCAACCACGAGAAGGGGATTCCCCCCATGCGTCATACCAGAACGGCCAACCTTGAAATCTATGAGACAGGCGTTCTCTAATAGCACGTGACAATAAGTGGCAGAAAACATTCATACTTTCCTCCATAAAAATTGAAATCGACATCAGGAATCGGACGTTTACGTCATATTTTCTCCCATAGATTTTATTTCGATCGATTTTTTTGGGGACTCCAATTGAGAACTTATCGTTGTGGCGCGGCGGTAAGTATTGCACAACACTGACCAAGACACTGTTGTTGTCGCGCATTGCATCACTAGGTTATTGCATTTTTTATTAGGTCTGTCGTTACATTTTTAGTTTCTCACTCCCCTAGTTTTTGTTTTTCGACAGCTGCATTAGAATTCCTACTCCTTATTTTTGTCTGATCAGCATTATTTCTCGAAGCACACGAAATAAAGATTAACTTTCATCTCGGATATTAGGAGTAGGTACATGGTGGGACCCTTCAATATAAAGCCCGTTGCATTATTTCGTTTCTACTTGTATTTAATTTTGTTTATACCTATTTTATTTTCATATTTTTAATTTTTTTAACACTTTTTTTACGTGTTTTTTTTTTCTAATTTGAAAAAAATCGACGTCTCATCGTTGACAACATTCACCGCCGAGATTTCATCATGCATGCTTGTCTAGCATCTAGGAAGTTTCATGTATAGCAAAAAAATAGGAGAGATATATCACTCTTATCAAAAGGATGCCGAGTAAATGAATACTCGAATAGACTATTGGTGCGTCGAGAATCAGGAGACTCACCCACTGGTCCGGATTCGAACTGAAACAATTTATGATTATTGGAAGCGCCGAGAGGCAATTTCAGAATTTTCTGCGCCAACACACTGACTCTAAATGTTAAAAATTCGGTTTAATTTAAAGAGAATGCGATGATTCTCCGTGAAAAAATAGCCGAACGCGATGGTTTTCTATGATAAAATAGCCGAACGCGTCTACTGAAATGAAGTGATCTCCCGCAGCGAGCACAACTCACAATAACGAACGATAGACGTGCCGGCCGGCGTACGTGGGGCGATGAGAAGACAGCTGCATAGTTGCATTGTTATGTATCTGGTGAAGTGGAACATTTTAGCAAGGGGCTCCGCGTTGTAACCGGTAAAAATATTGGTAAACTTGACAGCAAGGGAGCGGTGAATGCCCCGCACTTTGTTGCCAACTAGTACACAAAATTATTTCTTAAAGCCACGCACACACGTAGGCGTGCCTAGGTCATTGCTAGCTTTGAAAGAAAAGCTTTAAAAGATAAGTATTAAAGTAAGTTAAATTAAAATGACAAGTATTACAAAATGGAATTGATAATTTTTAATTTTAAAAAAAATTAAAAGTATAGAGATTAAATTTACATTTTGAATATAATTATTTTGATACTTAATTTTAAAAAAATTAAAACTAATGAAATCAAATGTTTATACGGGGGGTCTGGGGGATATTGAGTACCTCTCAGTCCAGAGAGGGTACGGGGGCCTCCCCCGCGAAATTGTTGAAATTTTAACTCTGTTTGGACGCATTTTGAGGCCTCCATGACGCAGATTTTCCATTGATTTCTGCCGAAAAATTACGTTTATTTTTTCACTTTAAGCAAAGATTACTTTCGAATTGTTGCACTGCATGAGTCCAGAAATTTTTTGAAATTTTAACTCCAGGAGGACGCATTTCAAGGCCTCCATGCTGAAAATTCTGGAAAATACTGAGTGAATGAAACCGGTGTTTTCAGTTTGGACTCCACATTAAGAGAGATAATCATCCTCGGGGAAGACCTTTTCCCGCCGCCCAGAATTTGTGGGGGGGGGGAAGATGCTACTATTTGCAATTCTAGGGGATGGGGGGCAGGCCCCCCTTCGTATGTCACTGTGAACAAAACATGTCCGTTGATCAGAATTCGCTAAGGATTAAGAAGCTGTGGTATTATGAAAGAAGACTATCCTGAAATCTTGAAGAAAAATACCTCTTAATTTCCACAGTCCCATCAAGAAGGAAACATGATTTATGAAATTGCATTAATCATGCGCAGAGCGGCAACAATGGTATGACGCTATCAAATGAGAACAGCGTAACGCGGAATGCATACCATCCAGGATGAACTTTGCGCGGTGAACTTCGCCTCGACGCTCTCTGCAGGATAAGTTTTGAAATAAGCACGAGCGCGGCTGTACAAGTCCCGGGAAATTCAAATGTGGACATACATGCACGAGCGAGCGATTGAGCACAGGGGAGAATTTCATGAACGCCGCCGCTCGCGGCGCACTCTAAGGTCCAAACTCAAAACTAGAGAGAAATAAGTCCGATAATGACTGAAAGATCACGAAAGTTTTGTAACTGATGTTGTTGGGAATCGCTAATTTCGAATTTGATGTCAAGTTGCCTATGTTTTAACGCCCTGACCTAGAAATTGTGGGCAAGTATATGGCACGCTGCGGCGCGGCGCACAAGTTTATTTTAGTTACAAGTTGTATTTAGTTTTTTGGCGGGTTATCCCGCCATACAATGCTCTGGTTTTTAGCCATCATGATTTTCGAATTTTGAAGATTTGACTGGAATGATTTCCCCTATTACTAAGTTTCACAAAAACCGACAGGAGCCGAGATAACATTTTAGGCCACGGCCGCCATCTTGGGTTTACGAATTTTGGAAATTTGACTAAAAATTTGAGTTTTCCGTCGAAAAATACCACGCGATACCGAGTTTCACCGAACTCGAACGAACAGAAAACCGAGATAGCATATTAGGCCACGTCCGCAATTTAGGAATTGAGAACTTTCAAAAATTGACCAAAAATTCGAGTTTCCCGTCGAAAAATACCCTTAGACACCAAGTTTCAGAAAAATTCATCGAACAGGAGCCGACATAACATTTAAGGCAACGTCCGCCATCTTGGATTTGATAATTTTTAAAACATGACTAAAAATTCGAGTTTCCCATCGAAAAGTACCCCTGCTCCCGCGGTTCACAAAGCTCTATAACGAACAGAAACCGAGATAGAATTTTAGGCCACATCCAACAACTTGGAGTTGAGAATTTTAAAAAATTGACTAAAAATTTCCCGTTGTTCCCGAGTTTCCCGTTGAAAAACAACATATGATACCGCGTTTCACAAGACTCGAACAAACAGAAACCGAGATAGCATTTTAGCCCACGTCCGCCATCTTCGATTTGAGAATTTTAAAAAATGGACTAAAAGTTCGAGAATCCCGTCGAAAAATACCTTATGACACCGAATTTCAGAAAAATCCATCGACCAGGAGCCAAGATAGCATTTTAAACCACTTCAGTCATTTCGGATTTTCGAATTTTGAATTTTTTGAATTTCGACAGATTTAACATAAAACTTAAATTCTCCATGATTTTTCGGATTCAATAGCATAGTTGCATCAAGTCCCCGTCACCGCCGACCAACGCTTGTGTCGATCGAATCAACCGCAGGTAGCGCGAGCAGGGAGTCAAAACGCCTTCAATTTTTTGAACGCAATACGGACATCCGTCGAGGTTGTATAGTTGTATCATGTATCATGGCGCCGTAGCGAACGCGTAGCATTGTTTATCGTTACAGACGAATATAAGTTGAGAGAGGAAAGTGATAATGCCTTCAGTTGTATGCATACATATTTTTGGGGAAAATGGGAGACGACGTTTCTCCATTTGCGACGTTGCAGACTTCCTTAGGAATTTTTTTTTCTTTCGTAAAGCTGGTCAACATAAAACTTAAATTCTCCATGATTTTTCGTATTCGATGGCAGAAGATTTGGTTCAAAATTTAAAGTCGTAAATTTGGATTGTTTCTCATGGAAGAGATGAATTAAGAATGGCCCAGACCTACCGTACTAGGCCTTTTTTTCGGTTAATTTGGGTCGTACGAAGTCCAAGATCGCGGGGATGAACAGGGAATCGACCCCAAGGAATCCGAATTTCATGGTCCTAGAGCCCCCCTGGCGATCCTTGGGGGGTAAAAGGGGGGTCTGTACTTCAAAAGTCAGGGTTAATGTCAAAATTTTGAAATTATTTCATCGAAATCAGAACGCACGGAAATTTTTAGCCTAAGTCAACACCAAGAAATCCAAAATCGCCCCATCCGTGTCCAAAATAACGACCCCTAAAGGTGGGGGACAGAGCCCCCTTTCAAAAAAATTGAAGTTCATTAAATTGACGTGGAGACTCAGAAAAAATGTGCATTCATGGGTAATCGACCCCAAGGAATCAATATTTCAGGGTCCCGTTGTCCTCAGAGACTTTCCTGATGGGGCACAGGGGGACTCTGAACTTTCAAATTTAACCGGTGTGGAAGTTACCCCTGTGCCCCATTAGAAAAGTCTCTGAGGACAATGAGACCATCAAATATTGATTCCTTGGGGTCGATTACTCATGAATACACATTCTTTCTGAGTCTCCACGTCAATTTAATGAACTTCAATTTTTTTGAAAGGGGGCTTTGTCCCCCACCTTTAGGGGTCGTTATTTTGGACACGGATGGGGCGATTTTGGATTTCTTGGTGTTGACTTAGGCTAAAAATTTCCGTGCGTTCTGATTTCGATGAAATAATTTCAAAATTTTGACATTAACCCTGACTTTTGAAGTACAGACCCCCCTTTAACCCCCCAAGGATCGCCAGGGGGGCTCTAGGACCATGAAATTCGGATTCCTTGGGGTCGATTCCCTATTCATCCCCGCGATCTTGGACTTCGTGCGACCCAAATTAACCGAAAAAAAGGCCTGGTACGGTAGGTCTGGGCCACCCTGTATATGAAGAATATTCTGTACGAATTTTGGGCGATGATGTCGGTTTGGTCTCCTTCTAAAAATAAAATAGGAGCGGAGTTTCTGCAACTGCCACGGAAAAAAAGAATTGCTGATTCAACAATTCATTGCTAAAAACAGTGAGTGCAATGTTTCAACGCAGATTTTACAACAAAAAAATGCTTTACAAACCAATTTAACCACCCCCGTGGTTAAATTGGTTTACAATGTGGTTAAAGTAGCATTAAAAATGCTACTTTAACAACCCCCGTGGTTAAATTAGTTTACAATGTGGTTAAAGTAGCATTTTTTTGTTGTAAAATCGGCGTTGAAACATTGCACTCACTGTTTTTAGCAATGAATTGTGGAATCAGCAATTCTTTTTTTTCCGTATGATATACGCAATTTTGCAAATTCATCGTCGTCTAGTCCAGAAAAACTTCAATATTAGGAACAGAAAAGAAACTCCAAGAGGCATGTAGTAACGTAATTCCTGTGTAATTTTGGCTGCTGAATCCAAAAATTACCTTCTTTTCTCTTCATCGTGCACAGATTCTTCGGAAAATTGATTTTTCTCTGGAAAGACTCGATGTTTAGGGGAAATTCCGATTTTTCCGGGCAAAATCGAGATGGACGGAGGTCGTTTTCGGAACCAGCGCCAGAGGTCTAGTCAGTATAAGACGATAAATAGAAGGCAAATTCATTCATGTTAACTGGTGTGATTTTTTTATACAATAAGATGCGATCGATTCTGGTCTGCCAAATTTTTCAAAAAAATCAGGGTCAAATTATGGCAACTTAGATTCTGATCAAAAACAACTGAAATAATTTAATTTTACCAAGCATGTGGGAACATACGACATCACGGGCTGTGTTGCTGATTCACTGTAAAATTACAAAATTGTCTTCGTTAGCTCCAGGTGTGGCGCCCACCGAGCCTATGGAAGACGATGATGAGGAACCTGCGGGTCGATTGTTGAATCGTTATCGAATGCTTCTGATCGATAAATCCCTATCTTAACAATGCTATTTATCGATCACGGTCATTCGATAACGATTCAACAATCGAGGAGCAGGTCCATGGGAGATGGCCCTCTCTGAAGGTATCTCATTAGCCGCAATCTTAGAAGACGATCAAGGAACCACGGGTAGCATGATTGCTTGTTACATGTTGGGAATAGAGAGAAAAGGGGAAGTTTTTTCGTTGCCGGTAAGTTTATGAATGCAAATTAACATGCATAATGCCAATAATTCTTAGAGTAATTTACTGCTGCAATTTG